TGATGCGTACAACGACGAAGATATTTACCGCGTAATGGACAACTTCCTTCAGGTATGGTGGAGACGTGTTCAGCGAACCAGGCTGGTCGAGAGCCTGATGCAAACCAACCCAGACGAGATTGCAGACCTAATGGACTGTTTTACGACGACGATTAGGTCGCGCGAGAAGGTTGAGGAGCAAGTGGAAATTTACCTTAACTACAAGAAAGTACACCCATTGTTCCTCCCTAGTGAACCAAGCCATAGCAGCCTCTCCACTGAGTCAGCACTCCCTCGAAGCCAACCTAAGATTGTGTTCCCCACATTTGGTGTGAATGACAAGTCGATGATGGAGCTTGCCGATTTCCTTGTGCATTTCGAAAATGCGCTCAATGCCATTAAGATGGGCCCTGGAGAATGGGGTGGGCACTTTATGGTTAATGTCGGCGGTGAACTGCTTGAATTCTTCACCGACCACTGTAGCAAGATCGATGACTGGGACATAGCCCGTGGTAAGATAGAAGCACACTACCTGGGTATTCAGTATCGCGCCAGGCAGGCACGCCAGCTCAGCGAACTGACGATTGATGAGGGTGAAACGCCCCTCCAGTGCATGAAGCGCCAGCTGGTACTACACCGCCGCTTCATGGCAAAGGGTTCCGAGGTTGAATTTATGTTTTGGACGATGCTGGGGAAACTGCCCGCCGAGGTTCAGGACTATGTCGAACTTCACCTGCCAGAGGTGGAGTACACACCAAGAGACCTTCTGTCTTTCCTTGAGTCTGCACGAGTGGCACACATGCCCTACACCAAGACTGCTAACCGAGCTAGTGGTGCAGTAGGCCGGGCCAGTAATGGCAATAATGCCAGCAAGAGCAAGGAGGCAACCAACAAATGGTGTGAATTCCATCGCTCACATACACACAATTCCACTGATTGCAATGCTCAGAAGCAGCAAGTAGCGACAGTGTCGACAACCAAGCCCACGATGGGTGGAGCCATGACTAACGGCTCAACAAGTGTGACCTGCTTCAAGTGTCACCAGGTCGGACATTTTGCATCCAGATGCCCGACGAAAGTGCAGTCAGCCAATGTCAGGTTGACGCATGTAACCGGGGCTAATCAGCCACCGGTGGACGCCGATCCACCTCTAGCACCGTTGTACATCGACGGGCAGGTCGCGATGGCGTTGATTGACAGTGGGGCTGACACAGTGCTCCTCTGCCAAGAGTTTGTAGCACACCATGGGATCGCAACCCTACCAGCCATGCTACAGGTCACCGGTTTTGGCGAGAAGCCATCCCTGGTCGACAGGATGACGGTGCCACTGCGCCTGCAGTGTGGCCAAATGGATGAGATGGTTTCATGCTTTGTTGCCCCTTCAAGCGCGAAATACCAGATCACCATTGGACGCCCGCTGTTTGCACGGATTGGTATACAGTTGGCCAATGTGCCTTTCAAGCTCGTTGACGCCTTTGCACCAACAGTGATTATGGAGACGCCAATACCATCACTCATACACGATGAGTGCGACACCACTTTTGACGGTCCACGTGCAAAATTAATGACTGTAATTGAGCCGCTGCTTGCTGCAAATCAAGCTACTCCGGCAGACGCAGCCTGTCCAGTTCCAGAGGCACTTGTGCGCCTGCCCACACAGCCGGGGAAGACTGTATTCAAACGACAGTACCCTTTGGCCAATGCAGCGCGCCCTGTTGTTGACGCACAGATCACTGAGTGGCTCGAGACGGGCACTATTGAGACTGCGCCAATGCTGTCGGTGTTCAACACACCGATGTTCCCAATTCCGAAGAAAGATGCCAGCGGTAATAAAACACTCCATCGAATTTGCCATGATTTTAGGCAGCTGAATGCTATATTGGAGCCAGATCTTTATCCCATCCCGCTGATCAGCGACATCTTTGCCGCGCTTGCAGGTGCAACCGTCTTTTCGACAATCGACCTCAAGTCAGCATTCCACCGGTTTCCCATAGCGCCAGAGGACCAGTACAAAACGGCGTTTACATGGAATAACACACAGTATGTGTTCCGCCGGGCACCATTTGGTCTGAAGACACTGCCATCAGTTTTCCAACGTGTGATGCAGCAACTCTTTGGGCGCATGCCATTCGCGCTCTGCTACATCGACGACATTGTCATCTACTCACGGTCAGTTGAGGAGCACAGAAAGCATGTTGTGCAGGTGCTGCAAATTCTCACGGCAAACTGCCTTGTTGTGAATCCTGGCAAGTGTCATTTTATGTCAGCACGTATTCGGCTGTTGGGTTTCATGATCACACCAAGCGGCAAACAAATGGATCCAGAGCGCCTAGTGCAGGTGGAATCATGGACCATCCCACACACGATTAAGGAGCTTCAGCATATCCTGGGTGTTGCAAACTATCTGCGCGAGCATATACCAATTATGTCCATGGTCACAGCACCACTCGATGCACTTCGCAATGCAGACAACCTCACTGCAGCCTGGACGGATAGGCACACAGAAGCACTAGGTGATCTGCAACAGGCCATTGCACATGCGCTTTCACTGTCATTCCCTAATGATGATCTGCCTTTCCAAGTGGCAACAGATGCGTCCAACACTGGCATTGGTGCAGTGCTCTACCAGGTGGATGCAAATGGTGTTCATCATTATCTCTCATGTGTCTCACGTTCGCTCAACCGCGCTGAGCGTAATTATTCGGCTACCAAGCGCGAGCTGCTGGGAATTGTCTATGCACTACGCAGCTTCCATCAATACCTTTACGGTCGGCACTTCACGCTTTTTACAGACCACAAGGCGCTGACCTACATGCACTCCCAGGATCATCTGAATGCCATGTTGATCGGCTGGTTTGAGGAGCTTTCATCCTACGATTTTGCAGTTGTGCATCGCCCAGGAGTTGACAACATCCTCCCTGACCATCTCTCTCGTGTGTACAATGCACTTGTGGGGGGTGAAGACATGCCGGTTGCAGCCGCGCATGCCTTGCAAGTATTAATCGATGACCCCACCCAGCGCATCAACCTGGTCAAGAAGCAACACCTGCAGGGGCACTTTGGCATTAAAGCTGTCGCAGGCGCATTACATGCTGCTGGTCATACTTGGCCAGGTATGCGCAGGGATATTGCCAACTACATTGCCACTTGTGTTGTCTGTCAGCGGCACAACAACACACCAGTTGTGCACCATCAACTGCAGACCATTTCGTCGGATACACCATTCCAACATGTTGCTGTCGACCTGGCAGGACCATTCCCGACATCCAGCAATGGCAACAATTACCTACATGTGTTGATTGACATTCACACACGATTTGTGTATTTAGAGGCTATCCCAGACAAGCAAGCTAAGACCATTGCAGCACTCTGGACGCGCATTTTCGGCAATTTTGGCTTCCCCAAGATCATTCAGTCAGACAATGGTGGCGAGTTTGTTAACCGAATTGCCAAGCACCTTACACAAGCATTTGGCATCGACCATCGTCTGATTACAGCATACCATCCACGTGCCAATGGTGCTGCTGAGCGTACAGTGCAGACGGCCAGCCAGGTTATCAGCAAGCTAGTGGCAGGACGCAAGGCGACATGGGACCGCTGTGTTCCTTTCGCACAATATGCAATGAACACCAAGATTTCTGCACGTCATGGTTTTACGCCTTTCTTTGCCATGTTTGGGCGTGAGCCAAACATGCTTGCCGACCACACTGATGAAGAGCTGCTGGATGTGGAGGCAACCACTGAACAGATCGAGCAGCTACGTGAACGTGCACTCAGCATGCGAGGCACTCTCTTTACAACAGTGGCACAGCGCACAGCTGTTACCAATGACAAGCAAACTGCACGATTCAAGAACAGGCACAAGATAATGGAGTTTGAGGTTGGAGCAGCAGTCCTTATCCGCGGCGAGCGCATGCACAAACTTGAGGCCAAGCATACTGGTCCTTACTGCATTGTCGCTATAATAGCACCTGGCACCTACAAATTGGAGGATATGACACGTGAACCACTGCCGCGCAATTATACGACGTCACAGCTTATTCCTCTTGCATCAGCACCCGACTTTGATGAGACTCACGCCGAGGTGTTAGCCATCACCAGGCACAAGAACACACGTGGTGGTATCCGCTACTTAGTTGACTGGCTTGATGGCGACAGCACCTGGGAGCCGACAAGCAACTTTGACTCACTGGATCTGATTCAGGAGTACTGGGACAAGATTAGCGACCAGTCTCGTAGGGAGTGATGTGGTGCCCAACACACATTTCAAGCCACTATCTTCCCTTTTCAAGAATCAAGATCGCCATCATGGCCACTATACACATTTCTGTTATTGCTGGCTGACATCAAGGAATACCATGATGTTTACAGCGCTGCCCACACAGCGCTGCCCCCTTTTTCAGTTAAGTAAGTAATTTTTAAGACTTGAATATATCGATTTAGACCCACATTTTTATAGAGCACGACAAACTAAATCTACCTGCACCGTATGTTAAAAGCAATATAATGTCCGTATATTTGCGTATAATGTAGTCGAAAATAATATTATTAAAATTCCTGATTATGTAGTGCCTGGGTGTTGATGTACTGAATAAGTTGAACTGTTGAATAGTGTAAAAATAAAAAGGGTTTGAGGGGGAATGTCTGGTGTGGAATTAAAAATTAACGCCGCGTCTGTGTGGCGCTGTAAAGGCCTTTGTTGACATTTGATGTGAGCAATACATATTAAAAATAAACACTGCGGCAACACTAACACTATTAGTAATGTTGTCACATCAAGACGGCAAGAGAAATCAAAAATGTGACTTGGGCACCACAGATTATGTATCTAGTTATTCAAAACTGAAAACATGACGGATAACCACAAATTTCAACATTCATACAGCTGTAGCTATTATTTTCTCAAATATATAGCTTATTGCACTCACTATTAAATATGCTATGCTTCATATGTACACGTTTCAATTTAGCATTAATATTTGAATGCAAACAATTTATAATTAATATGTAAAAAATATATTCCAAAATTAGCTTCCCTAAAAATAAACAAATGAACTAGTTTGTTGTGTTTGTCTCGTTGCTTTCAGTTTCTGTCTTGTTCAACAATTCTTGGCAATACTCAGCAATATTCTCCAAAATGGCCAGCAGCTCTTTGGCAATAGTTGGTGCCATGTCAGCGCGCGCTTTAAACGGATCAATCATTGGACTGTTCATAGCATCTCGCCATTCAACCCACAATGCGAATTTGGATAATGGAGAAAGTAAGCCAGGCGTGGCTTTTGAGACAGATGATTTACAGTTGCCATGGTCAAAAAGGTGTTTCATATTTGCGCCCCTACCGTCTTCACTGCATCCTGCATTGTCGATTAGAATATTGCGCATCATACTCAACAACCCTGCAAGAACATTGGTATGATCCACCCTACTATCAAACTGGTTGAGAATAGATTTAAACATGGAACTGCAGTCCAAATTGTCGCGCTTGTAGCTGGCAATGTCCTTCAATATTGTGCCGTTAACCCAATATTTGATTTTAACACTTGCAATCCTTCTGTGCCCACCTGCATCGCTGTCATGTTTGGGTGTGCCATTGAGTCCAAATGTTCCAAGCCACACCAGGACATAAATCAGCGCCTCCCAGTCGTCGAGCTCGGTGCGCTTGTTGCTGTTGCCCTCGAGGTTGTTCACGCTCATGAAATTCAGTGTGCCGATATGCTCGTTTTTCGGCATCGCATCCAGATTCTCGCAGTTGATCGCATGGTCAAAATCAATCAACATGCCCTTGACAGTGCCATCCATCATACGCCGGAAAAGAAAGTTGCCTGCTGAGATATCACGGTGCAATATATTGCAGTGCTCGGCAATGGCGCGGTGGGCGCGCATAGCATCGGCAACAGCAATGATCAGCTCGGGAACGGACTGGAGCCTATCAAGTGGCATGCCAATCGGCGACGTGGCAATGCGCTTGTGTGCACAAAATGGCAGCTTCCGAATCTTCTCGCCGACTGTGACATTGTCAAATAGGTCCCCAAGAATGCTGCGCGTCGTGTCCTCAGTACATGTATTGCTGCTGCAACTCTGGAATTTAATGCGACCGCCAGCTTCGAGGACTGGGTATGTGCCCGCAAGCTCTGGATAGCGCTCGAGTGTCCGGGTGATCTTGCGCAGATGGGCAACCTCGTCGCGCACGTCATTGATACCACTTCCATCAGCCACCTCGGTCCAAGCGTCCTTGATAAAAACGGTGCAGTCCTTGCTTCTGATGCGATTGTCTCTGGTTGGCTTCTTATCCGTTGCTAAAAAGCACCGCGTGAGCCGCCCAAACAAATGACTAGCCTCAGTTAATATGTGGCTACTGTAGAATGTGCGTTCAGTAGATCCAATAGATCCATAAAAACTGGCATTGCCACTGCTGCTGTCCGTGCTGTCAGCACTGTCCATGGTGGCTGTGCCAGGAACCGTAATCTCCCAACAGTCGAGGTCATGCAAGTGCTTAATGCTTGGGTCGAAACCCAGCCGGTGGTCCTCGCTAAAGGACAAATTAACAAACAGCTTGATGACCTCGCCGCGGCCCGCCTCGGTGCAAATGTCCATGGCTTCAGAGACCAGAACAAAGTTGCATCCAAACAAGTATGCCCGGACAGAGCTGCCGCAAATAGTCAGGCCCCACACAAAGCGCCGGTTGGGTTGCGCGCGATAAATGCGGCGACAGTGCTTAGACAGCTGCAACGCGGCATCGTCCACGTCACCCGACGACAAGCCTTGCCCGACCTCGATGGCGGCAAACAGACCGGCGTACCACTCGTCGTTGTTGTCGATTGCGTCTATATTGCCGTCCAACGTTGCCTCGGAGCTGTCGGTCGTAGCGACAGTGGCCAGCGTAGAGTCGATTCCCAAGCCAATCCGACCAGTGGTCTGGTGGGTGCACTCTTCCCCAGTATCTGTAGTGCTGACTGGCGCAGTGGACGGAATGAGCACCCGGCGTGGCTCGGGGCGTCCTTGCTCTCCTTTGGCATGCTGATGCAGCCCCTGAATAATACGAGATACAAACGAGGTAAATGACTCGGCACCCTTGCTTACGTCGCCACTGCTGCTGCTGCTTCCGTTGTGGTCGCTAGGTGTGTGTGCGCCTGTCCACCTGGAAAGCGCATCGTAGTCCTGCCTGAGCCTGCTCGCCAAATAATCAATGGCGGCGTAGTTCGAGCGAGCTAGCCTAACGGGCCAGACCGAGTCGGCGTTGATGAGCTCTTCCATAATAGCCAAGTCGCCACCCAGCGTGTGCTTGGAGCCAGATGAAAGCTGCTCCATGGCCCGGTAAACAATATCAGCAACCGTGGCCGCCCTCTGCTTGTATTCTGCAGCCACTGGTGCTGCCAGTTCGACGACGCTGGGATGTGGTCCGCTGAGGTGTCGCTTTAACTCGCGCATAGCCGGCTCCATACGCTCAAACATCTTTTGTCTTTCCGACGAGCTGGGCTTGGTATCAACGTGGCCGTTGCTGGGACAAGGGCCGGGTGCTGTGTCGGCCTGCTCGTCACCAGCTGGACTGCCTTCTTTTGTGTTGCTGCCTACAAAACAATTTCGGAATAATAAAATGCTGTTAGTATGTTGTGAGCGCACCAAAGCACCTTACGCTGGCCGCAAGGATATGTGTCGGCATACGCAACTGTCTGCAAATAAAACAAACAAACAAACACTTACTATCAGACGGCGTAATAGGCACAGGCTGGGCTTTGTTCTGGCGCGGGGCTGCTTTCTTCTTGTACACGCGTTTTCTGTTGTTTTGCAGCTGCGCGGCGTTGGCAGCAGTATCCGCGTTTTTCCTTGCTCTCTTGCCTGACGGTGCCTGCTTGGAGGCCGCGGCTGCCTTTCTCTTTGTGTTTGTTGGCTGAGAAGCGTTCATCTGTCGCTTCTGCCGCTTTGCGGTAACCGGCTGCGCACAGTCGTTTTGACGGACTCTCTTTGTCGGCATGTTTAGAATATAAGTGTGAATTAAACAAGGTGATGCTGGTTTGCAAAGCGTGTAACTATTGAAAATATATCAAAATAATTTGAACGGAGAAGAAAAAGGAAAAAAAGAGAAGCAGTTATGTGCGTGATGATTTGCAATAACAAAATACACACACAATCAATGGTAAATATTTTAATCTTTGCGTTCCGCAACACTAATTTAGGACAGCCGCCTCAACTACCGCGCACATCGGCAAAGCACTCAAACCAATACAATAAGAGGAAGGCCACAGAAGGCTTTTGGCGACCATATATCTACACGGCAACTCGCTGCGTTTTTGACTCGTACGGCAGGCAGAAGGACCAGCCACAGCAGATATAATAAGCTGCTTGCAATACAACTGCTTGCAAAATCCAAAAAGAATAATAGGTGTAAATAAAAGACAAGCGCTGAATATTCGTTTGCCAAATGTAAACAAAAACCAAAATATTTACCATTTTTGACACAGTACCTTGGTGCGATTCTTATTATAAAACCCAATAAAACATTAAACGAGTAATCCACAATAATTCCCTTGCAATGGGCGGCGGAGCTGTGTTTATAACTATCGAGGGGACAGTGGTGGTGGTTTCCGAATGTAAGGGATTGTGTCTTGCGCGGTAGTTGAGGCGGCTGTCCTAAATTAGTGTTGCGGAACGCAAAGATTAAAATATTTACCATTGATTGTGTGTGTATTTTGTTATTGCAAATCATCACGCACATAACTGCTTCTCTTTTTTTCCTTTTTCTTCTCCGTTCAAATTATTTTGATATATTTTCAATAGTTACACGCTTTGCAAACCAGCATCACCTTGTTTAATTCACACTTATATTCTAAACATGCCGACAAAGAGAGTCCGTCAAAACGACTGTGCGCAGCCGGTTACCGCAAAGCGGCAGAAGCGACAGATGAACGCTTCTCAGCCAACAAACACAAAGAGAAAGGCAGCCGCGGCCTCCAAGCAGGCACCGTCAGGCAAGAGAGCAAGGAAAAACGCGGATACTGCTGCCAACGCCGCGCAGCTGCAAAACAACAGAAAACGCGTGTACAAGAAGAAAGCAGCCCCGCGCCAGAACAAAGCCCAGCCTGTGCCTATTACGCCGTCTGATAGTAAGTGTTTGTTTGTTTGTTTTATTTGCAGACAGTTGCGTATGCCGACACATATCCTTGCGGCCAGCGTAAGGTGCTTTGGTGCGCTCACAACATACTAACAGCATTTTATTATTCCGAAATTGTTTTGTAGGCAGCAACACAAAAGAAGGCAGTCCAGCTGGTGACGAGCAGGCCGACACAGCACCCGGCCCTTGTCCCAGCAACGGCCACGTTGATACCAAGCCCAGCTCGTCGGAAAGACAAAAGATGTTTGAGCGTATGGAGCCGGCTATGCGCGAGTTAAAGCGACACCTCAGCGGACCACATCCCAGCGTCGTCGAACTGGCAGCACCAGTGGCTGCAGAATACAAGCAGAGGGCGGCCACGGTTGCTGATATTGTTTACCGGGCCATGGAGCAGCTTTCATCTGGCTCCAAGCACACGCCGGGTGGCGACTTGGCTATTATGGAAGAGCTCATCAACGCCGACTCGGTCTGGCCCGTTAGGCTAGCTCGCTCGAACTACGCCGCCATTGATTATTTGGCGAGCAGGCTCAGGCAGGACTACGATGCGCTTTCCAGGTGGACAGGCGCACACACACCTAGCGACCACAACGGAAGCAGCAGCAGCAGTGGCGACGTAAGCAAGGGTGCCGAGTCATTTATCTCGTTTGTATCTCGTATTATTCAGGGGCTGCATCAGCATGCCAAAGGAGAGCAAGGACGCCCCGAGCCACGCCGGGTGCTCATTCCGTCCACTGCGCCAGTCAGCACTACAGATACTGTGGAAGAGTGCACCCACCAGACCACTGGTCGGATTGGCTTGGGAATCGACTCTACGCTGGCCACTGTCGCTACGACCGACAGCTCCGAGGTAACGTTGGACGGCAATATAGACGCAATCGACAACAACGACGAGTGGTACGCCGGTCTGTTTGCCGCCATCGAGGTCGGGCAAGGCTTGTCGTCGGTGACGTGGACGATGCCGCGTTGCAGCTGTCTAAGCACTGTCGCCGCATTTATCGCGCGCAGCCCAACCGGCGCTTTGTGTGGGGCCTGACTATTTGCGGCAGCTCTGTCCGGGCATACTTGTTTGGATGCAACTTTGTTCTGGTCTCTGAAGCCATGGACATTTGCACCGAGGCGGGCCGCGGCGAGGTCATCAAGCTGTTTGTTAATTTGTCCTTTAGCGAGGACCACCGGCTGGGTTTCGACCCAAGCATTAAGCACTTGCATGACCTCGACTGTTGGGAGATTACGGTTCCTGGCACAGCCACCATGGACAGTGCTGACAGCACGGACAGCAGCAGTGGCAATGCCAGTTTTTATGGATCTATTGGATCTACTGAACGCACATTCTACAGTAGCCACATATTAACTGAGGCTAGTCATTTGTTTGGGCGGCTCACGCGGTGCTTTTAGCAACGGATAAGAAGCCAACCAGAGACAATCGCATCAGAAGCAAGGACTGCACCGTTTTTATCAAGGACGCTTGGACCGAGGTGGCTGATGGAAGTGGTATCAATGACGTGCGCGACGAGGTTGCCCATCTGCGCAAGATCACCCGGACACTCGAGCGCTATCCAGAGCTTGCGGGCACATACCCAGTCCTCGAAGCTGGCGGTCGCATTAAATTCCAGAGTTGCAGCAGCAATACATGTACTGAGGACACGACGCGCAGCATTCTTGGGGACCTATTTGACAATGTCACAGTCGGCGAGAAGATTCGGAAGCTGCCATTTTGTGCACACAAGCGCATTGCCACGTCGCCGATTGGCATGCCACTTGATAGGCTCCAGTCCGTTCCCGAGCTGATCATGCTGTTGCCGATGCTATGCGCGCCCACCGCGCCATTGCCGAGCACTGCAATATATTGCACCGTGATATCTCAGCAGGCAACTTTCTTTTCCGGCGTATGATGGATGGCACTGTCAAGGGCATGTTGATTGATTTTGACCATGCGATCAACTGCGAGAATCTGGATGCGATGCCGAAAAACGAGCATATCGGCACACTGAATTTCATGAGCGTGAACAACCTCGAGGGCAACAGCAACAAGCGCACCGAGCTCGACGACTGGGAGGCGCTGATTTATGTCCTGGTGTGGCTTGGAACATTTGGACTCAATGGCACACCCAAACATGACAGTGATGCAGGTGGCACAGAAGGACTGCAGGTGCTAGAATCAAATATTGGGTTAACGGCACAACATTAAAGGACATTGCCAGCTACAAGCGCGACAATTTGGACTGCAGTTCCATGTTTAAATCTATTCTCAACCAGTTTGATAGTAGGGTGGAGCATACCAATGTCTTGCAGGGTTGTTGAGTATGATGCGCAATATTCTAATCGACAATGCAGGATGCAGTGAAGACGGTAGGGGCGCAAATATGAAACACCCTTTTGAGCATGGCAACTGTGAATTATCCGCTTGAAAGCTACGCCTGGTTCACTTTCTCCATTATCCAAATTCGCATTGGCAGTTCAACGGCGAGATGCTATGAACAGTCCAATGATTGATCCGTTTAAAGCGCGCGCTGACATGGCACAACTATTGCCAAAGATTGTTGGCCATGTTGGAGAATATTGCTGAGTATTGCCAAGAATTGTTGAACAAGACAGAAACTGAAAGCAACGAGACAAACACAATGAACTAGTTCATTTGTTTATTTTTAGGGAAGCTAATTTTGGAATATATTTTTTACATATTAATTATAAATTGTTTGCATTCAAATATTAATGCTAAATTGAAACGTGTACATATGAAGCATAGCATATTTAATAGTGAGTGCAATAAGCTATATATTTGAGAAAATAATAGCTACAGCTGTATGAATGTTGAAATTTGTGGTTATCCGTCATGTTTTCAGTTTTGAATAACTAGATACATAATCTGTGGTGCCCAAGTCACATTTTTGATTTCTCTTGCCGTCTTGATGTGACAACATTACTAATAGTGTTAGTGTTGCCGCAGTGTTTATTTTTAATATGTATTGCTCACATCAAATGTCAACAAAGGCCTTTACAGCGCCACACAGACGCGGCGTTAATTTTTAATTCCACACCAGACATTCCCCCTCAAACCCTTTTTATTTTTACACTATTCAACAGTTCAACTTATTCAGTACATCAACACCCAGGCACTACATAATCAGGAATTTTAATAATATTATTTTCGACTACATTATACGCAAATATACGGACATTATATTGCTTTTAACATACGTGCAGGTAGATTTAGTTTGTGTATGCATATGTTGTGGCATTATCTTTACAGACAATATTACATCTTATATACAGGGTTACTTGATAATGGTGTTGAAACGGGTTTGTTAATTATTTGTAACTAGTTATAGCCAACTGCACATACATGAAATTGTTATGCCTTGATTTGAAATGGGTTTCAAATAATGTTGCCAATCCGGTCAATGCAAAATTACTTACCAAGTAGTGCGGATAAAGCTTGCATACTCTATCACATTGTGCACCCAGCTTTCTTTATATTTGTCTGGCAACCACGCTCTCCTGACATTACCAATGACAGACAAAAGTTTGAATTTGAATATCGATAATTCACATTGTTTTTATCCGGAAACTTGGTAAATTTGTCTATTATTTATGACAAGTACAATGTAAACAATGTCTAACACTATACATTAGCATATTTTGCTACGAAGAGAAGCTGTTCACAGCTTACAAGTTTTCAATTTGCTCAATTTTCTTCAGCCGTTTATTCATATTTTATACTGCCATATTTTTATTTGGTTTTCTGCTTCATTTTTCACCCCTTTGGTTATGCCTGAATCCAGACGAAAGAGAAAGGCCACTGGGCCTCCTGAGGACGCCCAAATCGTCACCACCAACTTGCACTGGTGCCACAAAGAGATGCGAGATCGCCTAAAGAAGAAAAGTGTAAAACCTGCATCGCCATGTAAGTAGTTTACCAATACTATAATAATAATTTTGAAAGTTCATTTTATAATATTTAATTACTCAATATATTTACACTCAAATAAAATTATAAATTATTACATAAAAATGTTGAGCGTTATGTAGACTCAGCAGAGGGAGCAGCCCACCCCACTGGCAGAGCACGCACAAATACTCTGATACAGCCCAGTGTTGCTTCTGCATGCACGATTTCCACATGGATACAAACGCCCAAAGAGCATAGCGATTCGGTAAAGGACGAGGCCGCACGCGAGTGGGAACACTACATTAGCAAACCACAAGCAGGCGTGCTTGAGCTGGCTGAGCCCAAGGCTGCGGATCGCAGGGAGCGCGCGGCCAATGTTTCAAAGGTTATCCACAAGGGCGTCGAGATGTTTGCGTCCAGCTCCAACCACATACTAGCCGACGATGCAGCTATGCTTGAACAGATTATCATGGCCGACTCAATCCATTCCAGCCGCTCGACACGCTCAAAGAAAACAGCTATCAAAAACCTTGCATCTGAACTGCGCTTGGCCAGCAACAAGTTCTCATTGTGGACCAGCACACACAACTCGGCAGATAGGTTGTCCACCGAAAGACAATTCTATCCACCAGTTATTGCCTTTTTTGTGTTTGTCGGGTTGGTCAGCCACGCACTGGATACCTGTTCTCTTGGGGAGAAGGCACGGCCAGTACCACTCAGAAAGATTTTGCCTTGTCACTCGACAGACAAAATGTGCGAGGATTCACAGTCGGACGAAAGGATCGACATTGGCTTGGAGACGAAGAGCATAGGCAGTGCATCTGTTGGCCGCACCTTCAGTTGGCAGAAGGAAAAGGTTGCCACTCTCGATGAGGCCATAGTAATATGGTACTCAAAACTATTCTTAGTTATCGAAGTGAAGCAGGGAAGCACGAAAGGCGACAAGGTTGATGCTGTACAGCAATTATTCCGCTACACCCGCAACCTTTTTCGCACCCAGCACAATCGTCGTTTTGCTTGGGGGCTGACAATTTGTGGCAGCTTTGTGCAGACCCATTTTTTGGTCCAAATTTTGTAGCGACCTCTCCAGAAATGGATGTGCATACAGAGGCAGGCCGTGGTGCATTCGTTGGGCTGACTGTCAACTGGTCTTTCTGCAGCGAGGATCAGCTCGGATATGATTCTTCAGTGAGGTATTTAAATAACCTTGGCTGCTGGGAGATAACAGTGTCTGGCGGTTCTATAGGCGACACAGATAACAGCAGCAGCAGCATCGATACTGTTTCACTGGGGTCTACTGGGGAGGTGTTTTACAGCAGCACCATCCTTTTGACTGCTGATCGGATGTTTGGGCGGCACACACGGTGCTTTATAGCAACAGAGGTCAAGCCGACTGAAAGGAGTTGCATCAAGATGGAGGATTGCGACACCCTAATTAAGGATGCATGGCTAGAGTCTGTGGGGGTTGGAGGTGTGGATCCGCGCAATGAGGTTGCTCATCTGCACGACATCACCCAGACGCTGAAACATTATCAGGAGCTTGCAGGCACATACCCAGAACTCAAATGTGGCGGTCTAGTGCGCCTTCAGCAGGACAGCGACAACACATTTACTGAGGACACGACCCTCAGTATTCTTGGCGATCTTTTTTCCAATTTAGCAGTTGGCAACAAAAAAGAGCAGGAGCACAAGCCACAACTCCGTGTACACAGGCGTGTTGCCATGTCGCCAATTGGAAAGCCGCTTAATATGCTCAAGTCTGTGCCAGAACTCATCATTGTCGTTGCCGACGCCATGCGTGCTCACCGCGCTATTGTCGAGCATTGTCACATCCTGCACCGCGATGTTATGCCAGGGAACATCCTGTTCCGGCGCATGAATGATGGAACCGTCAAGGGTATGCTGGTTGACTTTGATCATGCGGTCAATTCTTTAAAGGGCCCTCATACTCCACATGATGAGCGCACAGGTACTCTCCCGTTTATGTGCATTCACGCCTTAGAGAGAAGCCAACTCCCACGCACCGAGCTCGACGACTGGGAGACGCTGATTTATGTCTTAATTTGGATTGGGACATATGGCTTTAAAGGCGCAAATGGCCGAGATGCTAAAATCAAGTATTGGGTTGGCGGCACAACATTAAAAGACATTGCCAAAAATAAGCGCGGCGATTTGGACAGCAGTTCCAGTTTTAAATCTATCCTCAACCAGTTTGATAGTAGTGTGGATCATATCAATATTCTTGCAGGGTTGCTGAGTATGATGCGCGATGCTCTAATCGACAATGCAGGGTGCAGCGAGAATGGCAGGGGCGCAAATATGAAACAACCTTTTGACCATGGCAAATGTGAATCATCCGCCTCGAAAGTCATGCCTGGTTCATTTCCTCCATTATCCAAATCCGCATTGCCGGTTGAATGGCGAGACACTATGAACACTCCAATGATTGATCCGTTTGAAGTGCGTGCTGACATGGCATCAACTATTGCCAAAGAGCTGTTGGCCATTTTGAAAAATATTTCTGGGTATTGCCAAGAATTGTTGATCAAGGCAGGAACTGAGAGCAGCGAGTCAAGCACAGATGCTTAGGCATTCATATTATTTTATTATATTTTATATTTTATTAGTCATTTATCATTTTCATTTCCATCTAAATATCAACTATTCTTTTTATCAATTACCAATTCATTAATAGTAAAATATATCGTAACTTAATGACAATATTAGATATGGAAATTTTGCAATGGTGCGGGAAATTTGTGGATTTAATATGCATGTAGTGATTCTCATCACATAAGCTCGGCTGGGCCGAGAGCTTGCAGGTCAATGCCGATCAGGCATTAATGGAACAGCAGCCAGGATTTTATAGCTGCATATAAAATGGAAGCAGGGAAGGCTCAACAGGAGGTTTCCTCAGTTTTTAGGTTTTATTACAGATTTATTGAACTCATTTATCACGGCAATTACTAAAATGCATTTATTTATATAGCAAATACGATAAATCAAAAAACAATGTGAATCGATAAAGAAAATAGCTAACGCTTTCGGGTTGATAAGCATAGTTTAATCATGACTAAGAAATATGAATCTGATACAGCACAATGTGGAGTGAGGACGCATTACCAGCTTTTATGACATCAACAGTTTAGCAGCACAGCAGTTGCACATGCAGCTGAGACAAAGCGCAAGGAATTTATCACTAAATGAATGGTTGTTGATAACTGTGGGAGCAAGTGGAAAGAGTATCAATAGTCAGTGAAACGTGCAGGTAGGCAAGGCAAGGCAAGACAAGCAAGCACACACATGTTGCTGAGTGAGCAGTCTTCAACTGCAAACCAAGGCAGAAGTGCACAACAGTCGCCGAATAAACGAAAGAGCAGCAATGGCAACGTGTGGTGCTAGAGTACGAGATGTCTGAGCAAGATTAGGGCAGCTCACAGGTCGCGAGTCGATCAGGATCCAATGTCGATGAAGGCAAGAGCGAAATGACACAAATGCGTGCGCGTGTCTGTCTGTGTATAAGAAAAAAGGGCATGCACACCATGCAATGGTGCTATCCGTGGCTTATAGACGGTCAGCCACAATATATCCACTCGGTCTCAGACTCCGTCATCAATCTCCAAGTGTCTCTTCTATAAGTGCCAACAAAGCAGCACAGCGATAAACACTCACAGGGGCAAGGGTCAGCCAGGCACAAATATAGGTGCAAAAAGAGGCAGCCGGGCAAACAAGAAAAACAGAGCAAAGCCGAGAAAGACAAAGAAAAGCGTGAGAAAAACAAAGAAAGACGCGAGAGACATGACAGGTAGGAACAAATGTGCAGAGCGTGACGCTCCCAATTGCTGACAAAGGCGGCAGCCGTGGGCCACAGCTTCACAGGTGGTAAAGCAGGCTACAGTAGCAGACATAAGCAGAGTAAAGTCAAATCAGGGCGCAGTGCCAAAAAGCACAAGATGGACTCAACGTGGGAGTAGATAGAGGAGGGGACAAAGGGCACACTACAATAGGCAAGCAACATCACGAAAACCGAAAGTGACACACTAGCAATGAGCAACGAGGCCAAAGGACGACAAAGTGACAAAAACCAAGCGCACAGGCCACAAAGTGCGGAATGGGCATGCAGGCGCAAACAACAGACAAGAAACAACAACAAGCGTTCTCCACATTGTCTGCCACTTGCACGGTCGGGGTGCAAATGGAGCAGGCGATGAGAACAGTGGCAGAGAGCAATCAGGATCTGCCCGTAAAAAGAGGCAGAGCAGATGTGAGACAAGCACGCTCAGTGTGAGCACTGAGCGAAAGAGATAGGCCTAGACGCGAGTGGACAAGATGACAAGGCAGAGGTTGATCGAGAGCCGCTGGTTCCAGTTATGTTGGCACAGCAAAAACAAAATGAGAGAGAAGCCAAAACGAGACCCAGGACAGAGACTCAAGATCGGCCAGTTGTGTGCTGCTGCTGGTAGTGATGTTGCTGCTGCTGATACTGGTGCGTGGCTAAAGAGACAGTGACAGAGGGACCATGAGAGGCAAGATCGCAAGAATGGCATCAATGTGGAGTGAGACAAAACGACTATCAGTGCGGCAGAGCAAGCGGGTGTGAGGGAGCGGTGATAGAGTGAGACAAAGGTAGACCAGCAGTGTGCGCACAAGCGTGACAGAGAAAGCGCATCTCCACACAAGCGCTTTGGCGAGGGCAGCAGTGGAGCAGCAAACAGACAAACAAAAGAAACCGGAATTCGAATGCACAAATTCAAAAAGTGCTAAAGTGAAAATAAAAGTGCCAAATGGGCAAAAGTTGAATGACTGAAAGAAAGAGGAAAGAGCGACAGAGTGAAGGACAAAGCCCAAGCACTAAAATAGGGGTAAATGAGATTACAGCAAGAAGCGAAGAGAAAAGGCCATTTGAAGGAATACTTGTGCGCCTCTAACGCCAAGAACAGCGACAGAAATGCAAAAAAATAAAACAAGAATAGAAAAGGAAGAGTCGACCACAGAAGGTTTTTGGCGACCATATATCTACACGGCAACTCGCTGCGTTTTTGACTCGTACGACAGGCAGAAGGAGCAGCCGCAGAAGATATAATAAGCTGCTTGCAATACAACTGCTTGCAAAATCCAAAAAGAATAATAGGTGTAAATAAAAGACAAGCGCTGAATATTCGTTTGCCAAATGTAAACAAAAACCAAAATATTTACCATTTTTGACACAGTACCTTGGTGCGATTCTTATTATAAAACCCCAATAAAACATTAAACGAGTAATCCACAATAATTCCCTTGCAATGGGCGGCGGAGCTGTGTTTATAACTATCGAGGGGACAGTGGTGGTGGTTTCCGAATGTAAGGGATTGTGTCTTGCGCGGTAGTTGAGGCGGCTGTCCTAAATTAGTGTTGCGGAACGCAAAGATTAAAATATTTACCATTGATTGTGTGTGTATTTTGTTATTGCAAATCATCACGCACATAACTGCTTCTCTTTTTTTCCTTTTTCTTCTCCGTTCAAATTATTTTGATATATTTTCAATAGTTACACGCTTTGCAAACCAGCATCACCTTGTTTAATTCACACTTATATTCTAAACATGCCGACAAAGAGAGTCCGTCAAAACGACTGTGCGCAGCCGGTTACCGCAAAGCGGCAGAAGCGACAGATGAACGCTTCTCAGCCAACAAACACAAAGAGAAAGGCAGCCGCGGCCTCCAAGCAGGCACCGTCAGGCAAGAGAGCAAGGAAAAACGCGGATACTGCTGCCAACGCCGCGCAGCTGCAAAACAACAGAAAACGCGTGTACAAGAAGAAAGCAGCCCCGCGCCAGAACAAAGCCCAGCCTGTGCCTATTACGCCGTCTGATAGTAAGTGTTTGTTTGTTTGTTTTATTTGCAGACAGTTGCGTATGCCGACACATATCCTTGCGGCCAGCGTAAGGTGCTTTGGTGCGCTCACAACATACTAACAGCATTTTATTATTCCGAAATTGTTTTGTAGGCAGCAACACAAAAGAAGGCAGTCCAGCTGGTGACGAGCAGGCCGACACAGCACCCGGCCCTTGTCCCAGCAACGGCCACGTTGATACCAAGCCCAGCTCGTCGGAAAGACAAAAGATGTTTGAGCGTATGGAGCCGGCTATGCGCGAGTTAAAGCGACACCTCAGCGGACCACATCCCAGCGTCGTCGAACTGGCAGCACCAGTGGCTGCAGAATACAAGCAGAGGGCGGCCACGGTTGCTGATATTGTTTACCGGGCCATGGAGCAGCTTTCATCTGGCTCCAAGCACACGCTGGGTGGCGACTTGGCTATTATGGAAGAGCTCATCAACGCCGACTCGGTCTGGCCCGTTAGGCTAGCTCGCTCGAACTACGCCGCCATTGATTATTTGGCGAGCAGGCTCAGGCAGGACTACGATGCGCTTTCCAGGTGGACAGGCGCACACACACCTAGCGACCACAACGGAAGCAGCAGCAGCAGTGGCGACGTAAGCAAGGGTGCCGAGTCATTTACCTCGTTTGTATCTCGTATTATTCAGGGGCTGCATCAGCATGCCAAAGGAGAGCAAGGACGCCCCGAGCCACGCCGGGTGCTCATTCCGTCCACTGCGCCAGTCAGCACTACAGATACTGGGAAGAGTGCACCCACCAGACCACTGGTCGGATTGGCTTGGGAATCGACTCTACGCTGGCCACTGTCGCTACGACCGACAGCTCCGAGGCAACGTTGGACGGCAATATAGACGCAATCGACAACAACGACGAGTGGTACGCCGGTCTGTTTGCCGCCATCGAGGTCGGGCAAGGCTTGTCGTCGGGTGACGTGGACGATGCCGCGTTGCAGCTGTCTAAGCACTGTCGCCGCATTTATCGCGCGCAACCCAACCGGCGCTTTGTGTGGGGCCTGACTATTTGCGGCAGCTCTGTCCGGGCATACTTGTTTGGATGCAACTTTGTTCTGGTCTCTGAAGCCATGGACATTTGCACCGAGGCGGGCCGCGGCGAGGTCATCAAGCTGTTTGTTAATTTGTCCTTTAGCGAGGACCACCGGCTGGGTTTCGACCCAAGCATTAAGCACTTGCATGACCTCGACTGTTGGGAGATTACGGTTCCTGGCACAGCCACCATGGACAGTGCTGACAGCACGGACAGCAGCAGTGGCAATGCCAGTTTTTATGGATCTATTGGATCTACTGAACGCACATTCTACAGTAGCCACATATTAACTGAGGCTAGTCATTTGTTTGGGCGGCTCACGCGGTGCTTTTTAGCAACGGATAAGAAGCCAACCAGAGACAATCGCATCAGAAGCAAGGACTGCACCGTTTTTATCAAGGACGCTTGGACCGAGGTGGCTGATGGAAGTGGTATCAATGACGTGCGCGACGAGGTTGCCCATCTGCGCAAGATCACCCGGACACTCGAGCGCTATCCAGAGCTTGCGGGCACATACCCAGTCCTCGAAGCTGGCGGTCGCATTAAATTCCAGAGTTGCAGCAGCAATACATGTACTGAGGACACGACGCGCAGCATTCTTGGGGACCTATTTGACAATGTCACAGTCGGCGAGAAGATTCGGAAGCTGCCATTTTGTGCACACAAGCGCATTGCCACGTCGCCGATTGGCATGCCACTTGATAGGCTCCAGTCCGTTCCCGAGCTGATCATTGCTGTTGCCGATGCTATGCGCGCCCACCGCGCCATTGCCGAGCACTGCAATATATTGCACCGTGATATCTCAGCAGGCAACTTTCTTTTCCGGCGTATGATGGATGGCACTGTCAAGGGCATGTTGATTGATTTTGACCATGCGATCAACTGCGAGAATCTGGATGCGATGCCGAAAAACGAGCATATCGGCACACTGAATTTCATGAGCGTGAACAACCTCGAGGGCAACAGCAACAAGCGCACCGAGCTCGACGACTGGGAGGCGCTGATTTATGTCCTGGTGTGGCTTGGAACATTTGGACTCAATGGCACACCCAAACATGACAGTGATGCAAGTGAACACAGAAGGACTGCAGGTGCTAGAATCAAGTATTGGGTTGACGGCACAATATTGAAGGACATTGCCAGCTACAAGCGCGGCGATTTGGACAACAGTTCCAGTTTTAAATCTATCCTCAACGAGTTTGATAGTAGGGTGGAGCATACCAATGTTCTTGCAGGGTTGTTGAGTATGATGCGCAATATTCTAATCGACAATGCAGGATGCAGTGAAGACGGTAGGGGCGCAAATATGAAACACCTTTTTAACCATGGCAACTACGAATCATCTGCCTCAAAAGCCACGCCTGGTTCACTTTCTCCATTGTCCATATTTGCATTGTTGGTTGAATGGCAAGAAGCTATGAACAGTCCAATGATTGATCCGTTTAAAGCGCGCGCTGACATGGCACCAACTATTGCCAAAGAGTTGTTGGCCATGTTGGAGAATATTGCTGAGTATTGCCAAGAATTGTTGAACAAGACAGAAACTGAAAGCAACGAGACAAACACAACGAACTAGTTCATTTGTTTATTTTTAGGGAAGCTAATTTTGGAATATATTTTTTACATATTAATTATAAATTGTTTGCATTCAAATATTAATGCTAAATTGAAACGTGTACATATGAAGCATAGCATATTTAATAGTGAGTGCAATAAGCTATATATTTGAGAAAATAATAGCTACAGCTGTATGAATGTTGAAATTTGTGGTTATCCGTCATGTTTTCAGTTTTGAATAACTAGATACATAATCTGTGGTGCCCAAGTCACATTTTTGATTTCTCTTGCCGTCTTGATGTGACAACATTACTAATAGTGTTAGTGTTGCCGCAGTGTTTATTTTTAATATGTATTGCTCACATCAAATGTCAACAAAGGCCTTTACAGCGCCACACAGACGCGGCGTTAATTTTTAATTCCACACCAGACATTCCCCCTCAAACCCTTTTTATTTTTACACTATTCAACAGTTCAACTTATTCAGTACATCAACACCCAGGCACTACATAATCAGGAATTTTAATAATATTATTTTCGACTACATTATACGCAAATATACGGACATTATATTGCTTTTAACATACGGTGCAGGTAGATTTAGTTTGTGTATGCATATGTTGTGGCATTATCTTTACAGACAATATTACATCTTATATACAGGGTTACTTGATAATGGTGTTGAAACGGGTTTGTTAATTATTTGTAACTAGTTATAGCCAACTGCACATACATGAAATTGTTATGCCTTGATTTGAAATGGGTTTCAAATAATGTTGCCAATCCGGTCAATGCAAAATTACTTACCAAGTAGTGCGGATAAAGCTTGCATACTCTATCACATTGTGCACCCAGCTTTCTTTATATTTGTCTGGCAACCACGCTCTCCTGACATTACCAATGACAGACAAAAGTTTGAATTTGAATATCGATAATTCACATTGTTTTTATCCGGAAACTTGGTAAATTTGTCTATTATTTATGACAAGTACAATGTAAACAATGTCTAACACTATACATTAGCATATTTTGCTACGAAGAGAAGCTGTTCACAGCTTACAAGTTTTCAATTTGCTCAATTTTCTTCAGCCGTTTATTCATATTTTATACTGCCATATTTTTATTTGGTTTTCTGCTTCATTTTTCACCCCTTTGGTTATGCCTGAATCCAGACGAAAGAGAAAGGCCACTGGGCCTCCTGAGGACGCCCAAATCGTCACCACCAACTTGCACTGGTGCCACAAAGAGATGCGAGATCGCCTAAAGAAGAAAAGTGTAAAACCTGCATCGCCATGTAAGTAGTTTACCAATACTATAATAATAATTTTGAAAGTTCATTTTATAATATTTAATTACTCAATATATTTACACTCAAATAAAATTATAAATTATTACATAAAAATGTTGAGCGTTATGTAGACTCAGCAGAGGGAGCAGCCCACCCCACTGGCAGAGCACGCACAAATACTCTGATACAGCCCAGTGTTGCTTCTGCATGCACGATTTCCACATGGATACAAACGCCCAAAGAGCATAGCGATTCGGTAAAGGACGAGGCCGCACGCGAGTGGGAACACTACATTAGCAAACCACAAGCAGGCGTGCTTGAGCTGGCTGAGCCCAAGGCTGCGGATCGCAGGGAGCGCGCGGCCAATGTTTCAAAGGTTATCCACAAGGGCGTCGAGATGTTTGCGTCCAGCTCCAACCACATACTAGCCGACGATGCAGCTATGCTTGAACAGATTATCATGGCCGACTCAATCCATTCCAGCCGCTCGACACGCTCAAAGAAAACAGCTATCAAAAACCTTGCATCTGAACTGCGCTTGGCCAGCAACAAGTTCTCATTGTGGACCAGCACACACAACTCGGCAGATAGGTTGTCCACCGAAAGACAATTCTATCCACCAGTTATTGCCTTTTTTGTGTTTGTCGGGTTGGTCAGCCACGCACTGGATACCTGTTCTCTTGGGGAGAAGGCACGGCCAGTACCACTCAGAAAGATTTTGCCTTGTCACTCGACAGACAAAATGTGCGAGGATTCACAGTCGGACGAAAGGATCGACATTGGCTTGGAGACGAAGAGCATAGGCAGTGCATCTGTTGGCCGCACCTTCAGTTGGCAGAAGGAAAAGGTTGCCACTCTCGATGAGGCCATAGTAATATGGTACTCAAAACTATTCTTAGTTATCGAAGTGAAGCAGGGAAGCACGAAAGGCGACAAGGTTGATGCTGTACAGCAATTATTCCGCTACACCCGCAACCTTTTTCGCACCCAGCACAATCGTCGTTTTGCTTGGGGGCTGACAATTTGTGGCAGCTTTGTGCAGACCCATTTTTTTGGTCCAAATTTTGTAGCGACCTCTCCAGAAATGGATGTGCATACAGAGGCAGGCCGTGGTGCATTCGTTGGGCTGACTGTCAACTGGTCTTTCTGCAGCGAGGATCAGCTCGGATATGATTCTTCAGTGAGGTATTTAAATAACCTTGGCTGCTGGGAGATAACAGTGTCTGGCGGTTCTATAGGCGACACAGATAACAGCAGCAGCAGCATCGATACTGTTTCACTGGGGTCTACTGGGGAGGTGTTTTACAGCAGCACCATCCTTTTGACTGCTGATCGGATGTTTGGGCGGCACACACGGTGCTTTATAGCAACAGAGGTCAAGCCGACTGAAAGGAGTTGCATCAAGATGGAGGATTGCGACACCCTAATTAAGGATGCATGGCTAGAGTCTGTGGGGGTTGGAGGTGTGGATCCGCGCAATGAGGTTGCTCATCTGCACGACATCACCCAGACGCTGAAACATTATCAGGAGCTTGCAGGCACATACCCAGAACTCAAATGTGGCGGTCTAGTGCGCCTTCAGCAGGACAGCGACAACACATTTACTGAGGACACGACCCTCAGTATTCTTGGCGATCTTTTTTCCAATTTAGCAGTTGGCAACAAAAAAGAGCAGGAGCACAAGCCACAACTCCGTGTACACAGGCGTGTTGCCATGTCGCCAATTGGAAAGCCGCTTAATATGCTCAAGTCTGTGCCAGAACTCATCATTGTCGTTGCCGACGCCATGCGTGCTCACCGCGCTATTGTCGAGCATTGTCACATCCTGCACCGCGATGTTATGCCAGGGAACATCCTGTTCCGGCGCATGAATGATGGAACCGTCAAGGGTATGCTGGTTGACTTTGATCATGCGGTCAATTCTTTAAAGGGCCCTCATACTCCACATGATGAGCGCACAGGTACTCTCCCGTTTATGTGCATTCACGCCTTAGAGAGAAGCCAACTCCCACGCACCGAGCTCGACGACTGGGAGACGCTGATTTATGTCTTAATTTGGATTGGGACATATGGCTTTAAAGGCGCAAATGGCCGAGATGCTAAAATCAAGTATTGGGTTGGCGGCACAACATTGGAGGATATTGCCAGCTACAAGCGCGACAATTTGGACAACAGTTCCATGTTTAAATCTATCCTCAACCAGTTTGATAGTAGGGTGGATCATATCAATGTCCTTGCAGAATTGTTGAGTATAATGCGCGATGCTCTAATCGACAATGCAGGATGCAACGAGGATGGCAGGGGCACAAATATGAAACAACCTTTGACCATGGCAAATGTGAATCATCCGCCTCAAAAGTCACACCTGGTTCACTTTCTCCGTTATCCAATTTCGCATTTCCGGTTCAACAGCAAGAGGTTATGAACACTCCAATGATTGATCCGTTTGAAGTGCGTGCTGACATGGCACCAACTATTGCCAAGGAGCTGTTGGCCATTTTGGAGGATGTCGCTGAGTGTTGTCGAGAATTGTTGATCAAGGCAGGAACTGGAGCAGCAAGTCAAACACAGATGCTTAGTCATTCTTATCATTTTATTATATTTTACATTATATTAGTCATTTATCATTTTGATTTTCATATAAATGTCCTTTTTGATTTTATATCTTTTCTAACATATATACACATTTAAATTGATTTGTTTTGATCGTAATCACGATACACTCGGATTTAATCAAGGTTGTGTTTTTTTTTTGGATGAGGGGGGAGTGGGATTTTTAAAATTGATTTATTCGAGACCACATTGCCTTTTTTTCTTTTTTTTCTTTTTTTTACTCCATTGGCTTATATGTATTAAAAAAATAAACATGTCTTTTACTCATACCTGCTGCAACACACCAGCGGTCAAAGCCGAGTACACGGCTAAGGGTGTAAAGGGCGCAATCGGAGATATGGAGTGCTACTTTGCGGGTAACAAAGAGTCCAAGCGCGCGATTATCGTCACGTACGACCTTTTTGGATACCACGCAAACGTTATCCAGCTGTGCGACATCCTGGGCAGCCAAGGATTTTACGTAGTTCTGCCAGACTTTTTGCGCGGCAAGCCGCTCACAGAGGCGGATCTGGGCAAACCCGGGGTGTTTGCCAAGTTTGCAGCCAACGAGGGCAGCTGGGCGGCCAACAAGGCAGCGCACAAGGCTGTGTATGATTTCTTGAAGGCCGAGGGTGTGACGTCGGTGGGCGTCATTGGGTTCTGCTGGGGCGCACACATTGCTGTGTCTGCGGCGTCGGATGTGGATAGGGGGTTTGGTGGCGTGGCGATTGTGCATCCGTCGATGATTTCGGAGGGTGATTTGGGCAAGGTGCAGGCGCCGTTGCTGGCACTGCCAAGCAAGGACGAGCCGGATTACTCCAAGGACTTTGAAAGCCTGAAGGACAAGGCGTTCTTTGACAAGTGCTACATGGAGCGGTTTGACGATATGTTCCATGGGTTCTGCGGAGCGCGCGGCGACTGGTCCAAGCCCGAGCAGGCCAGGCGTGCCAACGACGCAATCAAGCTAATTGCCAAGTTCTTCAACAATGTTCTCTGAATATAGATAAAGAAACATATATTTTTTATACATGTGAAGTTGTAATGTTGAACATGTTAAATTAAACCAAGCAGAGGCAAATAATATTAAATAATATTTCTAGTCCTCAATGGGCTCTAGGGCTTCCATGGACACGATGCTGTTTCCCCGGATGACGGCAACGCCCAGTGGCGAGTGGTCTTCTTCGAGAGAACCTCAAAGGCGTCGGCCAGATGTACGTTCATGAATGCGTCGTAGCCGCGGAGCACGCCGATGACAGTTCTGTTGCCGTTGAGCTGCAGATGGAGCTTCTTGTCCATGTAGTTCTTGAGCTCAGGGGCCATGGTCCGGACCATTTTTTGATATGCTTTGATACGAGAGATTCGGAAAAGGAAGTGAGGTTTTTGTGAAAGAGGGAATAGGAAAGCAGGAGACTCTATAAGCTTAAATGTAATTATATATATATATATTTTTTTTAGGGACGCATTCAATTATAAAAAAGGTAAGACTGGAATTTCCTGTTTTGGCAATATCGGTGCACGGCGGGCGATGCAAGTTTAGGCCAAGTCACATGCGATCTGTGAATGGTAAAACAAATTATTGTAAGATTTGATTGACTGGGTACAGATCTGTTGTTTCTTTGCAGAGTGGATTGACTAGTTCAGTTGGCAAATAGAAACAAGTAAAAAAAACACATTGGGTGAATGAGTTCTCATGCGCATAAAATCCATTAGTACTATCTGGATTTATGCGCGGAGAGACGCATTCATCCTGCAAAGTTTGATCAGCACCGACAGAAACAAAAAATAAATAACTGATAGTCGCCAGCGAAAGAGTCGAGGCAAGCGATAGTGTTGACTTTTTTCTTCTTTCTTTCTTTCTTTCTTCTATTCATAGGCCATAGGCATTCTCCCAATCGTGTTCAATATCACCATCATCTTATTTGGCAATAATGCGTGTGCAAGAGACATATAGCGAGTTTCCGGTGCGTGCAGTGATCGTCATGGGGGTCAGTGGCAGCGGCAAGAGCACGGTGGGGGCGCGACTGGCGCAGCAGCTGGGCAATGCGCCGTTCATCGACGCTGACTCGCTGCACCCGCCAGCAAACATCGCGCTGATGAAGAGCGGCACGGCGCTGACGGACAGCAACCGGTGGCCATGGCTCAAGCTCGTGCGCGAAGAGATCGAAAAGAAATCAAAAAGCGTACTGGCATCATCAGATGGTAACGGCATGGGGAGAGCGTACATGCGAGTGCGCGGCAGACCATCCATCGTGGCAGCAGCCAGCCAGCAGCAATAGAAGCGCCGGTGGGGAGGCGAGGGATGAAAGGCGACTGCTGTATGTGGTGTGCGCGTGCTCGGCGCTCAAGCGCAGCTACCGCGAGCTGCTGTCGCGCGGCGACCCGGGCTTGGGGTGGACGCACGATACGGTGTTTGTGTTCGTGGACGTGTCGAAGCGCGAGCTCTCGCGGCGGCTGGCGCTGAGGGCCGGGCACTTCATGGACCCGGCGCTGCTGGACTCGCAGCTCGAGACGCTCGAGGCGCCGAGCGTCACGCGCGAGGCGGCGGTGGTCGTGCACGGCGACGGCGCGGCGGTCGACGAGGTTGTGGCGGACGCGTGGCAGCAGATCCGAGGGTACGTGTCGAAGAACTCGCTGTGAAAGGGCGTGTTGGCGGCGGCAGCGCAGCAATCTAGAATTCCATCCAATACAATCCCACTGTGCTCTCTCCGCCGCGCGGCGGCAGGCAGCGCAGCAACCCAGGCGGCGCCAGCAACCCAGGCAGCGCAGCAACCCAGAACGCAGCCAATCCAGTGCACAACAACCTAGTCCACTGCCTTCTCAACCATCCGCCAGCCGCTCGCCTCGGCCTCGTCGTGCACCAGCTCCCACGGCGGCCAGTAGTGGTTGTCGACGCGCAGGCTGAGCACGCGCGCGACCAGGTTCTTGCCGGCGACGGCGACGCGCACGTAGCGCGGGGCGCCAGACCGCATCGCGTCCAGCGCCTCGGCAAAGTCGTCCAGCGTCGCCACGGCGCGGCCGTCGATCTCGGTGATCCACATGCCCGGGCGCAGGCCGGCGGCGTTGGCCGGCGAGCCGAACAGCGTGCACGAGATGTACACGGCCGACGGCAGGCGCTGCACCTGCTCCAGCACGGCGCGGTACGGGCGCTGCACCAGCGCGCCGCACCAGTGCACGACGCGGCGCGTCTCCATGGCGTCCAGCTCGGTGGTCTCGACGTGCAGCGCCTGCTCGCGGCCGTCGCGCAGCACCACCAGGTCGACGGCCGGCGCGGCCACCACGGCCAGCGCGCTGACGTCGCGCACGGCCGCGCCGTCGCACTCCAGCACCACGTCGCCCACGCGCAGCGCGCGCGCAGCCGGCGTCTCGCAGGCCAGCAGCGCGCTTACCGAGAGCAGCTGCGCGTTCGGCGCGGCCTCGGCCTGCGCCAGCCGCGCGTCGCTCAGCCCCAGCGCGCGCGCGGCCGCCGGGCGCAGCGGCCACAGGTCGGCGTCCAGCGACCGCAGCGGCGGCGGCACGCGCGCCGCCGTGCGCAGCGCATCGAGCGCCGGGCGCAGCACGCTGATGTCCAGCCCCAGCATCGTCGTCGTGTCCTTGTGCGCGGCGTCCTGCGACGACACGCTGACCCACAGCGCCTGCACGCGGCCGCGCTCGTCGCACAGCACGCCGCCCAGGCACGGCGGCTGGTCGTTGAGCCGCAGGCCCTGCGCGTTGACGCAGCGGAAGCGCGGCGGCGCGCACTCGGCCGTCGCCACCATCGCGCGCGCCGCCACGCGCGTGCGCCGCACCACCGGCGTCTGGTCGGCCGACACGGCCACCACGTGCACGGCGTCGCCCTGCTCCAGCCGCCGCGCGCCGCTGTAGAAGTCGGCGTGCAGCGGCAGGTCGACGGGCGGCGCGCCGGCCAGCTGCGCGGCGTCGTAGCGCACCAGCGCGAAGTTGTGCGTCGGGTGCAGCAGCTCGACGCGCGCGCGCAGCACGGCCGACGCGGCCACCGTGACGTAGACGTCGCCCAGCGCGATCGGCACCGTGTCGCGGTCGCACACCACCAGCCCGCCGGCCGCGTCGACCACCAGCCCCGGGCCCTGGAACCGCGCCGCGCGCATGCCGTCGACCAGGAACGGCGCGTGGAACTCGACGCCGACGAAGCTGCGCCACACGGCGCCGGCGGGGTCCAGCGAGCGCGGCAGCGGATGGTGCGCGACCGTCTGCGGCGCCGCGCTGGCGCCCGCGGCCGGCCGCGCCATGTGCGAGTACTCCCACCGCCCCGTGGCGTCGTCGCGCGCCGCCAGCCGCAGCGCGTGCCACCGCGTGGACACGTGCATGATGCCGACGCGCTGCTTGTGCGGCCGGTCCAGCGCGACAAAGCGCACCGGCACGCGCGCGCCCTCGCGCAGCGCCGCGACCGCGCGCACGAACGCGTCGAGCCCGGGCGTGTCGACGCGGCCGACGCGCTGCAGCACCGAGCCGCGCCACGCGCCGGCCGACCCCAGCGCGTGGCCGCTGCTGGCCACGTAGACGCCGCCGACGGCCGCGCCGTAGCTGCGCGCCACCTGGTACGACAGCTCGTTGACGACGCCGCCGCCGAACTCGACGAAGCGGCTGGGCGTGATGGCGTGCAGGTCCTGCACGTGCAGCTGCGCGTCGTGTGCCGCGTCGCCGCGCCACACGCTGACGGCCAGCGTGCGGCCGACGGCCGCGTCCTCGGCCGCCTCAAAGCTGGCGAAGCCGCTGTGCGCCGCGCCGTCGACGGCCACGACGATGTCGCCGGCCCGCAGGTGCCCGTGTGCCGGCCCGCTGCGCAGCACGGCGCGCACCGCCAGCATGCCCTGCGCCTGCGGGAACGCCGCGCGCGCGCGCTGCTCCAGCGCCAGCGGCAGCCCCAGCCGCCGCAGCCCGTCGTACGGCACGTGCTCGAGCTCGGCCTGCACCGTGCCGCGCGCCACGCGCTGGCCGCGCCGCACGAGCCGCAGCGCGTGCACGACGCGGTCCAGCGGCAGGTAGAACGACGACGCCGCCTTGCTGGCGCCGCCGGCGTTGAGCGCCACGGCGTCGCCGGCGATGTCCAGCACCGGCGACCCCGACGACCCGCCGCTGGTGCCCGACGCCGCCTGCATGTAGAACGTGTTGAAGTCGTTGTACTCGCCCAGCCCGTACTCGGGCGCCGTGCGGTCCAGCCGTGCCAGCGTGCCGGCCAGGATCGACAGCTTCTCGCCGGCGTCGTTGCCCACGACGCGGATCTCCATGCCGACCTTGGCCTTGTGCGGCGCCAGCCGGATCGCCTCGGCCTCCATGAACTTGAGCTTGGCCGGGTCGAACCGGAAGAACCCAAAGTCGTGCACTGGGTCGCGGTACACCGCCTGCAGCTCGACCTCCTCGTAGTTGACGAAGACTGCCTGTGCGACCACTGGCCCTGGATTGACCACGTGGCGGTTCGACAGGATCAGCCCGGCCTCGACGTCGACCACGAACCCTGTGGCTGTGTACGTGCCGCTGGTTTCGGTGTCGAAAGACCGCACGCACTGCGCCTTGATCGAGACATCGACCGGATCGCGCGCTCCAGCGTCGGCTCCCAGCTGGCTGATGCCGGGCTGGGCGAGAACGGCGCGTCGAGCGGCAGCTCGGCAACCGTTGGCTGCGCCAGCGTGTTGGCCGGGTAGAACACTGCCATCAGGTCGGCGTACGCCAGCGACTTGCGCCGCTCTGACGGCAGCGGAGCCGTCTCACCGTAGCCCGTGTTTGCCAGCGACTGGCGCCGGCGTCTGCGGTGCGTATCAGCACCTGTGCCGCTGCCGTCGTTGTCAGCATGGTTGTTCCGGTTGGGTGCGCCGTGTTGATTTCGGGGATCGTGAACCGTCTGCTGCGCTGCGCCGGGTTCTGGCGCTGCTGTCCTTGAAGCGTGGCATTCGAATCGCCGTCTGCCTGCTGTTGATTTGACCTTGGTCCTGAGCCTTGCTTTCGCCGGTGTGATTGCTCATGGTTGATTGAAACGAGTATTTGATTGATTGATTGGTTGACTGACTGACTATATTCTATTGTTGTTCTAAATGTAATTGATTATATTTGCAATATGAACAATATGAATGATGATATTGATAGTTGGTTCAGGCTGGTAGTGATAAAGTTGCCAGAACAGCGGATACAAGGAAAAGAAAAAATTATAAGATGACCACACGCACCCTCCCTCGCCAGCCTCCATTTCCTCATATACACAAAAAAGGGTTTATTTTATTTGTTTGGAGAGGCCCCTCCTCCCCTTGGCCCAGCCCCCCCCCCTCCTTGTGTCCCACATCCCACTCCTCTCGTTTACACACATAACACACATGGGCATAACATCACATCACCACCGTTATTGTATTACTCACGCCTGACGTTTTGTTTGTTTGTCCGCCTGATTGATCGATCGTCATTCTAATGCATTGTCGCATCTTCAGTGAGTAGGAGACAACAACAACAGCAGCAGCAGCAGCCAAACTTCCCACTCGCCCTACTCCTCCTCTGCCGACACCGACACCGACGCCGACACAAACCCATTCGCAGCCCAGAACCCATGTCCCAGCGCGTCTTCAAGAACACGCACCTCGACAGCACCCTCGGGCGTGCGCGCCAAGTAGTGCAGCCTGTTGATGTCCATTTCGCGCAGGTACCCTGCCAGCCGCCCATAAAACATGCACACGTCCTGGGCGCCGTGGCTGTCGTCCGAGATGGTCACCCGGCCACCGCGGCTCAGGATTTCAGCTAGCAGATCGCGCTGCGGGTAGGCGTCGCGCAGGCCCTTCTTCCACGCGCGCGAGTTGATCTCGAATATGGCACCGTACCCGATGGCGTACTCGATGTTGCGCACAGCTAGCTGCCGCACCTCCGAGAAGGCATCCTCCAGGGGATCAACCTCCGCTAATCCTGCTATTGTGTTTCCGTACGGGTGGAATATGCGGACGAGATCAAAGTGACCGATGACTTCGGGCTGCAGCTCGCGCAGAAGATCCAGCTGCAGATCAAAGTAGCGGCGGAACATGGCCGCGCGATCACCGCCATACTTGAGCACAATGGCATCATACGACGCCTGGCTGAAATCCAACGGCATCTCGTCAATATGGTGTAGGGAGCCCACAAGGTAGTCTAGCTGGTAATTAGCACGCAGTTGCTTGGCCTCCTGCAGGCTGGCCGCTGTAATGTGCTCGGTCTCGGCGCCAATCAGAATATTATTTGCCCAGAGTACTTGGCTCGCAGCCGCTGTGCCTCTGAGACATACTCGGCAAACGCTGTGCTTAGGTCGGACGGCGCCATGTCAGATTCTTCCGGGTACAGGTCCTGGGTGCGTGACCGTGGCACATGCTCGGACAGCCCACAGCTATCATGCCCTTGTCGATCGCTGCCTTGATGACTGCCTCTAGGCTGCCCGATGCGTGCCGGCAGAACTGCCCCGAATGCATGTGGAAGCTGAACGGCATTGGTCAAAAAAATGTAATTTTTAAATTGATATATTTATATTATATGTGAAGCTAAGCAATAAACAACAAGCAAAAGAAAAGGCAACGAACATAGCGGACTTACAACTTTTTATATTTTTATTCTCGTCTTTAGTGAATTTGAAATCCCTTTTTATTTTTATTTTTTATTTTCCCAATCCTTTTCTTTTGCATTTCGCTAATGCGTCACACTGCTACACACGCTGCCGTTATATTTAACCCACCTTCACACACACACACCACACCAAAACTTCTATTCAGCCCACGCCTAATTCCAAATGAAGCGACAAACAGGCATCGGAATCATACGCCAGGGCGCTGACGGTGGGTCCTCGTACTTTCAGCGACGCGTGCAGCCTGTGTCATCGACAGCAGCAGCAGCAGCAGTACAGCATCAGCACCAGTATCAGCGCCAGAATTGGAGATACCTCAACCACAGCAGGCAGGACCACAGCAACCACAACAGGCAGATCCACCATCAGACAAAACCGCTGATGCCAAATCTTCAGGCCAGTCGGACCAGGCCGCCCGGCTGCACGGACTCAATGCCATCGCCGTGCTCACCAACCACCCAAACAAGGCACCCGCGCGCATACACCGCAATGAGCTGCCGGCCGTCGCGCGCACACACTACCCCAAGATAAAGAGCAACGACTTTGACACCTACCTCGATGCCACCACGGCGCTGTACGAGCAGTACACTGCCAACACAAAGGCCGGCTACCACATTGCTGCCGACGGGCTCGACCGCTACGAGGCCGCTGTCGAGGATGCGAGAAGGTGCTTGACGTTGCCAGCCACACGTACTCCATGGACTCGACCACCATGGCCGAGCGCCTCAAGACGCTGGACGCCACGCGCAGCGAGTTCGGCCTGGATTCCATCAGCGAGTACGGCGGCCGCGTGCCCAGCACCGCCGCCATGCCGGGCATCGACGATGTGCCGACCATTTTCTTTGAAGAGTCCTTTGACCTGCGCGACCCGGCGACTTTTGACATTGCCACGCAGGTCGTGCTTGGCCCGCAGTCCGCCACCGACGGCCTGTTTGCCCCCGACCGGGCCGAGGCCACCAGCGCGCTCATGCAGGAAACGCTGTCCGAGTACATGGACATTGTCGAGGCCTATCTAACGCGCGAGATCTCGCGCCGCTCTCCGGCCTTCTTTGCCGCCCTGTCGACGCTCGAAGAGCTGCATGCTGAGACCGACCGCTGCATTGACAACATCCACGTGCTGCGCGCTGACCTTAAGAGAACCGCCCTCACACAGTGCTCGCCGGGGCTCGAGATGATCCGCCTGCGCCGCCGCCAGGACCACCTGGCCTCTGTCCTCTCCGACGTCGAGCTACTGAGCAACTTGCGCCACATCCAGCCCACCATTGACGAGCTCGTTGCATCGGGCGACTGCATCGGCGCGCTCAACCTCATCACCGAAGCCCAGGCAATGATCGACCCCAACGGCTTGGCCAACCCCAAGCTGAAGGACACCAACGCGTTCAAGATTCTGAACGCCCACATGTTGCGCTCTCTCTCCGCCGTGTCAAGCTTTGCCGAGCAAGAACTGGCCGCCATTGTGTTGCGCGACATGCGCGAGTTCGTTGACGACGGCCTGTCCAGCACTGCTGACGGGCTGCTCGGCCGCTCGCAGGTCGACATATACCAGGTCAACTTGGCCATGCAGCTGACGCCCTTTGTCTGCGGCCTGGTGCGCACCGGCAGCATTGCCAATGCTCTCAAGTCGTACAGAGACTGCCTCATGTCAGAGTCCGCCGCCCTTATCGAGGCCCTGTATCCAAGCGACTTTCCCCGCAGCAAGGCGCACGCTGCCTTCAACGACGCCTCGCAACAGCGCGTGCTGGGCACGGCTGTTCGTGGCCAGACCTTTGATCAGTTTCGCACGATGCTGGGCCAGCAGCAAGAGCTGCTTCTGCTGCTCATCAGCCATATCAGCATGGTGCGCCGCGCCATCCTGGCTGTGCTGGACGAGAACCGCCCCACGGCGGATGAAAATGGCGCCAAACCCACAACAATCAATTCCAAGGGCGAGCAGACCTCGCCGTTGCTCCGGCGCTATGACGCTGCAAGGCCGATGTGCTGCGCTCGCTCAACGACACATTTGATGCGTTCATGGACGTCGCGCATGTGCGCTGTGCCAAGCTCCTGAATCACCGGTCGGAGCAGAACGCCCGCCTAAGCCTGGTCGGCTTCCACTCGCTGTACACGTCCATCTGGCACTTTATCACGCAGTACGAGGCCCTGGGCGGCAAAATGTGCTTTGGCTTGCGCGGCACGCTAACTGCCCAGGCAAAGGCCTTCCTGAGCAACTTTCACACGGAAAAGTCGCGCCAAATCCAGATCCTCATTGAGAATGACAATGGGTGCAGGCGGAGGTTCCGATTGATTTCCAAAACCTGGTCAACCAGGTCATTGACGCGGCCTACGCTGGCGATGCCTTGGTCGCCATTGATCCACAGAGCCCTCTTTTGCTGACCTCCTCCTTGCGCTTTGGTAACAAAAAGAACAGCACTGCGTCGCTGCCGTCCGCGCCTGCGCCTGCGCCTGCATCTGGGCTTGGCAGCACGCCGCTTGCAAACAGCCCACTGGCCCTGAGGCACCAGAACTCAGCCGGGTCGGACGGCCCGCAGCCGAAGCAGTTGATGGCCATGCCCAGGGCTTCTGCGGCGCCACAGTCTGAATCGCCGTTATCCGCAAGGAGCCTGACCCAAACACCGGCTGCGGACTGCTCATGACGCGGACAGACTCGATGCAGCTTCGATTCGATCCGTGGACACCGCAGCCATCGGGCTGATGCACATTGGCGGCGAGGCCTTCCACGTGGTAGGGTGCAGCCTGGTCCTAGTCAAGAGCGTTGTCGAGTACCTGCAGTGCGCGATCAACATCCCATGCTGGTCACGGACGTGCTGCAGAGGCTCGTCGAAGTGTTTAAGGCGTTTAACTCGCGCACGTGCCAGGTAGTGCTGGGCGCCGGTGCCATGCGGTCGGCAGGTTTAAAAAACATTTCAGCCAAGCATTGGCGCTGGCGTCCGAGTCGTTGTCACTGTGCATGGAGCTCATTCCATACGTCAAAGAGTGCCTGCGCCACGCCATGTCTCCCAGCCAGGAAGTTCTTCTGGCACAGCTGGACCGCATAGTCAGCGACTTTTCGAACCACCAGAGCGAGCTGCACCGCAAACTGGTGGCAATCATGGCCGACAGGGCTGACTACCACGGACGCGTGCTGGCAACGACCAAATGGGATGAGATAGAGCACTCAGCCCAGCCTCCTGTGCCGGCCATGGACGCGCTCGTCAAGGAGGTGCGCAAGCTGCACAAGGTGCTCAAGCGGTACTTGCCACCGCCCGCCCTGCGGTCGATATTTGCGCAGATCTTCAGCATGTATGAGACCAAGCTCACCGCGCAGTACCAGAAGATTCGCATCACTAGCGGGGAGGGCAAGCGCCAGCTCATGCTCAACTCACAGTTCTTGCTCCGTCGTCTCAGGGCACTCGACTCGTCGCTATCCGTGGACTGGGAGCTGGAGGTTGTTGTTAACAATATCGATTTAGTCAAGCCGTACCAGCCGGCATTGGCTGTTTCGGCATCGCCGGTCCCCACGAGCCAGTCTCTGTTTAGCCCCACAGGCTCTCAACAGCCTTCCAGCAGCGACCCGCCGTTGTCCCTGGTGTCACCCATGGCGGACGACGACGATGACGAAGTCGTCCGCCCCGATTCTGCCAATATGAGCGTGCGCCCGTCGCCGTCGGCACCGCGGTCGTCTCCGTAGGCACCGCTGTCGTCTCTGTAGGTTATACGTGGCCATTTTATCCAAAAGCATATATATGTTTTACCTTTTACCTTTTACTCGCATTTGCATTTCACCGACCCTTATTAATAGAAAATTTACAGTATCATTTTGCGCAAAGTACCCCTCTGTCCGCTCAGCGTGTTTCTTGGTCGGTGATGCTCTTTCCGTATGCGCGGCCGATGGTCTTGACAAACTCACTGGTGCACTCCTGGCCTGTCACTGCAGCGATGAAGCGAGCCATATCAATGGGCTGGAACTTGGTCTTGGCAGCGGGCCCCACGTGTATTCCATGCCGATGTCGGACTCTGCAATATCGTTGGACGCCTGCTGTGTCGCTAGCTGCGTCGACTGTGTCTCGCCCCGACTGCCGCTAGCTGCCGACGCAGCGACCTTGTCGAGGTATCCCTGGCGCACCAAATAGTTGACTGCCTCGCGCGCCGTTGACTCCATCTGCGCATCAGACAAGGACCCCGCAGCCAAACTCTCCCTGGTGCTTTCTGTCGTTCGTATGCATTCAGGTGGGCCCAGCTTGCGCACATACATGATGAGCTGATCCATAGACACACTCATGTTGCTGACAAAAATAAGGCTGAGCACGGTGGCGGCAAATCCCAATATAGCCTTTTCATTGTCGCTTTGCTCGAGCTCCAAGTCCCTGCGCATCGAATCAGGCAGCACGCTCTGCAAAACCCACCTGTTCACGGGCGCCGATGTCTTTGCGGGACCGATATGCTGTGATTCCTGGGCCGGATCGTTGCTGTTGGCGCCGTACATCAGGGTTTTTTCGTGTGAGGGTAAAGGAATCATGGTCAGACCAAAGTCCTGGGCCAGCATTTCGTTGGCTCGGTCGAAAATTGACTTCATTGCGCGGACATTGGAGCCGGAAATGATTTGCTCGCGAATTCCTTCCCGCCGAATGGGTTTGTTTGAGGCGTGGCAGGCTAGCGCGTGGCGCACCAAGTCGGCCGCCATGCGCTCGGTGCCTCTTCCTGTTGCTGTCCCTGAGGTGGCAGAGGCTACTAAAACAGGCGGCGAAGCAGATATTCCCGAGGCATTCTCAAATAAAATGGATGTGGAGGGAGAAAAATGCAACGAATTTAAATAAAGTAAAATTTTGAAAATGCAATTCAAAGGACAAGGAAAAATATTTGAAATTTTATTTTTGCTATGTGAACTCGAAAAGGGCGACCCCAAAAAACGCGACTCGCATTTTTATTGGATTTTTTTTAACAATTTGATGGCACGCGTGGCTGCTTGCTTGCCTTTTCCACCGTTAATTTGTCAATTTCAAACCTCCCAATTCGTCTACACTCTTTTCATTTGTTTAATAACACCTGTATTATATATTTCTCTTTGACCCCTTGCACACACACACACACGCACACATACACAAACACACACATACACATACATACAACCTCCAACCACACAAAGACATGAACCGCAAGCTGCTGGATCCGTTTGACCAGAGTATCCCGAGTCCATCGAGGCATGCCTGGACGACGAGTACGCAGTCAAATGTGCATACTCCCACCACGGCTCGCTACTAGCCACAGCGCGCTCCGACGGGCAGTGTTATATCTGGGACATGGACACGCTCAGTATCATGCGCAAGCTTGAGCACGGCGATGCAGCACTGACTGGGCTGAGCTGGTCGCGGAGCGGTCGGTATATATTGACATTTGACGGGTCCGGCGTGTGTATTCTGTGGGACCTGAAAACTGAGACTATGCGTGCCCGCGTGGAGTTCGACTCTGCCATTGCCTGTGCGCGAATGCACCCGCGCAATAGCTTGCAGTTCATTGTGTGCCCTGTGCGCGAGGCGCCGTGCCTGGTCACTGCGGCGGTGCCGGCACTGGGGAGTCGCCGACTGTGGCACCGATCTGCATTTCAGCCGATGGAATTGACCAAAAGACCAAGGCGGCGGCTAGCACGTGCTGTTGCTTCGGCAAAAAGGGCGTGTATGCCTTCTTTGGCTCGTCCAAGGGTGTGGTACACGCTGTGCATGTTGCCACACAAACCGTGCTTGCTCGACAAAGCTGTCCAGCAGTGCCGTCAACACCATTGCGCGCAACCCGCGCGGCACTGACATTGTTACAAACTCGTCGGACCGCACGCTGCGGGTGTGCCAGGTGGCGCTGCCCGAAGAAGAGCAGACGGACGCAGGCTCGAGCAAGCAGTCGATGTTGGCCAACTCGAGCCGTCGATCACTGTGACAACCAAGATCCAGGACATTGTCAACCGCGTGCACTGGATCCAGGCTATATTTAGCTCCTCGGGCGACTATATTGTATCTGGAATTGAGCACAGGCCGAGCATAACATTTACATCTGGGACAAGTTCACCGGCAGCCTCGTCAAGGTCCTCACAGGCCCCAATGAGCTTCTGGAGGACTGCGCAGTGCACCCGCTGCGCCCTATCTACGCGTCGATATCGACATTTGGCATTATCTACCTATGGACTCGCGTGCCGCAGCAGAACTGGAACGCCTTTGCGCCGGGCTTTCGTGAGCTCGAGGAGAACATTGATTTTGTCGAGCCTGAGGATCTGTTTGACCGCCGGATAGCCATGGCCGACGGCTCGTTTGTAGACTGCGCCGAGGACCGCCTTTTGTGTGAGAAGCGTGTGGCTAATGCGGCAGTGGAGGGCGATATGGACGCCGACGTCGACATCACCGACGACGATCCGCTGTTCAGTGACTCAGGCTCTGAATCTGAAGACGAGCGGTTCTTGCTGCCGGTGGTTGTCGACTGCGACGAAGAGATGCTGCCGCCTGCCGTCACGCCCTCAGCCGAGCCAATGGTCGCTGCGGCCGAAGAGATTGCCAGAGCGGTCGACCACGGCCAAGTCATTGCCGAGCTCATTGAACCGGCGCGGACAGTCGCGATGCCTTGAATAATTCATTTGCGCGGCTCAAATATTATGTCCTTAATGAGCCGAGTCAGAGCTGATTAAAATTTACAGGTGTTGAGAAAATTCGCTGTTTTCGCCCGCTTGGTTTTCAATGTTATCTCAGTCTCTGCACGATATTTGCATTTCAGTGTTCGTCAATTTTCTGAATTTGCTTTGCTTTGCGATTTTTATTTTTTTATTTTTTTACCTTAACATTTTGAGCACTCTTCACGCCGTCGATTCGGATTTTGAAACGCGCATAATTTCACTATAGAGGCAAATGCAGCAGGCCAGAAACGCAATGAAGTTGCTGCCGGGGCTCTTCCGGCAGTCGCTCTCCTTCCAGCAGACACGCGGCCTGATCACCGCCGAGACACAAGTGCCGTCTGTTCTGCGGCCTATCGGATCCAGCCGTAAGGTTGCGCCATCCGCAGGCGAGATCGGTGCCCTGAACTGGCCCTTGCCACAGAGCTTGTGCGCAGTCAACCCGCTCCCCGAGACAGTGCAGGCGTGGATGATGGACTTTGAGACCAACGAGCCACTGGATATCCTGGACGTCCAGCGCAGTGTCTTTGCGGCCCCGATTCGCACAGATATCATTCACCGCGTCGTGACGTACGAGCGCAACATGTTGCGTCAAGGTACGCATAACTCGCGCACGCGCAGTGAGGTGCGCGGATCGACGCGCAAGGTTCAGCCGCAGAAGGGTCTCGGAAGAGCCCGGCACGGCACGAGGCGCGCGCCGCAGTTTGTGGGTGGCGCGAAGGCTCACGGCCCAGTTCCGCGCAGCCACGAGACCCAGATCCAGCGCAAGGTGTGGCTGATGGCCCTGCGCTCGGTTCTGTCAGCCAAGTATGCCCAGGACCAGCTTGTCATTGTTGATAACATGGAGGTCGAGTCTCACCGGACCCGCGATCTGATCCGCATGCTGCAGGTCAACGGCTGGTCGCCCCTGGCCTCGACAGGCAGGCACCCCAGCGTCATGATGATGCCCCTGATGGAGGAGGAGCAGTCACCGCTGCTGCAGAACCTGGAGCTCGCCAGCCGCAACATCCCCGGGCTTTCCTTGATGAATGCCAGCGACGCTGAGGTCTACGAGATCCTCCGCCACGACTACCTCATCATGGACCGCAAGGCACTGGACCTGCTCGAGAGCATTCTCAAGCCCATGTAAACAACAAAATCTTGCAATATAACAAAATTTTGGCTTTTAAAAGCAAAGAAACATTTGAATATATATAAAGTCTATTTTTCTAATTTCAAGGACAAGACACGAAGAGTCCATAAGGATATTCCACTAGTCTGAGCGGATCAGCTCGGGATCGAGCTTTCGCTAACTGCCAGCAGGGACTCGAGCGACAATATGGCCGCCTTTTGCGCGCGGTTTACAATGCAGTCAATATCCTGCGGATCCAGCTTGAGATAGCCATCGGCGCCGCTATAACCTTCTTCCCGTGAGCGCTGCCAACAATGCGCCCACCAGGCTGTCGCCAGCGCCGTTGCTGTTGATCACTAGGCTGGGCTTCAGGGGCGAATGTATCTGATGATCGGTCTGCCCGGAAACTTGGGCGAGGGGCTGACGACTGCTGCGCCCTTCTCGCCAAGCTTGATAATCTGAATTTGAAATAAGGGGAACAGGGTCAGCGCGTCCCTAATCAGACCAGTATCAAGCGCATAGTGCTGCTCAGCAATTTCCTCTACCGTGTCGGCGAGCGGCGCGCTCTCGACGAGCGCCAGATCCAGGCAACCTCAGCCATGCGCTCCAGCTCAAGCCGGTTGGGCGTGATTATATGCACAAGGCGACCAACCTCGGCAAAGGTCTCGGAGCGCTTGACAAAGGACAGCGCACTAAGCATGCTGGTGCACTTGGGGACGGACGTAGGCTCGAAGACCACGCAGCAGTCCATGTGCGCAGCCATAGTGACTGCCGTCGATATAGCCAGCGCCGAGATGTTTCCGTCCAGCCCAACCACGCCCGGCGACAGCTTCACAAAGGCCTCTTGAATCTGCTGCGCCGAAACCATGCCATTAATGTCCATGTCGGCCACAGCCATTATCAGGTCACCGTTCTGCGCATGCAGCGCATTGTAGACGGCTGTGCGCGCGCTCTCGCCGGGGTACTGCAAGAATGCGTATCCATACCGATCTCCTCGAGTGCAGCCTTGATTGTGTCGCCGTAGATGTCGTGGCCAATGGCAGAGATGAGCACAGTGTCCGCCCCCATGAAGTGTGCCGCTCGCGCAATGTTCTGCCCGACACCGCCGATTGAGGTGACCACGGCTCCAGGATACGAGGTGGCCTGGGATGCAGAAGATTCTATGTCGCTGTCGACCTGCGATGTTACGTCGATCGCAGCCCCTCCAACGACAAGCAGCGGGCGCTCACTGTGGATAACCTTGACTCTGTCTTGCTTGTTGGAGCCCTGTGTCTGCAGGCTTGGTGACGCGTTGCGGCATGCAGCGGTAGTGTATAGTCTCGAGTGGCGCAAACCAGAACTTTTCTAGATTCAATGACCGTTGAGAATTGGAAGAAAAAGGTTGGATGTTTTGCACGCTTTAGCAATCTTAGCGCAATCGATGAGTCTGGATTTATTCATGACCTGGCATGTTTCGATTACTTACCATTCCTGCCAGTGACTTGGCGATCTGGCTGGCAATACGGGCATTGTTTTTGACTAGCGCAATATTTGCTGTGAGTGATGCCCCGCCAGTCAGCTCCACAACGCGCTTGAGCAAGAAAGGCGTGCTCTCCTTGCCTTTGATACCCTGCTGCTTGGCTTCGCAAAGCGCAGTTTCGATTGCACTCTCTATTTCGGAGCTAGCACCAGCATACTCGCTGGGGATTGGCACGGCAATAACCTGCCCAGTTTGCAAGCCAATATCCATGTTTACCCTGATAAGAGATGCCACCTCTTCGGGTGTCTGCAGGTTCCATGGCGCAGACAGCCCGCTTCGTGGGCTGAAGAATGCGGGGAACTCGGCAGCATCGCCATATGCCACGACCGATACGCCCTGGGTCTCCAGGTACTCCAGTGTCTTGGGAAGATCTAGGATGGACTTGGCGCCCGCGCAGACAACCGCAACTGGTGTTCGCCCGAGCTCGGTCAAGTCGGCGCTGATGTCCATTGTCAGCTCAGCGCCGCGATGGACGCCACCAATGCCGCCGGTGGCGAAGATTGGGATGCCGGCCATGTGAGCGGCAATCATGGTCCCCGACACTGTGGTCGCTCCGAGCCTACGCTGGCTGAGAACCGCAGCCATGTCTCGCCGCGACGTTTTGATTGCCAGCTTGCCGCTCTTGCCAAGGCGCTCCAGCTCCTCCTCGCCTAAACCCACATTGATTTTGCCGTCTATCAGCGCTATTGTCGCTGGTGTTGACCCGTGTTTGGCAATTATGCCTTCGACCAGCCGCGCGGTCTCGATGTTTTGCGGGTAGGGCATGCCATGGCTGATGATAGTCGACTCCAGGGCCACCACTGGCTCGCCATTATCGAGTGCCTCCTTGACCCTTGGCGACAGCCGGATGTACGGTGAAAGTGAAGATACGAACTGCGAGTAGAAACGGTGTCGGATAACAGGGGCTGCTGACGACGACGAACCCCGTCCAATTCGTGCGAATGTGCTCATATTCGAATATTTATTTTTTGGCTTTAAAAGTTGATGAATTGTTATATTAATAGTGGTTGCAGATAGCAGAGAGAGAAAATAGACACATTGTGCGAAATATAGAAAAGTAAAAAGACAAAAACTAGAGTTAATGATTAAGACTGATCATCTACTGCGCCGCCTTGCCCATCATGGGCTCTATTGCAGACCTGGCTACATGCCCATATAACAAAAATTACTCTAGGAGTGGCGGGGCCGGGAATTCTCCAGGCCTGAGTCTAATTGCCCAGTAGATAGCAGGTAGCAGTAGCAGAACAGAGGTCATGAGAAAAAGAATAATTGATTCCACTGCTATTTTTGAAGCCTGTCTGCATCTTTAAACTGACAGCAAAATTTTAAACGCATCAATATACTTTGTTAGCATTATCCAAAATATGGTCGCCACAAGAAGAACACGTCACCCCAAGGGCAGCTCGGGATCGCCTGAAGAAGCTGCTGCCGCCGACCCTAGTCTTGTCACTGGTCCCAGTTCCAGCAAAGATGCTCAAAGCGGCCCCATTTCCAGCAGGCCAAAGAGGCGCTCGCGCCCCAGTGTCGAAGAAATCACCGGGTTTGCGCCCATCCCGGAGGCTCTCCGGCCAAACCTGGACATTCTGTTTGTCGGCATCAACCCGGGAATTGTTAGTGGCCAAAAGCAGCTGCACTTTGGAAACCCGCAAAACTTCTTCTGGAAGGGACTGTTTCAGTCGGGGCTGATTCCAGAACAGATCCAGCCGGAGCAGGGCCATCTGCTGTTTGACAGATGGAACATGAGCATTGTAAACCTGGTCCAGCGCACAACGGCGTCGACCAGCGACCTTAGCCGCAAGGAGATGCGGGACGCCGTGCCCGAGCTCTGCCGCAAGATATCGGCGAATCCGCCGCGGATCGTGTGCTTTGTCGGCAAGGGCATCTACGAGGTGTATTCTGCGCAAACAAATTTTGCGCTGGGCCTTCAACAGCAGAGGCTTGCGTTTGCCGGCGGTTCGGCGGCCCAGCTAAGATCCGGCAGAACACTCTCTGTATCTGGCTCAGTCGCGCTTCCCAAATCGCCCATCTGTTCGTCATGCCCTCCACAAGTGGCAGGACCGCCGCGTACCAAAATTCTGAAAAGCTCATGTATTTCAAGCAGCTTAAGTACATCCGCGACTGCTGCTGCAACGGCAATGCAGCAGAGGAGCCCATCATCGACCATAGCGTGCTGGATGCCATTGGGCCGCGCACACGCTCGCAATACTTTCCTGCAGACACAAAATAAATAAATAAGTGAAAACCACAAATTGAATTGATAACCAAGAAAATGCTAGAAGAAAATTTACTTCTTGCCAACCTTAACGGCAGACTTGGTGGTCTTGCCACTAGCAGTGTCGTCCTTCTCGACGGCCTTGATGACACCACAGCAACGGTCTGACGCATATCACGGACAGCGAAGCGACCAAGGGGGGGAAGATGGTGAAAGCCTCAACGCACATGGGCTTGGAGGGGATCATCTTGACAATGGCGGCATCACCCGACTTGATGAACTTGGGCTCCTTCTCAGTGACCTTACCGGTACGGCGATCAATCTTCTCAACAAGCTCAGCAAACTTGCAGGCAATGTGAGCGGTGTGGCAATCCAGGACGGGAGCGTAACCGGCACCAATCTGACCAGGGTGGTTCATGACGATAACCTGGGCGGTGAAGTTCTTGGCACCCTTGGCGGGGTCGTTCTTGGAGTCCGAGCAGACGTTACCACGACGGATGTCCTTGACGGAGACGTTCTTGACGTTAAGCCAACGTTGTCACCGGGCTTGCCGCCCTCAGTGAGGACTTCGTGGTGCATCTCAACGGACTTGACCTCAGTAGTGACGTTAGCAGGGGCAAAGGTAACGACCATACCGGCCTTGATGATACCAGTCTCGACACGGCCAACGGGAACAGTACCAATACCACCGATCTTGTACACATCCTGGAGGGGAAGGCGCAGGGGCTTGTCCGAGGGACGGACTGGGGGCTCAATAGCATCAATGGCCTCAACAAGAGTCTTACCAGTGAGGACGCTGTCACCCTTGACGTTCTCCTTGGTCCACCCCTTGTACCAGGGCATGTTGGCCGAGGCCTCAAGCATGTTGTCACCCTCCCAGCCGGAGATGGGGACCATGGCAACCTTCTTGGGGTTGAACCGACCTTCTTGATGAAGTTGGCAACCTCCTTGGAGATCTCCTCGAAACGGGCCTGGTCGTACTTGACCGAGTCCATCTTGTTGACGGCAACAATGAGCTGCTTAACACCGAGGGTGTAGGCAAGCAGGGCGTGCTCGCGGGTCTGGCCATCCTTGGAGATACCAGCCTCAAACTCACCAACACCGCCAGCAATAATGAGGACGGCGCAATCAGCCTGGGAGGTACCGGTAATCATGTTCTTAATAAATCACGGTGGCCCGGGGCGTCAATGACGGTGACAACAAACTTGGGGGTCTCGAACTTCCAGAGAGCAATGTCAATGGTGATACCACGCTCGCGCTCAGCCTTCAGCTTGTCCAGAACCCACGCGTACTTGAAGGAACCCTTGCCGAGCTCGGCAGCCTCCTTCTCGAACTTCTCGATAGTACGCTTGTCAATACCACCGCACTTGTAGATAAGGTGACCAGTGGTGGTCGACTTGCCGGAATCGACGTGGCCAATAACGACGACGTTAACGTGGTTCTTCTCTTTACCCATTGTGATTAGCTATTGGTGGAAAATAAATCAGGGGAAAGTAAAAAGCAATATTAGTTGTAGTGCCAGTATAGGTAAAAAAATTATAACAGTCAGACTATAAAAATGTCTTCCGCGTGCAAAACCGACATCCATTCGAATCGCAAAATACCCAGTCGACAGCAATAAAACATCAATGGATTCAAAAAACCCGCATCCATAAAAACAATGCAAGCTTAATTTGCGTTGGATGCGTCCAAAAAGTATGAATCCATCCATCCGTCGAGATGCGAATCCATCGTCGTAATGGATGCCTGGATAATGTACTGGCTGACAATGTTGCGCGCGCGTGTGTGGATGTGAGAAATCGTGAAACTAACCTTTTTTCAATTATAGTTTGAAATATTCAGAAGGAGCGAATGCAAAGGAGGGACCGGAGTGCCTCGCGGCTTGAATGCCTCCCTTTATATGGTCCCAAAGTTGTGTTCCCACCTCAAGCGCTGGAGCATGCGGTTATTTTTTGAGCTGCCTGCAAAAAAAATATCCCAACGATCATTTTTGCTGCCCCAATTTGCATTCCAAATGGCTGAAATTCGATTGCTGATTGGCTGGCGAGAAAATTTTCTATAAAAATTTTGTATCGTATCCAACAACGGCTGCTGCATTCTGGTCGCATCAGCAATTTTTTAATGTAGAGTAGAGTGCGGGAGCTCGATTTGAAAAAGTGCATTTTCGCAACTCATTCTTCATGATTGGCTGCGGTTCCGCTCTATCCCCAACAATCGCACTTCGTTTTCAGCCTCTTTTTGCAGCTGGCTTCATTGCAATCTTTGGGCAGTAGAAACGTCTGGAATCGGCGCAGTAGAGGCAGTGGTTTTAACAGTGGTTTTGGCAGTGCCATGGCCATGGCCATGGTCAAACTAGCGTTGTTTTGCCCAGGCGTTTTCGGCCAACAGATGGCAGGCAAGTGGTCAAAACAACAAACGACAATCCCTTGGCGAGGCAGCATCAAGCGCATCATAACCAATATTGCTTGGCGCGCATTCTTCAGTGTGCTCGGCACACAACACACACCGACTAACCGAGCAACGCCCACTATACTGCTGCAGCATAGTTGCAAAGCGATAAAATGAGTGGAATGCTGCTGCTGCGGCTGTGTAAAGTTGCGAGCTGTAGTGCTGGCTTTGGCTTCACTTTGGCTTTTGCCATCGGTTTGCTGCCTGCTTGCCCAAAGCGGCCACAGCGAGAAATAAGCTTGGGAGTGCAATTGCTCCACGAGTTTGGCGCTGTCACTGCCTCCCCCTCACCCTTGAACATGCTTGCCATCACCATCATTGCTGGCAGCTGTGGTCAGGAGACTCATTTTTGGATCTGTCACCTGACAATGGGCAAGCAAGCAGTGCAGGCTACTCCTGTTATTTATTGGCCCACCAAATGAAAGTGACGACACTACTCCCCGCCAACGATCAACGCGTAAACCGACAAATGCCGGCCCTTGCTCAGCCTGTGATTAATTCGGAGGATTTATGTATTAAAAGAAACGCAGCAAACATGCTGAAAATATCTGGCATTAAAATTAATACAGCGTAAAGTGGCAAGAGCCTGCATTGCCACTGCGGTAATGAAAAATATGCAACTAGAAGACGATGCTTCCAGCAGACTGCGGCTGAGTGACGATGGAGCCAGACGGCCCCTGGATGACAGCGCCGCTGGTCGAGGCACCTTGGATTATGCCATGGCCCTGTCCAGTGGAAATAAACCCGCCGGCATTTCCAATTCCGCCGATAGTGCCGATGCTGCCAACACCAGGACCGATGCCACCGATGCCAGGGCTGTAGGCACCGCTTCCGGGGCCAAAACCAGGTGCAATGCCAGCGCCAAAACCAGGTGCAATGCTAGCACCGAAACCAGGTGCAATGCTAGCACGAAACCAGGTGCAATGCCAGCGCCGAAACCAGGTGCAATGCCAGCATTGTAGCCAGTACCATAGCCAGCGCCGACACCCGCTCCAACACCAGCGCCATAGCCGGCACCATAGCCGGCACCAGCCCATGGCGATCCAGAGCTGTAGTATACGCTTGATCCACCCGCTCCCCACTGAGCGCTAGCCAGCGGAGCAGACAGAATAATGGCTGCGACACAAGCCGAAGAAACTGTTGATGACACGAATGAGAACATAGTTGCAATGGTGAATGTGTTTATTAAATGTGTGTGCTGTGGGGAAACTTGGAGTAATTGTGAGATAATGTGGTAAATGTAAGACTTGATACTGAAATACAATAGTCTACCAGTCGATTCGGGTCAGCTATTTATACAATATATTTGTTTGCATAAACTATATGCTGAGGCGGCATTGCAAATGTACTTGTTTGCGCAGCAATGTAAGACAGGCGTGCTACTGCTGTAGTGAGCGCATTGTTCTTTGGGCGCAAGATAGTAATCGTTTCGGTTATTTTGTAACTGCATTTTGCCGCATATCTGTTAAACTCCAGTTGATCGCTTGTAATTACTGCAACATTTTTGGCGCACGATATGTCGTCGACTTGGGGATGCCGGGTGACCGACTTGCTTCAATTGATAGTTTATACACTGCATTGCGCTACTTTTATTATAAAAATACGAGTAAGTGCGGTAAAGCAATAAAAGGTCGTATCGAGCATATGGTGTAGCCTATGCTAAAAAAGTATATATATGACTTGAACATGCGCAATATAACGGCTATTCTTGTTAATACCCAGCCGCTGAGGTTGCAGTTGCAGCTGTTGTTGCCGTTGCCGTTGACATTGGCATGGTGCGCTACTACTTCAATTGACTCCCCAAAACACATACTGCTATTTACCCAAGTGACGCTGTTGTTGCTGTTGTTTTGGCGCCGTGATCCTACTGGCGAGCAGCTTTGTCCATGAGTTGCCTGCAGATCTCGTCGGAGCGCAGACCGGCGACGCTGAATGAGTCCACAGCAGCATCAGAAAACTTGATCTCAAGCTTGGGCAGGCACGGCTCCCGCGGGTAGCTGACCTCAATGGGCAAAGCAGGGTTAGCATACTGAATTCGCCGCAAATGCTCGCGCCAGAAATGCCGCGCTCCCGGGGCCCGCGTCCGCTGCGACAGGGTCAGAGTCACCGATTTGACCTTGGGCGACAGCTTCACTGCGCCAAGTCCCGTCTCGAGCTGTGCCAGAATGCGTTCAATCTTCATTGCTGTAAGTTGTGTTTATAAACAAAATGTTGCGCAAATGAACAAAAAGAAGCATTCGATTCAAAAAATTAATTTTGCGAATCTTGTTTATCGCACTCTTTTTTTGTCAAAAGAACTTACAACTATCCATGGAATCGGTATGAACTAATCGCATAAAGCCTGATCAGCGAGTGATTATAAAATAGCGCTGCTTGTGTGTGAGCTGGCCGCTTTTGACTGGTGGCGGTCCAGCAAATTCCAGGAATGAAATTGCCACGTTTCCCTCAATGCTTCTTTTGCTGCATTCCATACATGCGCTTTGTATGGTGTGGCCTCTTACTTTTTTGCACTACATTCTTTGTTGGCCTATATAAACTGGTTTTTAAAAGGTCCAAGCTTGGCCCCCTTTATTTTTATTCATTATTTACTACTCTCACGTTTACACTGGCAAGTAAATTGCAAGCTAATCGTCACATAAATAAAACATTCATTCGAAACAATATGGCCAGCCAAGCTAAAAGGCGAGGCGGCGGCCAACGCAAAACGGCGACCTGGCGCGCTGTGGTGCTTGTGATCCTTGGACTGCTGGCATGCATATCGCCGTGCGCAGATGCAGCGGTCCTTGGAATCGACTTTGGCACCGAGTGGTTTACAGTTGCTCTGGCTAATCCTGGACGCCCTTTGGACCTAGTCCTCAACCGCGACGCCAACCGGCAGACCCCGTCTGTGGTCACAGTCATTGGATTGGAGCGCACCTTTGGGTCCAACGCAGTCGCAATTGCCCCTCGCCTGCCCGGCAACACGTTCATGGCAGTGCGCAACTTGCTCGGCGTGCAGTACGACTCTGAGGTTGCGGCTGCGTACCGCCAACGGTTTCCCAATAAGATGATCAAAGACCCTGCCACCGGAGCCGTTGCGTTTGAGTACGGCACGGCGACCAATGAGACGCTGACAGTCCAGGAGATTGTGGCCATGCAGCTGCGCTATGCCCAGCAGCTGGTCAAGGAGAACGAGGGGCTTCTTGTGAAGGACGCTGTTTTTACTGTCCCCTCATTCTTTGACCGGACGCAGCGCCAGGCTATGCTTGACGCGGCCACTCTGGCTGGATTCCGCACGATGGCCCTGGTCAACGATGGCAGCGCTGTTGCGCTCAACTATGCAATGAGCGGTACGTTCAGCAAGCCTGAGACGCACCTGTTCTACGACATGGGTGCTGGAAAGACCGTCGCCACGGTTGCAAGCATATCTGCGCGCTCGCCCAGCAACACCCAAAGTCAAAGAAGGCCACGGTCATCAATGTGCACGCGTTTGCTTCGGACAAGACGCTTGGTGGCCAGGAGGTCGATTTCATTATGCGCGACCTGCTTGTCGACAAGTTTGCTGCGAGCAGCTCCGAGTCGGCTAGCGAGCTGCGCGGCAACGCCCGGGCCATGAACCGGCTACTGAAGGAGGCCAAGCGTGTAAAGACTATTCTCAGCGTCAACACCGAGGCTGTGGTATCGGTCGAAGGGCTGCACAACGGAATTGACTTCCGCACCGCAGTTTCTCGCGTTGATCTGGAGAAGGCGACTGCACACTTGCTCTCTCGCGTGCGCGCCCCAATTGACAATGCGCTCAGGGCTGCAAACATGACTATCGGCGACATCGACTCGATCCTGCTTGTTGGCGGTGGAACGCGCGCTCCGTTTGTGCACAAGGAGATTGCACTTGCATTTGGCGCCGAGAAGATTTCGCGCAACATCAATGCTGAGGAGGCATGCGTGATGGGCGCTGTGTTCAAGGGCGCTACACTCAGCAGCCACTTCCGCGTGCGCGATATGCGTTTGCGCGATGCCATGGAGCATGCCGTTCGCGCGACTTACTCGACAGAGGCAAAATCGCTGCTCGGCAGCCCTAAGCAGGAGACGGTCTACCTGATACCCGAGTTTGGCGCGGTTGGCGCTCGCCGTATGATTCGCGACTTCCGCAGCTCTGACCTTGCCATTAAGTTTGAGGCCAAGACGTCGGGCACCAGTGAGCAGTGGCATGAGTTGGCTTTGGCCAATGTTGGCGGCGTCTCCGGTGCATCTGCCAAGCTCAAGTCCAAAAATATTGTCAGCGACAAGCCCGAGGTCAAGGTTGTCACCAGACAAACGAGCTTGGATTCTTTGAGGTTGTCAAGGCCGAGGCATCGTTCAACGTCACCAATCCGGATATTCCCAGTACATTGAGGACCTTGCCGCCTGGGAGAAGGAGTCTGCCGCCGCTGAGGCTGAGGCTGAGGCTAAGGCTGAGAGCGAGACTGAATCTGAAACCCAAACCCAGACCAATGGCGAGGGTGCAAAGCAAAAGTCCAAGTCCAAGAGCCTCCGCTCGCGGCCCACACCTCACCCCGAGATTATTACCGAAGTGGTACAGCTCGATATCAACGTCGAGTACCAGGACTTGGCGAAGTTGGGTGACGAGGCCATGAGAAAGTCGCGCAGTCTGCTCAAGCGCATGGATGATGATGACAAGGCGCGTTTTGCACACCACGATGCCATCAACCAGCTCGAGACCCTGATCTACCACTTGCGCGATATTGTTGAGGACGAGGATGTTGTCACAGTGATCACCAATGACGAGCGCGAGGCTCTCTCTGAGGCTGTAAGCCAGGCAGCCGAATGGCTTGAATCCAGTGCTGAGAGCTCGGGCGTTGGGCTGATAGACTCAAAGGTCAAAGCGCTGAAGGAAATCGAGAAGCCAATTGTACACCGCAGAACGCAGGCAGCTAAGCGTCCCGACCACATCAGCTCGCTGCGTGCTATTGTCGCGCAGGCCGAGGGGCTCGTTGCCATTTACCGCAGGGAGTACACCGCCGATGAGATTGCGCCCGCAGCAGATGTGCTCCGGGAGCTTGAGGACACGCTGGACAGCACGACCTCGTGGCTTGACGAGATGACATCAAAGCAGGACGCATTGGCAGCCCACGTAGACCCTGTGCTGACTACGGCCGATATGGACAGCAAGGCCGTTGCAATTGAACTTAGTCTGGCCAAAGTGGTAGCAAAGAAATCAGAAAGGCAAAGGCACAGTCTACCACCGCCGCTGCAGACATGAATTCTGACAATGACGAGGGTGCGAGCGAGATCTTGGAGGACGACAGCGATTATATTGACGAGGATTCCGAGCACGCCGCCGCCAATAACAATGGCCACGACGAGCTTTGAGAAACACTGTTTTAGTTTTCAATTATATTTGTTTTCATACCATTTAATAACCAGACCGAGCCACCATTTATCCCCTCCGTTTCTCCGCCCCCTCCTCTCTGCCTGATCATGCACGCAAGTCGACGTCTATTAACGCTGTCTACTCTTTTGGGTGGCCAAATCCTAGTTGCAAGCGTTTCTACCCTCTGTTATTGATGGCATGGCACAAGCTGCAACTGAAGTGGCTCCTCCTTTGGATATTGCAGCCCACCCACCTAAAGAAACATTGCCTGAAATCAGATGGGCTTTTGGAACAGAGATATTGCGACAAGTCTAAACATGCACATCATCATCAACTGTTTCAGCGAGAGATTGGGGGATTCCTGCTTGGTTCACTCGATCAATGTCAAAGGATGATTGGGACAAATATGCGCAGAATTTGGCCTGTGTCTATTGTCCACCATCAGATGACCAAAGGCCCAAACGGTTCAGAATTGAGGATATAGCTCAGTAGCCGATTCATTTTTCCCACATATTTTCCTCCATATTATGGCTGTGGTAACGCCTCACTTATCCTCAATAGGTTTAAATCCATTCTCGACAAGTTGTCTGAGTAATCAGCGAGGGGGTGATGATGACTTGTATATTCTTTAAATTGATTTTCATTTTTACATTTAGTAATTCTTGCGTTTGTGCCTAGCTCTCCAGGCTAAATAGTCCTGGTCGGGGGTTAGAAGCGTAATGTCAGCCTGTATGCCCGCAGCACCGGTATGCTGTGTTGGCTGCACGCACAGTTTCCATTGATCAGACGCAGACTTTGACAGAGGCAGTGTCGTGCTGGCCTCACTGCATGACGAGAGTCCGATGGGCAGCACGGAGCTTACGCCGTCCTCGAGGTCGGCAACTTCAGGAGCGTGCAGGGGTACGTGCGAATGACTGCTAGTGCCGTGGGCCGCCAGGTGCCTGTGATGTGCCAACGATGCTGCGCTGGGCGGGTGCATAATAGAGCGCGGCATTCCTGGCTTGGAGCTGACTCTGACGTCGAGCTCAACCACCGACCATGCGCCGTTCCTGTCGTCCCAGTCTCGGGGTGGATCGGTGGTGTTGAAGTGCAGGCGGATTATGTGGGAGAATGCACAGTACGCCATGAACCAGGCCACCTGAATGGCTGAGAATACCGACGTTGACGACCACACAGAGACGAGAATATCAGCTTTGGGTATGAGGTGATTGCCATGATCCCCAGCTTGATGTCGACGTTGGCCGTTGCCAGCGAGAGCATGATGACCGACACAAGGCAGAGCACTGTGGACAGCAGAGTCACGCGCAGGAGGAACATGGCGTCGTTCAGTGTCTCGTAATGTACGCGGGTCGCCAGCACACCGCCATCGGGTATCAGCAGAGTGGCACGCGGCTGTGGTAAAGAATCAACAACTGTGGTGCGCCACGTGTCTGTGTGTCTGGCGAGAGCAGCTTGTGGCATTTACAAAAGCGGTGGTGATGTTAAACAGGATATGAAAAGTCGGCCGTATCTGATTGCGCTATATATTGAGCAGACTATTTTTGATGCAATGTTTTGTTCGGGTCCAATTCCTTCTGTTAGCCTTCTATCGTGCTGCTTTTTCAATACTAAACTCGAGCTAAATACAAAAATATGAATATGAATGCGCCAGGCGGAAAAGAAGCGTGAAAATAGTGTACAACCACTGACCGTGTAGAGTGGCATTATCCTACATTTACATTCAGTCGCGCGACTACTGCGCCATCCCGGCCTGCCAGACTAAAACACTAGGAAAAGAAGCAACGCCGAATACCAACAATGCAGTAATACTAGGACTGGGATTAAAGCTGAACGCGACAATGCGAATATGAAGTCTGGGCTCTGGGTTCTGGCTACGCGCTTGGCTCTGGGTTACCGAACCGGCTCGTTCTTTCTCTATGCATCCGTTGCTCACTTTGGCACTGGCCAAACCCGCACGTACATCGTCGACATTGCATATGATCACGTGCTTTTAACAGCAGGGCTGCTTGCGCATGCGTGACAAAAAATACGGGAGAATACGGGAGAATACGTTCGCCTTGAAATTTGTGTAATGAGGGCTCAAATATAACATATTTCGAGTATAAATAAGACGCCTTATAAGCAAGCAACTATAGTTTGATGCGCTGGACAAAAAACGACCACACTTCGTCAAAGAAAATGTGAGCTATGGATCTATTTTCTGGCGAAGGCCTGCTTTGTGTTAACAACTCCGACTGTTATGGCCGGCCATGATATGTGGATAAAGCAATCCGTGCGCTGCCTGTGGAGATGAGTAGCCACAGCAGAGGGCGCCTCCTTGGCTTTGCACCTGGCTGTTTGCTGCTGCTGCTGCTGCTGCTGCTTTGTTAGAAGGAAAACATGATGCGGTTTGATTCTGCTGTGAATAAACTATCTGGTTTAGCTGTGCGCCGGTTTAGCTTTTCTGTGAGATATATGCTTATGAATGTTTCACGTTTATGCTACCTTTTTCCCACCTTTGGAAAAAGGTATTAGCGCACTACCTTTCAACGAAATGTAAATGTAAGCGCGTAAACGCAATCTCGAAGGTTACCCCCAGGTCAGGGCAGGGGTTTGTTACAATGTATTGTTGACGTTTGCACTCTTATATTTTTGTATTTTCTTGATTCTTGCATCCATTTATATTTATATTTATTTGCTCATTTTGTATTTTGACCTCGCGACACCACCACAGTCCCGCTCAAACAACACACATTCACTCCCTGCTGGGTAGTACGCACATACGCAGGCGTCTTGCACACTCTCAGCCAACTAGCCCCAACTCACCCACACTAGCGCCTTTGTCTTGGCTTGGCCACACTTGACATCGCACGATTCACAATTCACATCCCAGCTCCCAGCTCACCAGGTCGCGCGAAATTCAAACCCCGAAATGCTGTGGCCATTATTGCTCTGCGGGTCAGTCAGCCTACTCGCAATTCTTCGCCTACTACACACATACGGAGACCGCAAGCGGTGTGCCTGGTACGTCCAGCTGGCCGCGGTTACCAGTTGGTACCTGCCATTCACAATCGTATTCATTCTGCCATTTGATTTCAGCTCGGTAAGAATTCAGCCACGGCAGCACCAAAATGGCAGCTTCCACCTTCCCCCACAAATAGGCCAGATTATCGCGACCACGCCATGTGCGACCTGCCCTTTGCGTGCTTTCTGGCATGGCCGCCGCTAATTGCGCGGGTATAGTGCGCACTGTCATTTTCGTATGCATGAATAATCAAGGGCGCCGCTACTAACGCACGCTTTTTGCACTCTGCCCTGCGGTACCTTTTTGCTTTTTATAGACGCTCTACCGGAAATGTGAGCAGAACTGCGACGAACCCATGGGGTACATCAGCAGCGAATTCACTCGACAGCTTTGGCTAGTCCTATACTGGTTCATGTACACATTGACATGGTAAGACTCGCACAGACACTCGGCCAAAGCGCCCAGAGCTGCCCTCAGGCATATCAGCATTTCTTGACTGCCATTAAAATAATATGTGTATGCATGCGCTAATTTATGCACCGACTTCTGCTTCTGTTTGCTTCTGCATCTGCCCTTGGCACTGTCTGATCTCTCCACTGCGCTGGACCCGTCTGCTGACCTGTGCTTCAAATTATGGCTACCCATGACGTAACGTAGGCTCGTGTTGCCAATAATGATGTCATACGTGGACTCGGGCGCCTTTACATTCAGGGACCGCCTGCGTGAATCAGCGTGGAGCAACCTCCAGTTCTATGCCATCAGCGGTACTGTTGGCCTGGTGCTAGTCGGATATATCACGCTCACCCACCGCTTCGCTGGCGCCGATCTGGTGGCCTTTTTCATGGCGCTGGCCAACTTCTGGGGGCTGTTTCTGGTCATCACATTCATGGGCTTCGGCCTGGTCTCGATCCCGCGCAAGCTATGGCGTCGGGGCGATCTGGCTTTAGAACTGTCCAAAATTGAGACCCGCGCCATGTCCTACAAGGACAAGGCGTACGACTCGGCACTGGAGCTGGCCGACATTGTGCGCGAAGCGCATCTCGTGTCATCCCGCGTCAGCCGCAACGACGACCTGCGCTACTGCGTTGACCGGGTCTTGAAGTACTGCCCCCAGCCGGACTCCAATGCCGCGGGCATTGCCAGCAGCAGCAGCAACAGCAACTACGGCAGCAGCAGGCCCGTAGCTCACAACGACACATTGGCCTCGCGCATCCCGGCAGAGGTCACTGAGTCGTATCTGGCAGCGCTGCACAACCGCGTCAAAAAAGCCGTTCTGAAGGAGGAGCGCGACCGCTGGCGGTGGAGCCGGGCCGCCCGTCGTGCCTTTTTTTTGCAAGACGCCATCGAGTCGCGCATAAACCCACGCCGGCAGCTTGACTCCAGTCTCCGACCTTGGAGTCAGTGGGGCATCGCCAAGCGCTCGGCCGCATGGTGGTGGTATATTGCCCTGCGACCCGTTACGTACCGCGCCCTGACCGCTGTTGCCACGGTTCTGAGCATCATCATCCTCTGGTCCGAGCTGACATTCAATCTGGACTCGTCGCAGTTCTCAATGGTGAGTTATCTCTTGCGCTCCATGGGCCTATCTTACTTTGCCATTGAGGTCATTAGCATCGTGATCATTGCGTACATGAGCCTGTGTGCATACAGCTCGGTGATGAAGCTGCGCATATTCAACATATACTCGCTCGAGTCCCACCACCACACCAACGAGCGCAGCCTGCTGTTCTGCGGTGCTTACCTGTGCCGCCTCATGTTTCCTCTTTGCTACAACTTCCTTAACATGGCTGGCAGTGGCAGCCTTAGCGGCGACGATGAGGTGACTGAGTTTTCAAAGTTCATGGATCAGATCGACCTGGTCCCGTACTGGGTGAGCAGTCGAACCGCGCAATCCCTGTTCTGATTATGATCCCCGCTACCCTGGCATTTTTCAACGTGCATGGCCGCGTCATGGAGTACTTTAGCATCAACAGGGCGACGCCCAGCGCGCGCTCTGATAGCGACACAGAGCTTGGCCCGCTTTGTCTGCCGCACGAGGAGGGCCGCAGTCTGCTGCTCGATGCGCGAAAGGCCGCTGAGCGTCAGCAAGGCGTCACGGCTGCCAGCAACGACCGCCGGTACTCGCCATCGAGCTCGACGCACTCGAACTCAACAAACTTCCGTGCGTACATTTCATCCGTGGGCGCTGCCAGCGAGCCACCATCGGTATCTGGCCGCGGTCCGCGCGAGTGGCACCTCGGACGCCCGCCATTAGAACACATGCATGACGATGCCAGCACTGTGCCATTCGACGCACCGTATAACGCGACCAACCTCGGCGTCTTTGGCGAGCCGGCTGCGCATGGCGCGGGTCTTTCTAGATACATTGCCAACGGTGGTAGTGCAATTGGCGATGATGCCGACACCGAGGCCAATAGCGACAGTAGCAACTCGAGCAACAACAACTCCAACAACGCTCGTCACCAGCATGCTGCCGCCACACACAGTCCACATAACAACGCCACAAACGGTGCACCCACCGGGATGGCCGCACGCTTCGGGCGCTGGCTGCCCGCGCGGCCCAGCACACAGTCGACCAAGGTACCTGTTGGCCGGCTCAACAATGCCACGCGGCTGCGTCCATCTTCGCGCAAGTCGAGTCACTACAACTATGCCAGTGATGACGGTGTGCACCTAGGCTACGCGGCAGTCCCCCGAACACCCTCCTCGGCGCAGGTGCCTGCGGGGACGTTCAGTCGAGCGACCACAGAGCGTTATTTGTACGCGTCGACATTTGGACGCGGGGGCGCAGCCAAGCAGCAACAAGCGTTGCTGCTACAGTCTCCGTCTAGTCCAAGCCAGTCACCCAATCCATGGGTCGACGCTGCTGACACCAGATCACAGGCGCGACGGCACGCTTTGTCAGACAGTTCGTTGCGAGCGGCACGCGACACCAGCAGTCAAACTGGACACAAGGGCTAGAGGATCACACATCTGTACCCACAGCACCAACGTTTATAGCAACAATAAGAATGTTGACAAAACATTTACATTTACATATATATACACATTAATATTATTCATTTGCAGTCGGTTTCCATTAAAATGTCGTTGGCAACGCACACAAGCTTGTTGTAATGCGCAGCACTAAAAATTTCCATATCAGCATATAAACTGGCATTGTTGCAAACTAAATGATACTTGTTTACAATTAAAAGCACTTCACAAAAGATGCTGAGTTTACTTCTTGGTGGCGCTGTTCTCCTTCTTCTCATTGAAGTAGGCGATGCTCTTGTTGGTGCGGCCAATGGCCTTGTGGGTACCACGGACACGGCGGAGGGTAATGAAAGCATCGACCTTCTTCTCCTCAGCAGTAACGGCACGGGGAGCCTCAGCGACGTAGTTGTCAACAATGGGAACAACCTGGCCAGAGACCTGAGCAGCAGCCTTGTAAGCGGCGACATCCTCAGCAGTGCGGTTCTTGGCGTTGCGGGGGAGGACAATCAGCTTAGCCTTGTACTCCTTAAGACGCTGGACGTTACGGGCCAGAGACTCCTCGCTGCGGTTGCGGCGACGGTAGTCAACGGCGATACCGATGGTGCGGGCGCTCTTGGCGGGAACACCAGCAGCCTATTAAAGGAATAACAACAGTTTCACCGGGCGTGTTAGCAAACATGATCAAGAGTGAATTCTGTAGTTGTACAAGCAAACTTTCCATGGTAAACATGTTGCAATAAGCATGATTCTTACCTTCAGCTCCTCAAGAGTGAAACCACGGCCAATGCGGAGCTTGTGGTTGTACTTGACGGTAGGGCAGCGGACGACGGGGCGCAGAGCCTCGACGGGGCGGGGGGCAACCTTGGCAGCCTTGGCAACGCGAGCACGACGGCGGCTGAGCTTGCGGCCGGGCTGGTCGAACCAGGTGCGGACACGGAGATCCCACTCCTTACGGAAGTGAACGTTCGGCAGCTGCTTGTTCTGCATTCTATAGATACAATCAGACAAATTGCCAGTGTGGTGTATAGTTAGTTATCTGAATACTGACGCCAAAGTAATCGCATCAAGGATTAAGATACAGCTCTCTTAAGTTTGCGCTGTGGCAAATGATTGAGACCAACAGTATTGCAATTGTAATAAACTGGTTGAATAATTCGCGCAGTTGTCACGGAGAAAGCAACCAGCTTAGCTCCTACTACTCTATGCCAGTAGTCAATAAAGTGAAGCCGCAATCGCAATAGCACACACATAATCCACCGACCAGCCAACCGCGATTCAAAAACAGCAGCCTCAAAACCAAAGCTTCTGTACAAGCATTGCACTCGGTCTGAAAGCCCTGTAAGCAAACTGCGCTGTGCGTTGATCAAAAACCAAGCTGTTCGTAAAATGCAATGCGATTCGTTTGCGCGATCCTCACAAATATATACTGCCTCCCATGCTCTTGTCCGCCCTTGCAAAGGTTTTTTACAAGCAAAAAACAGGCAATGGCAACAGCAGCTCTCGTTCGCCAAATTGTAAAACATAAGCTGCAAAGCGAGCTCCAAAATGCAAAATGCCAGGGTTGAATTGACCATTTCAAAATTCGGATTTCACAATGCCCTCAAATGTCAATAATTCAACTACAAGTGCCTCCTAGGTCGTGACTTTAATGGATTCATATCCACTTGGTCTGCTGCTGCCGCGTGGATGGATACATCAATATAGGGCTGCTGTCAGGGAATCCGGCGTTTGTGTGTGGGTATGTGTGCAAATCACTAGCTGCTATCTCTGCAACGGTATGGTGTCGTCAATTGTCTGCGTTGTTGTCTCGATGGATTCGTACTTTTATCTAGCCTTGTTATATAAAAAAGCGCTGTAGAAAGAGAAAGAATCAGGCCTCAGCTTGACGGCTCAAAAGCTCTCATTAACACCTCTATGCCTATTCATCAGCGCGCCCAACCAAGCAGCTTGCCACCTTGCAACATTTAAAGTTTGGGGCTGTTGGATTAGTTACAGGCTCTGCACAGCGCCTGAAGGTCAAGAAGCTATGTCCAATTTTGGCTGGCCTGAAGCATTCAATCGACTCGATCTAGTTGAAGTAATCGAGCCGATGCAATTAATATTTATTACTTTTAGTGAGATGTGCGTGTGTGGACTTGCACAAATTCGCATTTTCGAACGCGCCCTGCCTCGCTCAAGCGGCCTCTGCTAGTTAATGGGGGATAGTGTCTGCCCTACAATTAAGCGCTTGGCATGTGAGCCAGTGCTTGTGCGCCACTCCGCGCTCCAACCACAGCCCGGCTTGGCTGGGCCAGCTTGAGCACGCTCAATATGCTGTCCTGAGGGGCATCAATTACTGGGTGTTCTTTCTCTTTCTACAGCGCTTTTTTTAAACTTCAACGCTATTTAAAAGTATGCATCCATCAGATACAGAGATACACATAACGCTCAGCATATGCGCATAACACACGAACTGTGATTTGGATTCGGGCACCACATCGACACATACAACGCGTATCCATTGTTTTACACAGCAGCCATACCTAGCATCCATAAAAAATTGCGGCGAAACATTGAGCATGGGCAGCACTGGCCAGTGGAATTTGCGATTGAATTCAAATTTGAAAAATTGAATGAGCTTAACAGCATGCAATTCGCAAGCGCCATTCCCTGCTTTTGCATGTTTTTGCTGGTTGTAGCAATACATAAGCCAGTTTATTTGCGCTGCTGCGATCTGCACTGTTGGCAGGCTACAGCCGGCTTTGTTTGCTTGTTAGAGCCAAATGCCAACACATGAGGCCCACTTGCTCTACGCGCGCTTGTAGAGTGTGGAGGCCGGTGGTAAACCCCATGGGTTGGTTTGTGTTTTGCTGCGTGACTTTGTGTTAACACAGCATACGTTGGTACCTGGGAGCTCTGGACTTGCGCGTGGAAACTAGGCGCGCATGTTGTGGTGTGTTGGGAGCACATGTCATTGCTGAGCGTTTATATGCCAATATTCATTGCGAGTTTGCAAGAAAGCAGACTTGAATGCATTGTTTTTTGGTTTTAACTTGACACAATTCGCGCAATTGGGGCTGCATTTGGCTAACAACACCTACTTGTTTTGCTTTTGCGCTGATCATTTTTTGACTGTAGAAAAACATGGAGGCCGTCCAGACTTATGGTCGCAAGGTACGTTTATGTCGAGCTATATAGCAATATTTATATGGTTGCATTTGGAGATAGATATGTTTTGCACGCAACATACGCCAGACCAGTTTTGGCAATGTAGCTGTACTACTCTACACTGTAGTTGCATGCAAAATGTGAACCACCGATTTAAGCTTGAAGTTACTGTCCACGTTACATAATGTTTTCCACTTTTACTAACCAACTCCTGCATATATTAATTGCCACTGAACCATCTGTAGAAGAACGCCACAGCCGTCGCTTACGTCAAGCACGGTAAGGGCATGATCCGCATCAACGGTCACCCTCTTGAGCTCCTCGAGCCCGAGATCTCCGGTTCAAGGTCTACGAGGCCATTCTCATCGTTGGTGAGGACAAGTTGCCGGTCTTGACATCCGCGTCCGCGTCAAGGGTGGAGGCCAGACCTCCCAGGTCTACGCCATCCGTCAGGCTATTGCCAAGGGTATCGTCGCCTTCTACCAGAAGTTTGTCGATGAGGCTTCCAAGAAGGAGATCAAGGACATCCTTGTTGCCTTTGACCGCTCCCTCCTTGTTGCCGATCCCCGTCGTTGCGAGCCCAAGAAGTTCGGTGGACCCGGTGCCCGTGCCCGCTTCCAGAAGTCGTACCGTTAATGCAACAGCTTTCTGTCATTATCAACTCTTTTTGTGTCATTTTTTCCTTTATGGTGTGTTGCCAATAAATGTTTGGAATTGCACTTTTAAACGTTGCAGGCTCTGTTCATTTGCGCAGCCCTGTTTGAATTATGTGACATGTGTTCGTTGTCTATTATTTTTCATTAATACGATGCCAATTTTATCGAACTGGCCATTCACACACAAATACGCGCAGATCCGGACCGTTACGATTAGATCGGCGGACAGAACTAATAGACGACGGCAGTGCATGTCAACTTCACTGCTTCTGGTCGAGCCAGACAACTCTGCTTACCAGAGTTTGCTATCGATATCGCAGGGGGGTTGCCCTGAAACCGGAGGACAGCATTCTGGTTGAGCTTGTTTTGTTCACATATTCATGCTTCTAAACAAGGCGATGGCAAAGTGCTGCATTCTTATTTATAGCACAGAACAAATAAAAAATGTGAGTCAATTTAGTTCTCAACCGAGCGGACGCGGGCATCAGCGTTGACAACCTTGATGTTAAGCTGCTTGGCACGCTCAATAAGGACAACACGCTTCTTGGCACCAACGGTGCTGGAAATCTCGGCGGCGTAGGTGCGGTTAAGCATCATGAGGCTCTCCAGATCCTTGCTGTTCTTGACGGTGAACTTACGGAAACCGTCGGGCAAGAGGAAACGGGTCTTCCGGTTCGAGCCGTAACCGATCTTGGGATGAGGGCGGGTACCCTTGAAGCGACGACGGGTGCGGGAATCAATACCCACGGGGCGACGCCACGACTCGCCGACACGCATGAAGCGGTCCGACTGGACGCGGACGAAGGACTTGGTGCGCTTCTTCACAATGTTAACCTTACCAATAGGGCGGACCATCTATAATGCAAAAAAATATAGGTAAAGCAGATACGGGAATAAAGTTAGTTGTGTTGTTTTGGGTGTCTAACAGTCATTGTGCGTAGCTAACTGCGCACATTGTGCAGTCCGTTTTCTGGCTCCTCGCAAGCAAAGTTGCCGCCGCCAATTCAAAGTTTAACAACCTCGAATCAGGAAAACAAAAAGGGATTGTCCCTGAATTCGCACTCGTGCAACTAGGTTGAATTGTCGCAAAGCAGGTGCAGTCTAGCACTGCGCCCACCCCTATTCCTCTGCGCACTGCTTCATATGGCTGCCCGTTGCAATATATAATCCCGTACGCTGACTGATGCCGTCCTCACAGAATCGTTCAGTCATGCTGTGTGCAAGCAAACAAAAACAGTGGTGTAATGCGCCAGCCTTTCGGCATTAGCAAGGTTTGCCAAAGGCAAAAATACACGAGTTGTTCCTGACGTAGCCACAGCCACAACTGTTGTACCAAGAGCACAGAATCCGTGGCAATACTCGGCACTATAGCTGAAAGCCGTGTCAACAAAGACTGCAGCCATGCCAAATATGTCAAATTCAGACATTCAATTGGAAATTTCGTAATTTCGAATTTGGACACAGCCCTCCTTCAAACTGTCTGCCAATAAACCAGAGTCAACGGAATTTGTGTCTGATTCTACGAGTGAGCCTGGCAGCCGGCTAACGTGCCCCCGTGTATCTGTTTGTAATGGATGCATCCATTTGGCATGATCGGGTCCGCGCGAATGCTCTGCCTGTTGCTGCTATTGTGCGTGAGCCCTCTCTCTGTTAAAATTCGGCAATGGATTCGCTGATGCTCACCTTTTACAATTTGAGATATGTGTCAGCTAACTGAAAAAGTCGAAAAGAGAAATTACTACTAAGCCTACGCTGTTGCTGTGTGCCATCTCACTTGGTGCCAAAGGGCCACGCCCGTATTGGATTAGCCTATGACGCCAGCCCAAAAATTCAAATTTGCACTTTGTATTTTGTATTTTCAGCACTCTATAAATCGGCAACGAGCGTAAAATGCGCGCTTAATCATTTTGTGCAGGCCAAGCGCTTATAATTGCGCCTTGATTATATTCCTGATTAATCAGCTGATTGGCGAGTTGGCCGCGTCATTTGTTACTTTTGTGCTTGAGTAAACAGCGGGGCATTGCAGGCTTCATTATTGAGGAAGGCAAAGTGTGTACGCAATCTCATATTTGCAATTGACTGGTGTGCAATCTCATTCGGCGAACAATTACAGCGTTCATTTTCATTTTCATTTTATTGTTCTCTCCATTCTAGCATCGCTTTTTTATATCCTTTCTTTTTGTAATCTGCAATCAACACACTCGCACTCAGCATCGCCTTTTTCTTTTACCTCAGAATCAATCGCTTTAGTCTCACCATACTCGAGCGCTATTTGAAGAATGTCTAGCAGCACAATTGCGCACGGCGCGCAGGCCACACAGGGTGCCGGCGAGCCTCAGGGATCCGCGAGTACTACCAGCACAAAATTCAGCAGGCGGAGCAGAAAATCGTCGACAAGACTCAGAATCTGCGGCGTCTCGAGGCCCAGCGCAACACATTGAACGCCAGAGGTAAGAATAGAGTTGATTATGCTTACCCGCCGGGTTTTAAATTGACTAACGCGCAGAATTGGTTACTAATTTGTATTGCTGCGTGTATTATTTTGCAACTTAAATTCGCGGCATGTAGTGCGCCTGCTCAAAGACGAGCTGAACCTGCTGCAGGAGCCCGGGCTTTCGGTGGGCGAGGTTGTCAAGGTCATCGGCAAGAAGAAGGTGCTGGTGAAGCTGCAGCCCGAAGGCAAGCACGTTGTCGACATTGCTGATGACATTGATATTACAAAGCTCACGACATCGACCCGCGTTGCGCTGCACTCGGACTCGTTCAAGCTTTGCAAAATCCTGCCCAACAAAATCGACCCGCTCGTGAGCCTGATGATGGTCGAGAAGGTGCCCGATTCGACATATGACATGATCGGCGGCCTGGACGAGCAGATCAAGGAAATCAAAGAGGTCATTGAGCTTCCGGTTAAGCACCCGGAGCTGTTCGAGGCGCTCGGCATTGCGCAGCCCAAGGGAGTATTGCTGTACGGCCCGCCGGGAACCGGAAAGACGCTCCTTGCGCGTGCGGTCGCTCATCACACGGACTGTCGGTTCATCCGTGTGTCAGGGTCTGAGCTGGTGCAGAAGTACATTGGAGAGGGCAGCCGCATGGTCCGCGAGCTGTTCGTCATGGCACGCGAGCATGCCCCCTCGATCATCTTCATGGATGAGATCGACTCCATCGGCTCGTCGCGAGGCGACTCGGGGTCCGGTGGCGGCGACTCGGAGGTGCAGCGGACGATGCTGGAGCTGCTCAACCAGCTCGACGGATTCGAGCCCACACAGAGCATCAAGGTCATCATGGCAACCAACCGCATTGACATCCTCGACTCGGCGCTGCTGCGCCCTGGGCGTATCGACCGTAAAATCGAGTTCCCGCCTCCAAATGAGATTGCGCGCACAGACATTCTGCGCATCCACTCGCGCCGGATGAACCTGACCCGCGGCATCAACCTGCGCAAGGTCGCCGAGCGCATGTCGGGCGCCAGCGGTGCCGAGGTTAAGGGCGTGTGCACAGAGGCCGGCATGTACGCTCTGCGTGAGCGGCGCGTGCACGTCACACAGGAGGACTTTGAGATGGCCGTGGCCAAGATCATGAAGAAGGACTCGGAGAAGAACACATCGCTTCAGAAGCTGTTCAAGTGAGGCGCGGCCCAATTTCCTTTGCTCTCTTTTCAAGTACTTTTCCTTATATATTTTCTTGCTTTACACCACGGCCCGGCCGCTTCACGTGCAGAGCTACACACGCACTGCTTCTGGGTATGCGCACCATTGCAGAGAGAAAAGAGTCGGAGACCGTACGTGATTTGGGCGGGCAGGGCAGGGCAGCTGAGCCACGGGTGGCCTGCCACCTGAATGAATGGCGCGAGAAGGCCGTTATTTTCGTTATTTTCGTTATTTTCGTTATTTTCGTTATTTTGGTGGGGGAATGGATCCGTGTTAAGGGGCCGTTTCTGTGAATGCTTGCAGCAGTGTGCTCACTCCCGATTTTCGTCGCGCAAGACCAAATTGCCCAACGAAAGCTCATATCTAATCAGGGGTGCAGTACGGGTCAGCTGGTGTTCGCAGGGTTTGTCGGCGATTGGGTCCCCGCAAAAGTGACTCCTCTGCTATTGCCACAAGACAAGCCTTCCAGCCCTCGCTTTTCTTCTTTTCTTCTTTTCTTCTTCATTTTCTTCACGTTAATTCAACTTTTATAAAGAGCAGTTTTTTATTTCCGCATTTTCATTTCCTTGTGCAGTCTCACCTAATTACAACGCAATTACGTTTTTTTCTTCACAACAGCAGTATGGCACCCAGTAAATTGTCGAATGATGCCCGAAAGAAGCTGGCAGCAAACTTGCAGGTTTTGCGGCGGTACGACGACCAAATCGATGCTATCGTTGACACGACCAGCCACGTAGTTTTGTACCAGTTCGAGGAGTCGACCCAGTCGTGGGTAAGTTTGCGCATTGGATGGCCATGGCCACTAGTGCCTCGCTTGGTGGGGGTTTTCGGTGTGAATATCGGCTGCGAATTTAGACAAACAGCTCGAATAGCCTGTGCTAACGGCAAATTTGGCGTGCATATATTTTTATTCTTATTCATCTTTTTTTGCGGGCGGCGTACTTTCTGCATACCTGTTGTAGGCAAACAAGGAGTTGAGGGCGCGCTTTTCGTTTACAAGAGGTAAGCAGGCGTGACCTTTATTGAAAATATGGCATGCTGACAATGGTCGCAAGCTGGCCCACATATGTGCCTCAATGTACTAAAAAAATGCATTGCATCGGTTTGTGCCAGCAAGCAAGTGTAGGTCGTCGGCGCCGTACTACGGATTTACGATTTTGAACCGAGTGGGGCTGGAGAACTATACGGAGCTTCTCAGCGCGGACATGAGCTTTCAGGCGTCGGATCAGATTGCGATATATACATCGAAGAACGGCGGCGGCATTGTTGGAATCTGGATTTATGAGGAGACCGACAGAGTGCGGATCCCCGAGCAGCTGAGCATGTGCTGCAGCAGCGCGCGATCGGCGGTTGTGGGCCAAGGCCCCCGGTGTCTGTACCCGAAGAACGCCGAGGAGGAGCGCGAGTTTCTGCGCATGTACCCCCGCAGCCGCTCGAACAGCAGGCGGGACGGCGCCAACGAGGCTGCGGGCGCCAACAGCGCGCTCTCGACGATTGTCAATCGCACGCGCCAGCAGCAGAAGAAGCAGCCGCACCAGCCGCACAGCGCCTCAAAGGGCGGCAGTGCGAACCCGAACGACCTAGTGAGCAAGCTGCAGGCATTGGGCTCGACCCCTCAGGCGGAGCCGGTGGCCAGCCCCAGGACGTCGGCGCCAATGCCAGCGCGTTGCCCTTGGACCCGGCGATTATCATGGCCCGCAAGTCAGTCAAGCCCAGTGAGACGAGCCCCACCGCAGCAGGCAGCATGGCTGCGAGCTTCCAGACCCAGGCGCAGGACCAGAAGCAGACGCAGGTCCAAAACCAGGCGTACGCGACTGGCGGCGCCGACGAGGCATCTGCGTTCAGGTCACCGCTGCCGGTGCCGGTGCCGGCCGTCCATGGCCAGGGCACCAATGGGACCAGCAGAGCTAACGGCCGCCGTCGCCCGTACTCCACCCGGCACCTTCACCGTTCCCGCCGTCGACGATTGCAACACCGCTGCCGGGCCAGGCCTTGCAGGGCATCAGCCCGAACGCCGCGTACATGGCCCAGATGCAGCAGTTCTGGCATCCGCAGATGGGCAACGCGCCGGTGCCACGGTCGGCGCACGCGTCCCCCGCGCCCATGGCGTATGCCATGCACCCCGCCATGCACGTGTTCCCGCAACTGGTTATGGGCCATCCGGGGCGCCGCACACGCCCCAGCCGCACATGCAGAACATGCAGAACATGCAGATGGGGCCACTGCAGCTCATGCCTGGCATGTCCATGCTGCCACCGCAGCAGCAGCAGCAGCAGCCTGCCGATAGCCCCGAGCCGGTGGCCACCAGCGTTGCACAGAACCTGGCTGAGCAGCTGGTGTCGCTGGTCGCCAACGCATGACCTCGGTCCACCCAGCCAGCGAGTCCAGCGCCGCTCCGACTGCAGAGCCAGCGCCAGTCGCCCAGCAGGCAGCGCTCCCGCCCAGCGCGCTCAAGATGCAGCGCGACTACTGCAGAGAATGGCTGATCCGCGTGATCCGCGCCGATGACGAGCTTGTCGACGCCTTCGCCCAGCGCTTCCCCCCGCCCATCTTTGCGCAGCAGAACCAGTAGGCCAGGCCAGGTGCCTTTGGTTCTCAGTAAATACCAATAATGTTTATGTTCGCCTTTTTTAGTTTGCCTGAGAACCGCGCATAAAATGTTGAATATAAATGTTAAGCGCTATGTATAAATGTTGAATGCTGTATATTAATCATAAATAACAAATAACAAATACAAACGCCAAATGCCACATAAATATGCACACATCGGCCACTTTATTGCCGAATTTTTATTGCTGAATCTTTATTGCTGTAACTTGTAATGCCAAACGAAAGAAAAAATGTATTCGCGTCTAAAGTGCGCAGGCACGTCCGAGTAATAATATTTAGCTGAAAGAAACGTGGCTGCGCGGGAACATGCCGGAGCGGCCGGTAGAGCCGCGCCCGGCTTCGGGGAGGATGGAGCCAAACCACCAGTCGTCGTTGACCTTGCTCTGGATGACGATGCGCTCACCGCGCGTAAACTCGAGGTCACCCTTGATGCTTGATGTGTAGTCGTAGCTGCCGTAGCTACAAGCACCATGGCCGCAAGCGACTTGTCGACGATCGACTCGCTGAACGCCTTGTTGAGGTAGGGCGGCGGTGTCTGCTGCGCGCTGCGCTGAGCATCGGCCTGCTCAGCCGCCAGCGCGTGCTGCAGCGAGCCGGTTGAGGCGGAGAGCATGGCAAGCTGGCATGCCTCGGAGGGCATGGGTGGGAACGCCAGCGTGCTGGGGGCTGCGGCCTTGGTGGGTGACGTCGGGTTGCGCGAGCTGGCAATGCTCGAGAGCCCGCCCTGAATGCGGGCAACGCTCGTGGGGCTCTTGGGTTCCTTGTGCAAGGCACTGAAGCTGTTGTGGTGGCGCTGCGCGCGGATGGGCGTTGCCAGCGGCAGTGGCCTTGGCTTGGCCGCAATAGCCGCCGACGACGTCTGAATGACGAGCCCTAGCGAGTTTGTGGGCGCCGCCAGCCGGGCCATGCCCTCGGACATGCCGCATGGCGACACCAACTTGGCCTGCAGCGCCGAGATGTTGGCCGCGGGCTTTGTGCGCCGCAGCTGCGGGCCGCGCGACGACGTCGACTGCTGCGCCTCGCCTTGGTCTGCCGACATCAGCTCCATTGACAGCCCGAGATGCGTGAAGCTACGCTTGCGCGTCGCCAATGTCGACGCCTTCGATGCCTTCGACGATATGTGGGACGACCGCGCAGACGAGGCCGCGTCCGAGCCAGAGCCTGATCCAGAGCCAGAGCGTACCGAGTCCGTCGACGAGTACCCCGCTGTGGCAGTCGAGTCAGTGCAACTGACGCCCGACAGCTGGCTGCTCTGGGATGCCTTGCGCAGGTGTCCTGCTCGAGCCGCAGCAGCTGCTGGTGCTGGCGCGGGGCAATGCCGAGGGCCGGTGCCTGGCAGTGGCTGACCGTGACGCGGTGTGTCAGTCTAGGCTCGGTCTTCACCGCAGCGCTGATGCGCGAGATCTGGGGCGACTTTGGCGCATCGGAGAGACTGCGCTCGTTGCTGCGCTTGGCAGCGTCGTTTGCAGCGCCGCATGTGGACGCCGGCTTCTGGAAGCCCATGGTGCCCGGGTACTTTGGGAAGGCCACGCTGGCCGCTGAGGCGCCCAACTGATGCGCTGGGAACCCCGGCGTGCGAGGGCTGTTGACTGGCGTGAAGGCCAAGCCCTTGGTCGACTTTAGCCTGGGGCTGGTCTCAGCATCCAGCGTGAGCTTGTTGAAAAAGGCGCCCAGCTTGGCGCTCAGGCCCTCGTGCTTGTGCGTCTTTTCCTTGCGCGGGGAGCTGGGCCCGCGCTGGATTTGGAGGTGCAGTTGGTGCAGCTGATTCTGGCTTTGATGCTGGTCGGGGCTGTGATCGTGCTTCTGCACGGGACGCAGGGGGGCGGTCTCGGACCGCTGGCGGTTGAGCTTCTTCATCTGGGCGATTATCCGCTTGGGGTCCTCTGACATGTTGGGTAAGCTGTCGACAGACTGGTCAAAGGCGCTTGCCGGCCGCTGCACGCTTTCCAGGGATGTGTTAGGGGCAGTGTGCTGTTGCTGTCTGACATGCCCGCATGATTGCGCTCTCCTCATCGCCGGACGAGATGGAGGTTGCGGCGGAGGCGTAGGGCAGGTAGCTGTTAATGACCTTCATGCCCGACTCCTTGATGAGGCCCATGGCCGCGAGCAGGCGCACGTCGCGCTTGATGGAGTTTGAGAGGTAGACGACCAAGGCGTTTGTGGGGTGGCCCATGGGCTCGACGAGGCTGTACTTTGGCAGGCCTGTGCTCGTAATTGGTGAGATGAGCTGCTGCTGCTGCTGCTGCTGGTTATTGGGCTGGAAAGCAAGCATTTTGTGGGTGTAAATATGGGGAGGGTATTAAATGTGAGGGAACCTATTTAACTGTTATGCAGATTAAAAAATAGAATGAAAAATACAGTCGGCTAAAAGAGCGGGAGTATGTGTGGTCTCTAACAGAAGGAAGCGCGCGAGTCAACACAGGGAGAAAATATAGATAAAATAAAAAAGGGGAGGTAAAGTGGGTGTGCTAGCAGATGCAATGTCGGGCGAACGGCTGGGTATTAAAAGACTATTGACAACTGGCTATCAACTATTGACAGCAAATATTAATATGAATTGTTCGAGCGGGTGGAAGACAAAGAGAGGGAGGGGAGCGAAAAATTAGTGTATAATATAAGTATAGGTATAGAGACAAAGCAGCGAAGAAGCGTGTTTGTGAAGGTTGGGGGATGAATACGAAGTGGCTTGGAAATAGTTGGCAAGCGCACAAATAAAAGGGAATAAAGTCGAATATATAAATAAAAATAATAGTGAATGGGTTCAAGTGGAGGTAGCCGAGTTCAATGGGGCCGGGCTGCTGGGGTTAACATAGGGGGCGGACGGGCGGGCGGGCTTTGCAAAGGGTTAAGAATTAAAGATGTGGAGTTTAAAAAATTCAATTTTTTTAGCGAGACGGGCAGCAGCCTTTGCATATATACGTCTCGGCAGCGAAGAGCGTAGAAAAGGCATGGTTTTAGAAACCAAAACAAATAACGAAGCCAAAAATACACAGGCGCCAAAACAGGACAAGATGATGCGTCTTGGGCGGTCTCTAATGGTCCTGGGTGGTGTTTTGGTTGGGCAGAGTTTGTCCGGTCGGCAAAAAAAGTGCATGCAAAGAGGTGGTTGCTGAGGCAGGCTGACGCGCATCCCCTTTGATCGCCGCTGGTAATAACATGTAAACAGGATTCGCAGTGGCGAATGACTGAAGGGGAAGAGAGAAAGCAGTGAGAGAAGGCAGTGCGTGTTTGTTGTGCAAACTGGGCTCCGCAAAAAAGGGGAAGGCAAGACCGATGCCGATCCTCAAAATCTGGATAGCAAACTGGTGTTTTTAATTATAGTGGACAGCGCAGGCGGCAACGGCCTGTGTTTTGGTGCCGCGGAGACGAGACAAGAGAAAGAAAGAGAAAAAGAGTGCTAATTTAGTGCCCCAGAGGCCGCCAAGACCAAGAGGGCCCGCCCCATTATTTGTTTCCAGGCAGGATCTCCGAGAAGCAAGATGCGGCGTTTGAAAAGGCGCGGGGGCGGCAGCGCGAAAGAGAGGAGATTGGCATACAGATCTTGTTGTTTTTTCTTCTGCGTTCTCTCAGTCCGTTTATTTTGTCTTGTAACAAAGTATCACAATCAGTTTGAGACTCGCTCAGCCTGTTTCTTTTTCGACGTATCGACACGCGCCAACAACAAACAAACAAAGCAGGAATTCGCTGCTTGCATACCTGCACAGCAGCACTCAAACCATCATGGCTGGTGACGACGGCAAAACCGACTCGCGTGGCGGCGACAGCGAGCAGAAGCCACACAAGACGCTTTCAGAAGTAGCACAGGTACGCTCCATTTGCTTTGCTCGTATGCAGCAGCAGACATCAAATGGTCCCATTGCATAATCACAATCAGGTGTGAGATCTGTGTTTGCAGATGCCGATTGTTTCCGAATTGTTTCCATGAATCAAGTTTCTTCTTGCCGCTTGCCGCTTGCCGCTTGCCGCTTGCCCCCGCGCAGCTTGCGAATTGAACTAATAACAAGCGGGCGTACTTTTTCCAATGGACTGTTTGCATTTAGGCGCACAAGTGGGAGGACTTTAAGAACACCATACAGAGCGAGCCCTGCGCGCGCGAGGGCCTTCTGTACGGCGTGGGACTGGGTTTGGCGTGGGCGTCCTGCGGTTCATACGCACCGGAAATGCGCTCAACGCCGGCAACTGGGCGGTGCTGGCCTTTGCAGGCGTTGCTGTGGCTGCAAAGAAGCTGTGCCACTTCCAGCAGTCGCACCAGCGCGCCAAGACGCGCACGCTGCTTGAGATGCAGAGCAAGGTGGCCACGCGCGTAAAGGGCTTCGAGCCGTCGTCGCCAGACGCAGGCTCTTCTGCCCAGGCGGAGCAGCAGCAGCAGCAGGCCAACGGCAGCAGCCATAGCAAGTGAGCGCTGCAGTGTTGTTGGATGTTATCAATAAATCAAATCAAGCATATGCGCCCGCTGATCACGCACTGTGACTAATCACTGCAGAGTCATAGTGGTGACTCACTTTATTCACGTGAGCGATAGAGTAGAACAGAAGCTTGAGAAACGAGAGGCCCATCCGTTTCTGTGTTAGCATGCAGCGACGCTATTGGCCAGTGTGCCAGGTGTGCATTCATCTTATCGGCGGAGGCCAAAAGCAGCCCCAGCTGCACTTGCTTGAATGCGTGGGGCAGGCCGCTGGGCACACAGCCCAGTCTGGTCCTGGCTTTGGCTTTATGCCGCCCTGCGCACACTTGTTCGGCGGGCGCCTTTTGTTCTTCATTGCGAGATCTATACCTCTTTTCGACTGCCACATTTTGTACGTTTTTTCCCTGTACTTTTTTATTTGTTCAAACTGGTCATTATTCCTGACTTTGGCCCCGATCTTGCGCACGAGGACCACATCACACAAAACTACACACATATATACACAAACCATTCTGAACAGATACAATGAGCTTTAGACTTCTAGTTGCGGCCGCCGCGGCACGGCGGGTGGGAAGCACCTCTGCTTCGGCATCAGCCTCAGCCTCAGTCTCTGCATCGCGCAGGCATCCTGCGCTGCTCGCCCGCCGCGGTTTTGCGTTCACAACACCGGTGCGGCAGGGAGGCCAGACACTGGTTGAAAAAATCGCGCAGCGGCATGCGGTGGGGCTGGGTGAGGGAGAGAGCGTGCGCAGCGGCGATTTTATTGCGATTCGGCCGCGGCACATCATGACGCACGACAACACCGGCGCTGTGATCCCCAAGTTCAAGAGCATCGGAGCCACGCGGCTCGCCGACGCGCGCCAGCCGGTGTTCGCGCTGGATCATGACATTCAGAACACGGGTGACAAGAACCTGGCCAAGTACCGCGGCATCGAGCAGTTCGCGGCGACGCACGGCAACAAGTTCTACCCGGCCGGGCGCGGCATTGCGCACCAGGTGCTGGTCGAGGAGGGCCACGCGTGGCCTGGAACAATGGTGGTTGGCTCGGACTCACACTCAAACATGTACGGCGGCATCGGGTGTCTGGGCACGCCCGTCGTGCGCACCGACGCGCGGCCATCTGGGCCACAGCGCAGACGTGGTGGCAGGCGCCGCCTGTTGCGCGCGTCGAGTTGCGCGGCGCTCTGCCGCCTGGCGTTGTCGGTAAGGATGTCATCGTTGCACTGTGTGCGCTGTTTGCGCGCGACGAGGTTCTGAACCACGCTGTTGAGTTTGCCGGCGACGGCGTGCGCGCGCTGGCCGTTGAGGACCGGCTGGCCATCGCCAACATGACCACCGAGTGGGGCGCGCTGGCCGGCCTGTTTGCCGTCGACGAGGCGACGTTGCGTTGGTACGAGGCGCGCGCCGTCACGCACCCTACAGACGTCGTCAGCGCAGCCACCGTGGCCGGCTTGCGTCGTAGTGTTGAGGCAGAGCCCTCGCTGTGGCGTGCCGACGCCGACGCCGCGTACGCGAAGCGCCTGTGGTTGGACCTGGGCTCGCTTACGCCGCATGTGTCTGGCCCCGACACTGTCAAGGCTGCGACGCCGCTGGCAGTGCTGGAAACGCGCCGTGTGGCCATCCACAAGGCATACGTTGTGTCGTGCGTCAACTCGCGCGCCAAGGACCTACGCGAGGCCGCCGACGTTGTACGTGCCGCGCAGCGCGCGCGGCCCGGCGCGCAGGTGCGCGTTGCCGCTGGTGTTGCGTGGTACGTGGCACCTGCATCGACACAGGTACTCGCCGACGCGACGGCCAGTGGCGACTGGCAGGTTTTGGTTGATGCTGGCGCACGTACGCTGCCACCGGGCTGCGGCCCGTGCATTGGGCTGGGCGTCGGGCTGCTCGAGGAGGCGAGGTCGGCATCTCGGCCACCAACCGCAACTACAAGGGCCGTATGGGCTCCAAGCTCGCGCACACATATCTGGCGTCGCCAGCTGTGGTCGCCGCATCGGCGCTACAGGGTTATATCTGCTCCCCGGCCACTGCCGCCAGGGGTGATATCGGAAATACTGTCGAGCCACCCAGCGTGCGCTACGGCATCGAGCTGAGCGCGCCCCCAACCGCTTCTGCTACAGGCGCTGCCGCGTCGTCATCTTCGGCTGCAATCGATGGCTTCCCCGCTGCACTCAGCGGTCGCCTCGTCTTCCTGCCGGCCGACAACCTCAACACTGACGGCATCTACCCCGGAAAGTACACGTACCAGGACGACATTACACGCGAGCAGATGCGCACCATTGTCATGGAGAACTACGACCCCGAATTCAGCCGCCTTGTGCAGCCCGAAGATATTGTCGTGGCCGGCGCCAACTTTGGCACTGGATCCTCGCGTGAACAGGCCGCCACCGCCATACTGGCTGCCGGCGTGCGCCTTGTTGTCTGCGAGAGCGCTAGCGAGACCTTCAAGCGCAATGCCGTCAACAACGGTCTGCTTGTGCTCGAGTCCCCGCCACTTGTTGCCTGGCTGCGCGCCCGCTACAGCGCGCCTCTGACCGTCATTACCGGCCTCGACGCGCGCGTCGCCCTTACTGATGGCCGCATAACACTTGTTGACGCGGCCGGTGCCAGCGTCTTCGAGGCTGCAATCCCCCGCATCGGCAAGGCTGCCCAGGAGATCATTGTTGCCGGCGGCCTGGAGAACTGGGTGCGTCTGCGCATGGCAGCCACCAGCTGAACAAATTAAACTAATGCGGGAAAGTGTTTTTTATTCGGCGCGTTTCTATTTCACCTAATCAATTTATTTATTTTTTATTCGCATATATTACAAGTATGATAAAGATATTTAAATAGGAAATGTGCTCCTTCAAAGAACATTAGAACGGTTGTCGCTCCTTTTGTGTTCCCCTCGACATGATAAACACTATAAACCACAGCAACGCTTTGATTACCTTACGCGCAGTATTAATTACAACATAAAGGCATGTTGATCACGTTCCCAACATACGCCTCAGCCGTTACATATATTGCGAGTAACCGAACAATGGGCAATTGTGATGCACAACGCTGCATATCAATGCATTGTTTGATAACCACATGTCAGCGGTATTTTTTAATTTTGTCACAATTAAATGGCAAGCTCGCATTTAATTCGAATAAATCAGAGTCGAGGCCACATATCATCACCATCACCACCAACTTATCCGTCGCCGGTTGTGCCTCCTCTTCTTTTTCTTTCTTTTTCACCCCACCAAATTCCTTCGTAATTTTTGTCTTGTATTTTGTCCTCACATTTTTTAGCCTAGTCTTTTTTATTATTTTCTAGCACTTCTATCTTTTAAAATGAGACTTGTAATCGCGAGGATGCTCAAACAGTCGCCGATTATATAGGTAACACACACCATTGCATAACTGACTGATACTTGACTGTGCTCTGTCGATATCATTACCACGGCAAGAAAAGTGACATGGTACTTATAGGCTACTGGCGCTCGTGTCTTCATTTTGAAGACCCACTTGGTTTTATTTTTGTCTATCTTTGGCAGGGAAATATGAGGATATGCCTGAATTTTTCCTTCAGGTGCATCCACGTATGCTCTGTTAATTATTATTATACCGCCCGCTGCTTTGTTCCTGTCCCCCCTGCCACAGCTATTTTTCTTCCTGACGCAAAGCCCTGCGCAATCAAGTGCGGCAGCGCCTCCTAATCATATGGAAGTTGCGAAATTGCAAATGATGGTTGACACCTTGGATCATGTGTTTTTATCAAGATCACAATGCAAAGTTTAAAATCACACGTCTACATTGTTGCGTTGTAGCCGAGTACATCAAGGAGCGCATCAACCAGTTCAAGCCAACCGCTGAGCGCCCCTTTGTCATTGGTCTCCCCACTGGATCCTCCCCCATCCTTGTTTACAAGCGCCTTGTCGAGCTCTACAATGATGGCAAGCTTTCGTTCAAGAATGTTGTTTCGTTCAATATGGACGAGTACGTTGGCCTGCCCCGCGACCACCCTGAAAGCTACCACAGCTTCATGTGGCACCATCTTCTCAAGCACATTGACATTCCTCCCGAGAATGTGAACATCCTCGACGGCAACGTGGACGACCTCCAGTCCGAGTGCGAGAGATACGAGGCAAAAATACAATTGTATGGTGGCATCGAGCTCTTCATGGGCGGCATTGGCCCCGACGGCCACATTGCCTTTAATGAGCCCGGGAGCTCCCTCCAGAGCCGCACCCGTGTTAAGACCCTTGCCTACGAGACTATCCTTGCCAACGCGCGTTTCTTTGGCGGTGATATTACAAAGGTGCCCAAGCTTGCTCTGACCGTCGGCGTTGGAACCGTCATGAATGCCCGCGAGGTTGTCGTTATCATCACCGGTGCCAACAAGGCCATCGCACTCGCCAAATGCATCGAGGAGGGTGTCAATCATATGTGGACCGTCTCCGCCATTCAGACCCACCCGCGCTCGCTTGTTGTTTGCGATGATGACGCTACTCTCGAGCTGCATGTCAAGACTGTCCGTTACTTCAAGAGCATCGAGCAGGTTCAAGACGAAATGATTGGCCGCGAGAACCTTGGTCTCTATGGCCAGGTTGCAGGCCCTCTCAAGTACAAGAACGTCCCGTCAGGAAACTGAGCTCGGTCAAATATTCCAGGCTGGAATCAGGTATTGATTTCTTTATCACATATTGCACCCAATTTGAATAATTAAAAACAGGTTATTTCAACTCAAACCAATGACATTAATAAAAACTATTGCGCGTTGTATTAAGCAAAAATAAATGGAAAATAGTATAAATATCACGTTTGAATGTATATTAATTGCTGCTCAGGGCTGCTGTTTGTGGGGTTTTCCCTGGGGCGTCGCACAATATGGATTTGCCTTGCTGGTAGCATACTTCGTTAGCCCCACACACTGCAGGCAGCGGAATACCAACAGAGTCGCACGCAAAGAATCCTGGACGCAGGCCATGTGCCTCGCACACAAACTGGCCCGGCTTGCAGACTGCCGGAGTGCTGAGCGGAACGTAACCTAAGTAGGATGGCACGCTGGTAATAGCGTCAAATAATTTGTTTTGACTGTCGACCAGATTGACTGACGCAGTCGAATTGGATAATTCTAATACTCCGCTTGCTGCTGTATCCATACTAGCTCCCAACGTGGTGACAACTTCTGTCTCAATACACTTGATATATCATGCTGATGTTGCCGGTCATCAGAATTAGTCGAAAAACGCTCCAACAGCTCGTCACCGTCTAATAAAGAAAGCTCCATCTGTTGCGAAATGAGGACACTGCCAACAATGGATAAAACTTGTTTCGCATCGATATTGCCAATTCTGTTTGGCTGGGCTGTCGCGGTCATAGTTTTATCAGAGGCTGTTGATACAGGCTCTGAGGGACTGATCGATGGAATCGTCAGAACCTGATCGTTCAACTTTATTGGCACACGGGTGCCATGCATGTGCTTATGTGATGAACGGCCACTGCTGATGAAGCAAATGGTGAGAGCAGAGCATTTGGTGCCAGAAAAACGGTGCGAGTGGCTGGCACAACTGATGCAACTGGCACAACTGGTGCATGCGTGGTAGTTATAGGTCTGGCATATACGTGGGTAATCACCGTTGTCACTGCAAGAAGTTGCTGGTGATTGTAGGATAGCGCTGGTGGAGTGGTAGATTTGGGCGCGGCTGGTACATGGGCGAGACATGAGGCAGCTGCTGACTGGGCATTGCTGTGGGTTGCAATGGATATGCAGGGGTATGCTGCTGTGAATGATTTGTTAGTGTTGGTAGTAGTGGCGATGACGACAACGGCAGTGGTGGCTTCTGTTGTTGATGTTGTAAAGAAGGCATAGGTGTATGCTGTTGTGGCGCCATGTATGTAGTCCACTGAGAGCCGGAGAACGACGCCGGCAAGTAAACTGGTGAGGGTATGGGGTTTGCGCGAGCAGAACTTCCACCAGTGCTACGAGCTGCAAAAAATTGTGACATGGCGGATGTTTGCTGGAGCGGGATATGCTGGTTGGAAATTGCTGTGGCAGTCACGGGAACAATTCCAGTTGTAATTTCGGCTACAGGTATGTCAGCCCTGGAGCCAGCGCTACTCGTATTTGCAGCCACAGCTGAATTCACACCTGCGGTTGTCAAGTTACTTTGTGAGCTACTCGGCGGCGCATCCAACGAACTTTGTGAAAAGTCGACCGCGCAGAAAATCGTCGTGCCCTTGGACCCAACGCAAATGCTGGTCTCTGGGCAGAACTCCTCAACCAGTCTACCTTGGATGCACTTTAAATAACGCGCAGACATGCCGTCACCATCGCCACAAAAAATGTTTCGTGGCTGACACAAGTCACCAACGTTGCCGCTTGATATAACATTGGATACGCGCAAGTTAGAGCTGCAAGCATTGTATATAGCGCTGCCGACCCTATGGTTGTTGAGTGATGTGCGCACATTGATACTGGTTTAAATAAAGTGACTGATATAAAAAATATGGATTTATAATAAAACACGTCAAAACTAATTGTACTGGGGGGAATTGGTTGAAAGTCGCCAAATAATGTAAATGTTCCTCGACTCTGGCATCTTATTAGATTTTGGCAGCTTTACCGGAACCACTATTGGCTTTGCATTTCCAAAGTGCTGTCTTTTCTCAGCTAGCGCCAATATAGACTCGCGCGATAAACTTACAAAATAAAGCACGCATACTGTAAAATGGATGTGGGCACAAGTGCGACATCGGTAAATAGCATTTCTAATAATATCAAATATATATCACTGAATATATTTAGCAACGTTAATTTATGAAAGTTTGGGCTTTACGTTCCCCGCAACTTGTTTTTTTGTGTTGAAAATTGATGGAAATAAAAAAGCACGCGATGCGAGAATAGCTCTGTATTGTATATCCAAAAGAAATATGACCAAATGATTAAATTTAGCATTAGGCGGATTCTGATTGCGCTAGTCCGATTCCCAACTCCGATTGCATATGCCGTTCATATTTTATGTGCGGGGAGAAGGGTAAAAAAGACAGTTATTCAAATTGAACACAGTAAACCAAATGCTAAGAAAAATAAATGGCAGAGAGCAAATGAAACCCACAAACCCTTACTATTCACCCTAAAAATAACCCGTAGGTCTTCGAGTTACTTGCGCACAATTAAATTGATCCAATAAAGGTAATATTTTCAGCCAGAATCTATGGCTTACGGTCAAGATGTAAAGTTGAGTGAACACGAATATCTACATATATGAGAACATATTTTAAATTAACAACACGGGGTATCAATGCAAAATACAAAAACAAAACAAAACAAAAACAAAACAAAAACATATGGTGGTGACCTAAATTATACACAGAGATAGTAAACTCGGTGCAAAGGCATGTCACTCGCATGCCAAGAAAATATAATTTGATTGTGGCTCTGTGATCAGCTCTGGCTAAGCAGCTATTTTTGTAAGCCGAAAACTATGCGCCTGCAAATTGACTATTTGGCGGTGCAGCCCATGCTTACAATTTAGGTCCTCGCCTATTATTCGAGTGCTGCGGAGAAAAGGTCACTACCATTACAACGACACGCGGCAAAGTGCAGCACGCGTTTGTTTGAAGAACACGTTTTTCCGCGTGCCAAGGTCATTCTAGAGACATCAGCTCCAGCTCACACAAGCGGACAAACAGCTGTATTAAAAAAGCTGCGAGCGCATATTTATTATAGGTAAAGTGCCACAAAGAACGAACGACACACCCCACTTTATCTTTCTGGTGTTTTTTTTGGAAAAAGCAGGTGGTAACTGAGCATGGTGGTCGTTTCGCCGCGTAACTTAGATATCAAATTTCACGTGAGCTACAGACCCTACAGTTTAGTGATCAAGTGACTGATCACGAATGATTAATCAATCACAGATGCCGAGTTGGCGAGCCGGTGGTATGGACGCCAACACGGGGAGGGCTCCGCGGCTCGCGGCTCCCTCGAAACAACACATGCGCCCGCCCCTAGCCATTTATCGGTTGGGTGCCCTTTTTTTGGGCGTGCTGATATTGGTGATCAGCAATTGAGAAAAGAAGAAAAAAAGAAAAATTAGACAAGCTGGGCGGGGTGCCCTTCATCCTTATTTTTCTACCACTCACAGCAAGCCAAAAAAAAGCGGCGGCGGCAGCAATAGCGTACAGTTTGGCTGCCTCGCCCCCGCCTGCCAGGCCCCCCTCCCCTTGCGCGCCTCAGAGATGCGAGTTTACAGGCCAGAATGGCAGCGTGGTAAGGGATGAAAAAATAAGCGGTAAATTTTCGCGCCTAGTGATGCGTCCAGCAAGGATGACCCGGCTGGTTCAAAGCAAGCAGTCGTTGCAAAGTTGCTTGCTGCGTTCTCTCTCTTTCTCCTATCATCACATCTTTTTGTTCGGCAGAGTAAATTCACATTTCACTAAACCGCCAAAAAGCACAATGAACGCCCCTTTCGCCAAGGTATGTAGACTGAATTGACACCTGCTTGCACACAACACACATATATAGTGCACGTATGCGAGGCCTGCTGCTCTGGGATTCGCGAAACGAAGCAAAGCAAATTGACGCGACCGGCAAACACGACGACATACCAGGGGGCTATGCAGCATACACCGCACCGCACCACATTGCGCAGAGCAGCGCGATCTAGCGCAACGCAGCACAACATAGAGCGAGGCAGCGAGCCGCACGGCTTATGCCGGACTGGCCGGTACGGCTGGAGCCGAGAACCGAAGGCCGTGTGAGCCGAAAGCAGGCTTGCCATGAGCTTACTATGCTTGGTTACGTGGGAGTATGCCAGCGCCGCGCGTAAATAAGGATCGTGGCGGCAAGAATGGGCCTGTCTGTTGCTGACTGCTGAGGCTGTAAACTCGTACGCGGGCGCGGCCGCAGTGGCGGGGCACACATGCCCTTGTGCTGCTCTGTTCTGTGCGCCCGCCGCCTGCCTGCCCTCCTGCTTGATTTGTTGATTGTAGATTCCAGTTCATCAGGACGCAGCCGCATCCCCGTCTTCCCACAAAGCCGTGCCTTCAATTCCCCTTGATCCTGGCTGTTTTTTCTTTTTTTTTTCAGGCAACTAACCACCACCCCACTCCCGTTTTGTGCCTGCCCCCTGTAGCTGTACGTCATTGACGCCAAGGCGCACCTCCTCGGTCGTCTTGCGGCTGTCGTCGCCAAGCTGATCCTCAACGGCCAGAAGGTCGTCGTCGTCCGCTGTGAGGAGATGAACGTCTCTGGGTCGTTCTTCCGTAACAAGATTAAGCTCCAGAACTACCTGCGCAAGCGCTGCATCTCCAACCCCAGACGCGGCCCCTTCCACTTCCGCGCCCCCTCCCGCATCTTCTACCGCGCCCTCCGCGGTATGATCCCCCACAAGACCTCCCGTGGTGAGGCCGCTCTCGGCCGCGTCAAGGTCTTCGAGGGTGTGCCCCCTCCCTACGACAAGATGAAGCGCATGGTCATTCCCCGTGCCCTGCGTGTCATCAACCTCAAGCCCGGTCGCAAGTTCACCACCCTCAGCCGCATGGCCACCGAGGTCGGATGGAAGTACCAGGACGTTGTCTCGACCCTCGAGAGCAAGCGCAAGGTGCGCGCCCAGGCGTTCTACGAGCGCAAGAAGGCCATCGCCAACATCCGCGCCAAGGCCACCACCGCCAAGGCTGCCGACCTCGCCCCCATCAAGGAGCAGCTCGCCCAGTTCGGCCACTAATGCGCCACCGCAGCATGCGGCTCTTGTTTTTTGTCGGTTATTTTGCAAATAAAAACAGTGGATACCATACAACACATCATCGCCGCTCAATGAAATGGGCAAGTGGGTTTTTGGAGTTACTTTTATTTATTGAAACCAAAGATGACCGCGGCCCGTGTGGGCAGTCGAGGGACGGCGCAAGCAGCCCGCCCGCCTTGCTTGTCGGCAGCGCCCGCCCTACACGTACTGCGACAGCCAGCGGAAGCCGTCGCCGTAGCCCTGGCGCATGACTACCGAGCACATGAAAACTTCGATGGGGCGGATGTCCTTGAGTGGCACCTTGCCCTTGCCGGTGGTCTGGTGCAGCCCAAGCTGGGTCCGCAGCTCCTCCTCCGAGACGGCGCCGCGCGCATCGATCTTGTTTCCGAGAATGAGGAACGGCGTGGTCTGCAGCTGCTCGATGGCCAGCAGTGCGTCGAGCTCGGCCTTGGCCTCGGCAAACCGCTCTTTGTCGGCCACGTCGACCAGGAAGACGATGCCGCTGACCTCGGGGAAGTAGTCTCTCCACAGCCGGCGCGCCTGCTGATGGCCGCCCAGATCGAACGTGTTGAACTTTACATTGCCGATGGACAGCTCCTCGGATGTGGGGTGCAGCGTGGGCTGGAGCGTCGCCAGCCGGTCGTTCTTCAGCATGTGCAGGAGTGTGGTCTTTCCGGCGTTATCGAGCCCAAGGAACAGCAGCTTGGCATTCTTGTTGAGCAGACCTACATTGTGAAAGTGTGAAGGGAGTGTGAGGTGGTAAGTTAGCTTTCGTGTGTGAAAAATAGATAGAAAATAGCTGAAGCGCTGCATTGCGAAAGTCGAAGGTCGAAGGTCGAGCCTAGCCTGCATGCCGCTCATCTGGGTCGGAGGTCAAAACTGGCTTTGGAATCCCCTTCGCTCATTCAACACCGAATTGACACCGGGCGCCTGTTTCGTCGCTGCGCATCGCTTCCCCAATTCATGCCCTATGACGCTTACCCCAGTCGGCCAGTATGTTGCAGAACCAGTTGTAGATGAACATTTCTCAGGTAATGAAACAAATATATATATGCACGTAATATTAATAGTATTCGAGATTGGAAAAGCAAAAAAGATTGTAGGCTGAAATGAGAGAAAAAAATCCCTCCCAAGGGACAAAAAAGCGACAAAAAGTCATCAAACAAAAGCTGTGGCGGCAGTTCATTTGCCACGCAGCCCAGTGCAAAGCCAGCCGACAACCCACATGAATGCGCGAATAAAGAAGCCGCTGGCGATTGGATGGATAATCCCCCTCAAAATATCCCAGCCCAGGCTGCTGGAGCCGTTGCAGCGCCACGTGCCAAAGCCAAAACTAAAGTCAGAACCAAAGTCAGAGCCAGAACCAAAGTCAGAGCTGGCTCATCGCCTACGCCAAAAATAATGGACAAGCGATGCACCAGCCAGTGCCTGACTTCACGCTCACTCACTGTCAGTTTGAACACGGTGTGACGCACACATCCGCCCATATAGAAAAAGGCAAGTGCTGTGACTGGCAAAATGCTGTGCGCTTTTTTTAATAGCTTTCGTTTTAGGTTTGAGCAAAAAATAACCCCGAGTCAATCTGCACTGCTGTGCCGTGCCGTGCCGCGCTTTGATGGTTGGGCACCTTTACCCAGCAATCCAGCATCGGCATCTGCAAGCTTGCACTGCTCAACCTTGTCTCTTTTCTCTTCTCTCCTCTCCCCTCCACACCAGCCAGGCCTATAGCGCTTTTTCCACCCCTGCTTCCTTCAACCATTACATAGCTGCTACTACTCCCACCGCTAGACTGGCCTTTCAGTCTGCTACCGCTGTCTTTGTCACCGAAACGACTCCCCTACTACCTTGCCACTTTTCCCATCTCCCCCATTCTGCCACACGCGCTCCTGCTGCTGCTGTCCTGTCAACAAACGCATAGAAACCAAAATAAAAGCAGGACAACAAAACAACATCCCTGCCGGTGGCTGTACCAATCCGGTCCTTTCTTCTCTCTCCTTCCCACACCATTCTCCAACTTTTTTATCCTAATAACGCGCCCACTCACCAATCCACTGGTTACTGGACGAGGACCGCGCGCATACACTCTACATTACCCGCTCTTTGCGAGGCTTGACCCAAGTTCCCTCGAAGCGAATCAAATCAAATCAAACACCCCATGGCGCTGGGCAAAAGGTTTAGCAACTGGCGCGCGCGACTGCTGTGGTCGGGCTACGGATGGTGCAACATCGTCACGCTGGTGGTGCTGATGCTGGCACTGCTGTTTATGTTCATCGGGCTGCCGGTGCTCAGCCACTACAACTGGGGCAAGAAGAGCAAGTACAGGGAGCAGCAGCCGATCTCGGACTACGACATTATGATCAACATGATGGCGCGCAACTACACGTCGGCTGGCCAGCCGCTGGTGCCGAAGGAGCTCCCTATCGACAAGGACAGCCCGCCTGGCCTCACGTGGACGTCTGCAACCAACAAGAAGTGGAAACTGGTGTTCAGCGATGAGTTTGATACCGAAGGCCGCACGTTCGGGCCCGGCGAGGACAGCACGTGGGAGGCCGTCGACCTGTGGTACTGGCCGACGCGCGATCTCGAGTGGTACGACCCGCACCACGCGCGTACCGAGGGCGGCAACCTGGTGATTACTATCGAGCGCAACGAGTCGCACGCGGGCCTGCCGTACACGTCCAGCATGCTGCAGTCGTGGAACAAGCGCTGCTTCCAGGGCGGATACCTCGAGGTGCGTGTCTCGTTCCCAGGCGACGGCACGAAGTCAGGCTTCTGGCCGGCTGTGTGGACGCTGGGCAACCTGGGACGCGCCGGCTACGGCGCCACCACTGACGGGCTGTGGCCATACACGTACAACAGCTGCGACGGGGGCGTCATGGTCAACCAAACAAACTCGGCGCTGTCGATGCTGCCGGGCCAGCGCCTCAACGCCTGCGTATGCAGCGGTGACCACCCATCCCCGGGTGTCGGCCGTGGCGCGCCTGAAATCGACATTTTTGAGGGCAGCGTCACCAACAACCTGATCTCGCTGTCAATGTCGGACCAGGTAGCGCCCTTTGACTACCACTACGCCATTAACCGCAAGGACTACACGCACATCTGGAACGAGCTCCCACTGGGCAAGCCGGACACCGCAGGCGGCGCACGCGCTAACTCATATATTGGCGGCACGTACCAGCAGAGTGTGTCATCCATCTACTACCTGGATCCGTCATACACCGAGGGCAAGCAGTTCCAGACCATGGGATTTGAGTACCAGCCTGGTCCCAAGGGCTACGTGCGCTGGTTTGTTGACCAGAAGCCCGTGTGGCACCTAGACGCGCGCGCTGTCGGCGCCAATGCTATCAGCAAGGTTGCGCAGCGCGTTATTGCTGAAGAGCCCATGTCCATTATCATGAACTTGGGAATTTCGTCCAGCTTCGCCTACGTCGACCCCACGCTGCCACTTCCTGGGAAAATGTACATCGACTACGTGCGCCTGTACCAAGACCCTGACAACATCCGCCTGTCCTGCGACCCACCGGACCGTCCCACTGGTGAGTACATCCAGAATCACCCGCGTGCCTACTACAATGCCAACCTCACGCGGTGGAAGAGCACTGGCTACAGCTGGCCCTCGTACAAAGTCAGCAACTCGTGCAAGCCCAAGACGAGTGGATTCTTCGAGGACTTTGACTACGCGCCCCTGTCTTAGCTGCTGCACAACCGAGCCCCGGACAGACGCATCCGCTTTGCGCAGCGCAATTCTGTGATGTGATGCGTGCCTCAAAGCTATTATTATTGTTTTATCTTATTTTGCCCTCATTCTTTCACGCATTAAAACTATTTTTTGTGCACTAAAAATGTCTTGGGCGTGCGGGGAGAGGGTAGGTAGTGGTTTAAATTGCAATTATCGAGCAGTTCTACCGCTCAAAGCTAAACACTGCCATTACTGCGCCATGCGGCCGCATTATATATATAATTGATATTTAGTACTTGTGCGCATGTGGCCTGAAACAATGTGGTTGATATATTCTTAAAGCATTGCACATGGCCTAGACTGACTTTTTGTGCGTACTTGGTTGTTAGAACAGACGGCATATAAATTGGTCTGCTTGGTCGCGTTGCACATCCTCTTCCTTATATTTGTAAAGAAAACACTTCTATTTTTTCACATATTTGTGCGCCTAAAAATAACACGTTTATCTTTGCGAAACCATGTTAAAATCAATCACCATATTGCTACTGCTATCACTGTGCATGATTATTGTGCTAGCGGCGTCTGCGTCTGCGTTGGATTCCAATTTTGGGCCCGCGCCTGCTGCACCGCTACCGCCATTGGCGCAAAACCGCGCCACCTGCTCCGAAGGTGACCGTCGTTGCATCGGGCCAAGCAACCCGGGACTCTATTACAGGTGCACCGGTGGCCAGTGGACAACGTATAGCTGCGGCAGTGGCTCTACATGCCACAATCCGACCGGGAAATGCAGTTCAGCAAAGCCACCGCCTCCTCCTCCTCCTCCCCCGCCGCCGCCTCCTCCTCCGCCAGCTTGCTTCGACGGGCAGCGGCGGTGTGTCGGCGGTAGCGGATCGGCAATGTACTACTTGTGCTCTGGCAACGAGTGGAGATTGTACAGTTGTGGCAATGGCTACCAGTGCTCATCAACAACACCGCTCCAGGCCACGTGCACTCCGATAGTACCCCAATGCGTCAACGGCACGGAGCGCTGCGCGGGTCCTCAGAACCCATCTGGCTACTTCACCTGCGTCAACGGCCACTGGCAGTCGCAGTCGTGCTCTGTCGGCGATCGCTGCATCAACATTCCTGGCAACAGGGTCAACTGCCAGGTGCGTGGCGTCCTGCAGATGAATTTGGAAGCGGCGGCGGAAGCCTAAATTTCAAGCACCAAGCTCTGAGTCCTACAGGTTTTGGAGCAGGCTGTTGCGGCTACAAAGATCAATTCTAGAGTTTCAATTTTGATCACCCTCACCCCGCTCAGCAGAAAGATTTTTCCGCCCTTTATTCATTTTATCTTTATCTTTAGTCATTTGTCCTTTGTTCGTTTCAAATAAAAAATAATACACCCTAGACTTTCAACATGCCTCTTGCCCTTGCAACCGCGCGCGTGCTCCTATCTACTTTGCGGCGGCAGACACACCGCAGAGCGATGGCAGGCAGCAGACAGTGTCAAGGACTGGTTCCAAACCAACACCACATTACAAATAGCCGTCAATACAACAGCAGCGGGTTCTTTTCAGCTCTGCTGCAGACTGCAAAGTCAAAGAACCCTATCACTGCCGAATGGCACGGGCAACCGACGCACGAAGGCCGGCCGGATCTGGTGGCAAAGGACGAAGTGACACCGGGAATCACTAATAAAGAGTTCGAAGCCCGTCGCCAGAAGCTGGTTAACGGGTTGCCCCGCGGCAGCACCCTGTTTGCCTTTGGATCTCGCATGATATTTGTGTCACCGCATGTGTTTCATGATTTTAGGCAAGATTCGGATTTTCACTACCTGACCGGCTGGAATGAGCCCGATTCGGTGGCTGTCATCGAGAAGAGCGAGAACACGCAGCGCGGGTACACCATGACTATGTTTGTGAACCCGAAAGCACCTGAGAAGGAGCTGTGGGAGGGCCCGCGCAACGGGTTGGAGGCGGCGGTATCGCTTTTTGGCGCTGACGAGGCCAGGCCCGTCAGCGAATTCGGAAAATACGCCGCAGAGCTGGCAGCCCGCATCCAGAGGAGACCGGCCGACGAGGGCTACGTCTATGCTGACTTGGACGCCAAGCACGGCATTCCGCGCAGCAGCCAGTGCGACACGCTGAAGCAGCTACTGAAACGCGAGAGCATGGGCTCGCGGATCCGCAGGCTCACCCCACTGGTGCAGCAGCTGCGGCTGATAAAGTCCGACGCCGAGATACGGCTGATGCGCGAGGCCGGCCGCGTTTCGGGCTGGCGTTTGTAGACATTATGAAGGCGTGCCGCCCGGGCATGTGTGAGTCTACACTGCAAGGCCTGTTTGAGCACTCGTGCAAGATGGCCCTGGTCGGCGGGAGCGGAGACAAGGCCACCAGCGCGACGGCAGACCACTCAGCGCTTATTCGGCCGGCATATGTGCCAGTATTCGCGTCGGGTGAGCACGCACTGTGCATGCACTACGTCCAGAATTCGGCGCCAATGCGCGACGGTGACCTGATTCTGGTTGACGCCGGCACTGAGTATGCCGCCTATGCCTCCGACATCACGCGCACATTTCCAGTTAACGGCCGCTTCACTGACGCTCAACGCGACCTCTACAGCGCTCTTCTCAGCGTACAGCAGCAGATGATTTCGCTCTGCCGTGTGGACGCTGGTTACTCGCTCAACGAAATCCACCGCCGCTCGACGGCCGTGATGGCCACGGAGCTCAAGCAGATAGGCTTCCACGTGTCGAGCCGCGACGTTGACGACCATCTGTACCCGCACCACATATCGCACTACCTCGGCATGGACGTTCACGACACTGTGGACATTTCGCGCACTCAGCAGCTCAAGCGCAACATGGTAGTCACTGTCGAACCTGGAATATACGTGCCATACGACAACAGGTTTCCCAAGGCCTTCCAGGGAATGGGCATCCGCATTGAGGACGACATTGTCGTGGGGCAGACAGCAGAGGATATGGAGAACCTCTCGGCCTCTGTCCCCAAGACTATCGAGGACATCGAGGCATGCGCGAACAGCTGAGGCAAACGCAGAGTGTCGGCCCTCTTTTCTACATGCCCAATGAATAGATGGTTTTACAACATTCTTTGTTTCATTCAAAAGGCGCGTGCGCGCAAAGTAAAAATAGTGGAATAATATAAGAAAAAGGTGTATATAAAAGGCCCGCTGAGATACACATTAAAGGCCCTGGGCAAAGCTTGCCAACACCTCGTAGTCCTGTCCACCAGGGACCTCACCCTTATTCACGCCTTCGTTGTAGTACACGACCGTCGGGTAGCCATCAATGTCAGCGTTGTCGCAGATGGCGCGGAATGCCTTGCAGTCGACTTCGGCAAAAAACACGTCATTGGGCGCCAACTGGTCCTGAAGGTCGGTGTAAACCTGCTCCCACACGGGGGCAAACCGCTTTGACCACGGGCACGTTGGCGAGTAGTACTTTACAAGCCATTTTCCTGTCTGAATGCCAGAATCAAAGCTGGTCGCATCGAGCACCGTATATGCGCTGACGGCCGAAGCGAGCGCGGCTAGCATAACAGTAGACAAAAACTTCATGTCAGTAGATGTATAAATAAATCGTAATAAAGATGTGAGTAAAGCGTATATAATGCGATGGATGGTGAGCAAAAAATAATATGTAAAGAAAAAATGAGAAAGAAAGAGATATATATTATAAGGCGGCAGTCAGCCCGCCCGCTCTTTTAAAATAGAAATTTATGCATATGGCAATGATTCTTTGCGCTTTTTTATTGCTCCTTTACACAAAGAAAAAAGTGTTGCAGACTCTCTCCTTATTTGCAGCAGCACAACATTAATATTTGTGCTTTGGTTAGTCAGTGCTCTTGGTACCAAGCATTTTGGAGCTTTTGTCGTCGCCGCGCCTTTGTTGTGCAGGAGCCGGCATACACATCATGCCGTGGTAAAAATTATTGGATTTTTTAGGCTTGCTCATCATTTGGGAACAGTGGCTGACGGTCCAAACTCAATTCGGCCAAGCATGTGCATGTCCTATTGTGCCCATGATTGTGATCATGATCATGATCAAAACTCGAAGTCTAGCCCATTTTTATTTTAGTTTTGGTCTATGCGTTTGTGCGCCTTGCTACTGGTACTAAATAAACAGCACCATTGCACATTCTACGCTTGGAAAGACTTGCAAACAAGCCTTGTCACATAGGCTTGTTTGCATATCCGCATCCAACTCAAATGTCCCTTTTCCCCCAGTTTTTTTGGACACTGTTATTTTATCCGTCCGTATTGAGAAACCAACCGCAAGTAAGCAGCTGTTATTGGCTAATGGCTACTAGCTACTGACTGCAAAGACCATCGCGGAACGAAAACGCTTTTGTAGTTGTCATTGCATTTACCCATTTTGCCACGGCACATAATTATAGGAAGGAATAATGCCCTTTTCGCATACCTCCGCTATTAATCGCGCTCTCCGCCGCTCTTCATGTCTACTACCCCTTCTTTTTTGCGTGTTTCACATATTATTGAGTTTCGGAACAGTCAAACATTTGTTTTTTACTCAAAATTTAAAGAGAATCCATTCGACCAACAAGAGAGGGAATGTGCTGAGGGCAAAACGTGTGGAACGCTCAAGGCGGGGCCTTCCGCGTATATTTTCAAAATATAGCGCTTCTTTAAGTGTTTTGTTTGTCGGCTTTTGGTCTTTATGAGAATAATTTTTTATATTAAATGAAAGCCAAATTACATTTACATTTATCTTCAAATTTTTGGGCCCTAAGTATTTTTTATCTTGCGCGGTTTAGTAAAATTAAATTTTTCATCATCAAATATACTATATTTTACTATCTCTAACATTACAACTTGGTCCTGCAATCATACTAAACACCAATCGTACAAAATGGAGACTCTAAATAAGCACCTCGAGTCGCAACGCCCGCCAAAGCAACAGTCTCTACTGCCCTTTGATCAGGCTATGGTCTCGTCTCTCAAAATCAACACTGGTATCGAACCGGATTCCAGCGGGTTACGTCTGCTTCTGAGATGACAAAGCGCGAAGATAGTCAGTATTTCCCTATCAGCATCCGCCAGGTTCCGGGTCGCGGCCGAGGGTTTTTTGCCACGCGAAATATCGCTCAGGGCGAGACTGTGCTAAAGGCGGCGCCGCTAGCCTGGACCATCAGCGAGGCATGGATCAAAAACGTGTGCCTATGGTGCTTTGAATGTAACTACAGGCGAAGCTACCCGATCAAGGCCAGAGATGTTTTAATGGAAGCTATAAACTCAGCGCGTGTACCTGACTCCGCCAACGGTAGTGCTACCCAGAGCCATTTCCAGAAAGATAAGCGTGCCGGCACACAGTCTGTTCACCACAAGGGCGTCTTTTGCTCAGAGGATTGTAGACAGCGCGCTGTCCATGCTCACGGGGGCCAGGCAAAGTGGGAATGCTTTGTGGCGCTGTTCGATAGCATTTATAATGAAACAAGAACACAAAAGCGTCATCAAACCAACGCGCGTCCGACAGCCAAGACCTCTAAAAGCGAAAATAGCCAGCCAGCCATCGAAATCAGCACAGCTGCGTCTGTTTTTGGATCTACAGCTGAGGAGCAGTTGTCAGCAGGCCTTTTTCTAGATTCGGAATTTGATCCCGACGACATCTCGGACGAGCAGTTAGGCAAGTGGATCGATATGGTGTGGGACATGATCACCGAAAGCCAAATGTGCTTTAACGTACTGCTTGACAGCTACCACCAAGATATAGTATACTTGGTTGCCAATGGGCTGTGTCTTCGTAGTACGACTCCCATCCTCCCTGTGCCTGACATTGAGGATCCCGATTGTGTAGTGTCCCGGAAATTCGGAGACGGCGACGTCGCTCGGGAAGAGTTTTTGGAAAACATAAAGACCAATGAGACTGAATCTTTGCGTGCATGGCTGCATCAGCTTTACACTGAATCACCACCAGCATCGGATCCAGCGTCAGTGCCGGCGACTATTGCGCCGATTCGCATTCCCTGGAAGCCCACCTTATTGCAGATAGCACATTCGCGGTGGGGACAAGCATTTGGCACAGCTGCTGCATCGTACGCTCTGCTTAAGCGAGCATGGAAGAGCACTGCACGGACGCACCAGCTGAACGAGTTGACGCACATCCAGTTCAGGGCAGTGTACTACCGCGAAAAGGCCAACTCATTTGGCATCTGGGACCCTCCTCCCACGTACCCGACATGGCCATTGCAGCTTGGTGACAACCAGGAGAGGGAGTGCGTTGGTTTTGCAATTTATCCAACTGCAGTTTACTTCAACCATTCGTGCGCGCCAAACATCTCAAAGGCCCGTTCTGGCAGAACAATGAGCTTTGTGACTAACCGCGCCATTTGCCGCGACGAGGAGCTATTCATTTCCTACGGATCGGTCACCGACCCTGCGTCTGAGCGGCGCAGCAGGCTTTCTGAATACTTTTTCTTCGACTGTGCGTGCGACCGCTGTATTGAAGAACTGTTATTACTGTGTCTGTGTCTGCATCTGCATCTGCACCCGCCGCTAGTACTACTGCCAAATTAAGAGGCGAACTGTAGGCAGATGTCTGACTTGAATTTGATCATCATAGGCGCTGAGCAGTAGCACGGCCGCGCTTTAAAACACTATCTAATCTTTTTTGCCCTCGTTTTGCTTTTAAAAATATAGAATTGATATGGGCAGCTAACAAAATGAAGAGCATTCAAGAAGCTGATAAACATACTACGTTATGTCATTGTAAAATCAATTTGCACTACGTGAGTCCGGTGAACGGGCAATATTTAATTTTCCCATTTTGAGACGGGTGATGATTGTCGACTTGAGCGCTCTATCTTGTCACACCATACTCAACCGACTTTCCTGCGGCGACGGTGGCAGCCTTGGTTTGTCATACATATCCACGGCGGTCAAGGGATGAATTTATGAGCGCTTTTGAATGTCTGGATAAAAAACGGTGGAAAAGCGAATATCCAGTATCGTTTTTCTTTTCTTTTCATCATTCTGTTCACTAATAACAAATAAGAATAGCACCTTTCTATATCGCATATCCTATTCAAACTATATTTAAAGCTTAAAACATGGTCGATGAGGAACAAAGTGTATCACAGGCTCATCAATCGCAGGAGCCACATGCTGCCACTACGGCAGTATCCAACATATTTGATCCGGTAGTGGCGCAGAACATAGAAAGAGAGCCCGTGTCTGCTCCAGCTGTATCATCATCTGGCATCAGCCACCCGCATATATTTAGAAAGGGTACATTGATCGAAATCCCTGATGTGCTACCCAAGCCCCTGCAGAGCCGCCCAAGCCGCAGGGGTAAGACAGCAGCCCTCAAGCAACGGCTGGTGGCGATATGCATTAAGAATGATGATCAGGCCAAATATGTCATTGAATGGGTTTTGGAGACCGAGCTTATCCCCAGGCGGGATAACGTGGTGCTCATCCATGTGCGGCAGGCTGCCAATGGCATTGTCGGCGATCTTATATTAACTAACAATGCCAAAGAGGTGGCCGAGCGCGATCGCAGTCATGGGATTTTGCGCAGAAACGCAATCCCAATCAAGCAGGGGGATACAACATCAAGGGCGTGTCGATTCGCGGCGTGGACATTCGTGGCGAGCTGGTGCGCAAGCTTGTGGAGCTTAAGTGTGACCTGGCTATCATCGGCAACCACACGGCCAAGTCAATGCGGGAGCGGATAATTGGGTGCAAGGTCGAGTACCTAACTGAAAACTCGCCCTGCCCTGTATTGGTTGTTGGAAGCAGAATGCAGCGGGTTGCCAAAGATATTACAGATGACGCGATCAGTAATGACGCACTGACATATCTGCGATGGTACACTGCCCCAAGTGCCAATTTTGCCACCAACCTGAGTTTTTTTGGATCATTTGTTTATTTGAAATTTGAAATCAATTTATTTTAGACATTTTCTGATGCATTAACTAACGCAGCTGAGTATTTTAGATTGCAGATAACTCAGTGACATCTAGCCAAGTAAAGATGTGTGGATATTGGTATACATTAATATTTGGCTTTCTCTACAATTTTACGTCCTTGACGATGTGGTCTGAAAAATAGTATTCAAAACTATAGATGAAATTTTATGAATATATTTAATTGTTCAGGAACAGACTATTGTTGCAAAGGTCCTGCGAGTTATAAGATTTTCTATTAACAAGGCCATCATCCGACATTCTCATCCATAGGTTGGGTGTAATTGCCTTCACGGTTTCTGCCATCGAAACCATATTTGTCATCCCAGATTTAATGGCATACGGCAGTGCCAGTATTTCCAATGCTGTGATGTTCGGCTTGTTCAGCAAATAGCGATGTATTGTCGCGCATAAGATCAAGTCGTTGTGCTGACTGACATTGACTGTGGAAGCATCATTTCACCAAACCACATCAACAACACCGATCGCTGTTGTCGCATTGATTTTTGTGCCTCTAACTCATCGTTGACTCGAGCCGATTATTGATCTGGGATATGAGTGGCTTCGCTTGGGAGGATTCAATAGTAGCAACAATGACAATTTTCAAATTAAATCCGAATTACAAAGCCACTTTTATATTGTTCTATTTTATATTTTATATTTTTCGAGTTGGCATTCATATATATCCACTATTGAGGTGTTTTATGCATGTTCTTATTATTGTTTCCCACTATGCCTTTTAATTCATTGCTTTTTGTTAATAATTTGGGTCTTGTCTCAACCATTCAGTGTGATACTGCTGCTATTTATCTGTCTCGAGTTGGCATTATAGCCAAGCCACCAACTGTAGTGTTTTCCAATATATCCAGACTGCCACTATGCTGGCAGGCATGGAGCTGCCTCCTTATAAGCATGCCAACACCATATAATATTGTGAGATATTTATTCTACTTGCTTCTCTATTCGTACTTACACTCCATATTTCAGCAATACTCTACGCTTTAGTAATTATATATTTAAATTATCGACTTACCAATGGACGCAAAAAATTCGCTTATAAAGGCCACAAAAACGCAGACAATTCCGCTACACCCATTCGACATGATGACAGGAGTTGTCAATATAATTTATATATGTTACTACAAGAATACTTTGGGCAGTGATACGTTTATGCCGACAGATATGCTGAGAGACTCGTTTTTCACGACGCTGGCTGAATTTCCTATTCTGCTTGGTCGGCTGCAGGTGGACGGCAGTGGCAAAACAGTAGTCGTGGTCGACGAGAACAACCTCAATATGCCCGAGTTCAAGGAAACCCAAAGCGACATACATTTTGGCCATTTGCAATCGGCAGGCTTCAGTTGGAGCACCATGCCGCAAGGCACAGTTGCTGTTCGTTCCGTCGCTACTGTTGGTGACCAAGGCTACATCAAGTTGGCCAACGTGCACATTGTCAGGCTTAAGGACAACAGCGGAGTTGTTTTGACAGTCGGCCTATCCCATTATGTCGTCGATGGTATTGGATACTGCACGTTTATGAACCAGTGGGCCAAAAATTGCACACATTTGCAAAACGGCACTCCTAACAATAGTGTGCATGCCAGGACACTCAATTTTGATCGCCAAACGGTTGCGCGCTGCCTGCCCAGTAGAGGATCCACAGTTGATCAAGCTACACGTTCTCTGTATTCCACGGATGGGTACATGGCTCGGTGGTTGGCCTGGTTGACACCTGAGAGCCGTGGCAGCGTATTTAGTGTTTTGATGGCATTGGATAACTGTAAGGCCCATGTCTTTCATATCTCCGCAGCAACCCTTAGCTCGCTACGCAGTTCTTTATCCATAGATATTGTTGGCGGTTTGCATATTAGTGACAACGACATCATAACGGCGCTGCTCAGTATGGTTATCGCTCAGGGGGAGAAGCAGGCTACGTCTAATAACAGATCCGTTGTCATTCGCGCTTGTTGCACTATTAAATCTGCTGTTTCTCATGTATAGATACATTTTTGAAGCCCCCGACATCTAACTGGGTTACTTCAATAGCGGTCGATATCCGGGGCCGCATTGACACAGCATCTACAGCCAACTATACTGGAAACATGGTAATAGGCACAGCAATATCCACTCCCTTATGTTTGGTAGAGTCGGATATAACAGACGAGTCACTGGCACATGTAGCAGCAGGCATTAGGCAGGCGGTTTTGCGAATTGACGGCCATTACATCAGGCAAGTGGCAGATGAAATTGGCGAAAATCCTAGTGGACTCCTGAATACACTGGTAAACTTGTCTACTCTACCCAAAAGCTTGCTCATTTCCAACCATTCTCGGTTTCCACTGTACAATGCCAATTTCGGAAGTGGCATACCAGCATGGGTCAGCCCAACACCAGAGTCATTTCTCAACTATGCAACAGTACTTCCTAGGCACCCACATGCCGATGGATACAACTTATGCATATCGACGCGGCTAGGAACAATGCAGGCAATACTGAGCAATCCGTTTTGGCAAAATGTGGCAAGGCTATTGTATTAAAATAAATATCTTCATGGGGTTATTAATATTAATACATTTTGTTTTATATTACCCATTGCTATTGATTAATATATACTACAATATCTCTTAATGCCATTATCCAACAACTGTTTGTTACATTATCTAGGAAGCATTTCTGATAATTAATGTCGACATTTATATTATTATCCAGTCAATCTCTGGTTCCCAGAGCAGCTGACAACTGTGATCATGGACCTGCACTCAGGTAGACATCAATATCATTACCAGCTATGCAGCGTCTGTGAAAACCGAGCAAAGCAGAGTGAAGAGAAGCTTTACAAGTTATATTTAAAAAGAAAGAGAAAGATGAAGTCTGAGAGAAAGAAAGTGAAGAGACTGAGGAAAGCTGTCTCATATAAAAGATAGCAAGTGAAGATAAGTAACATAAATAAATGATGAGGACACTTTAAAAATCTCTAGAATGTCAATCACCTTACAGTAAGCAAGACGGAATTCCAACAGCATCTTCATCCTTCACACAACAATGTGGTCTGACACAAGGTGATTCCCTGTCACTACTGCTATGGCTGCTGGTCTATGACATAATGCTCACCAAGATCAATTGGAACCACGTCGATTTTGTCGGCTCCACTAAAACCCCATTGGCATGGTGGCAATAATCTTTCAGATGATTTAATGCCCATGGCCCCTCTAGAGTAGCCCTGCAAGCTAGGACAACTGACATGTGCATGTGATGCACACTAGTAGGCATACATGCTTACCTAAGCAAGACAAACATATCTTATATCTAACACTTGAAAACCCAGTACCTATCATATAGGGACTGGGGAGATTGGCATTGGTGATTACAAACATGGTTTACCTCGCAATGCCATATGGATCCTGGGCAGCTACCTGACAGCAGTGGTTCAACAGCTGAGCCCATGAGGCTGGCAAGGGTATGTGATGAGCTTGTTTGGAATGGCCAACTGGCAATGATTAGACAGAATGGAAAATTATCTGGTATAAGCTATAGTCATTCCTGCCTTGGAGTTTATGCTTTAAGGGTCCCACTGCTTGGATCCCAACTTTTCTTACTGCCTGGTCCAATATAAACTATAATACATTAAAGATTTGGCACACACAGCAAATTTTCAGCAGCACTCTTCCATCACTTGCAGGGCATGTGCATCCCACTGCTCCAAATGTGAGTGGGGGCTCCCTCATCACTGTGCATCTGACTAGTCAATGGGTAGAAGTGGCATACTTCACTAACTTGGGAACTGCACTGCAGACAGTCGCATTGTGTTGGAATTCTGTTCTTGGTGGAACTCCGTCTTACATATGCAAGATGATTGCAAAGACCAGAACGGAATTACAACACTCCCCCTGACAAGGTGCTCACATCATACCAGAGGATGAGCGATGTCTGACAAAGGCATCTAGGGGCAATTGCTTGGTCAGATAGTCAGCAGCTTGGTCAACAGTCAAAATATACTTGAGATAATATACTTGCTGAGATAGTGCAGCATGAGGAAGTTGGAGAGTAGACTTGTAGTGCTTGTTGGCATTAGTTACAGCACCAGCCGTGTATTGTTGATAGTGCCCTCATTGTCACAGAAGATAGTGGCAGGGTCAACATGTACATGGATGTCACACAGCAGTCTTGTAGCCACATGAGCTCACGGACAGCAGAGGTCAGGGCAATAGTCTCAGCTTCACTGTGGATTGAGGTGGCAAGCCAAGAGCACTTTCTTTGACTTCCAAGCAACTGCTCCCCCTGCCAGAGTGAATACATAGCCAATTACCATGGCTTCCACAGTGTGCAGTCCAAATGAAGCATTACTGTACCCAACTAGGTTGAGGTGTTCAGACCGACGATAGTGAATGGCCATGTTGCAGGTGGTCTTCAGATACTTGAGCACTCGCTTGGCAGCACCCATGTGTTTATCAATGGCTCTTGGTTGAATGATGCAAGCACAGAGGTGACAGAGCAATGTCAGGCCGAGTGACCATGGCCAGGTACTGCAGGGAGCCAACAATTGAGCAGTATTCAGTGGCATTGCACTTGGCAAGGTGTGGGGCAGTCTCTCCAAGCTTGGCAAAAGCAGCAATGGGCAGATCAACGTCATTGGTTCCTCAAGGCCATACTTGCTGACCAGGTTCTGGATGGCAGTAACCTGGTTGACTTGATGCCATCAGAGATGTGATTCACATTGATGCTCAGGATTGTACTGCACAGACTCAGATCCTTCATTGAGAACTCAGCAGACAGGGCAGTTTTGACCTTGGTCAGGATGTTGTCATCAGATGCAGCCAGCAAAAGTCGTCAACATAGTCGTCAAAATGCATGTTGCAGGCCACTCTTAAGCCAGTAGACACTGGGTCGGCATTGCTGCACTGGAATCCAAGGCTGCCACAAAGGAAAGTATTCAGGCGACGATTCCAAGTGCATGGTGCCTGCTTCAAACCATATAGGGAGGCATAGCTTGAGAACACTCTTGGTCAGTCACCAGTCATGTCATCAGGAATCTCGACATATATGTCTTCTTCCAGGTCACCATGCAGGAAGGCAGTCTTGACGTCCATGGAGTGCAGCAGCCAGCCATGATAGGCTGCAAGTGCTATGACTATACGAATAGACTTGTAGGTCACCACAGGTGCAAACACAGCATTGTAATCAATCCCAGGGTGCTGCTCAAAGCATCTGACTACAGGGGCCCTTGTACAATGGTGGCTTGTCATCTGAGCCTTGTTGACAACAAATACCCAGCGTGTGCTCAGAGGGGGATTGAGGATGAGCGTGGGACAAGCTCAAACACCTCATTCTCAGCAATAGATGCCAACTCACTTTTGATTGCAGCCTTCCACAAGGGTGCTTCCTCTGAGCACATGGCTGGATGTAAGATGTGGGGCCTGATACAGCCACACCACAGAACAGGGCACCATTGCTCTGTACCAGAGCATCTTGGTCGTCATCATAGCTGTTGCTGTTATAGTCATAGTCGACATCATAGTTGGGCATGCTGGTGCTGTCGGCTGCACTCTGTTATCCACTTGCCACCAGTCTGTTGTAGGCTGGCTGGTTCTAGTGGTGAGAGTGCCTTGCTCATGAGCAGCAATGTCAGTGATTCGTGCTGAGGCTGAGGTGCTGAGCGACGGCTGAGCATGGGTGTTACTGGATCAGTAGCTCTGGAAGCAGTAGACATAGCCTCAAGGGAGATGGGTTGATTCGTTTGTGACTGTCTTGCTACTGTAGATGATTGCAGAAGTTCTAGTTCTTCTTTTTTTTTTCTTATCTTCATCGCTGTCTCCTATAAGGACAGCTTCCTCAGTCTTCACTTTCTTTTTAGCTTAGAATTTATCTTTTCTCTTTAATATAACTGCAAATCTCGGCTTGGTCATGGTTGGGCTGGTGTCGTGGATGTTGACATTGGTGCTGGTAGTATCTTGAGCACTGCGGCTTGACAGAGATGATGGATGCCCAGAAAAGGGCTCTCTGCCTAGTGGCTCAGTGGTTGATGTACTGTTTCTGCTGTTGCTGTTCCTGTTGTTGGTACTTGTGGCTGTGGCTGAAAATGGCGAACTGGAGTGTGCTGGGGTGTTGAGCTAGGACTGTGCTCCTCATGGGCAGTGACAAATGAGGCATCATGAACTCAAACTCACTGTTGCTGTTGTTGCTGCCACGTAGGATAAACTGAATATTCTGCGGTTTCTCTGGCGCCTCTCCTGAACATGCCTCCACTTGTCCTCCTCTGCAGCTGTGCCAGATGCAGGTCGTCATCCTCATCAAACAGATCTGCTATGTGTATGGGGCCACGCTGTGTGGGCATGTCAGACATGTCTGACTCATGGAAATAGAATGGTACAGAGGGTGCACTTTCATTGTAGAATGGAAATTCTGCATCCACAAACTTGGCTCTTAGGTGTGTAGAACAGGCTAGTGTCTATGTGATCAGCAGTGCCTTGCCATCCTTCGTTCCCAGGTACACACACTTCTGGGCATGCTCGCCAAACTTGAACGTAGCTCAGGAGGGTACTCACTCCAGACCAGACAGCCAAATGGATGGATGTTGGCAATGTTGCTGGCACTGTCCAGCTTCTCAAAAGGTGTGTCATGCCAAGAGCACGCTTGGGCAGACAGTTGAGCACCCAGTTAGCATGCACAATGGCAAAAGCCCATAGACAAAGAGGGACGCCAGACTGCAGCAGCATGGCATTGGCCATCTCTACCAGGGTGCAATTGTATCATTCAGCCACACCATTCTGCTGGGGTGTGTGGGGGAGCTGGTAACCTGGCAGATGCCATTGGCCTCACAGAATGCCTTCATATCTCCGTTATGTATTCACCACCATTGTCAGAATGCAATATCTTGACCTTGGCATCCAGCTGGCGCTCCATCTTGCCACATACAGCTTGAATCTGTCAGTGACTTCTGATTTGCGCCCCATGAGATACACAAGCACACTGCGGGAGTAGTCATCTATGAAGGTGACAAAGTACTTGCTGCGCTCAGCAGATGGATGAGTCACAACACCAACATTAGAGTAAGCCACTTCAAGAGGTGCCTTGGCTCATGGCAGGTGGCCATTGTGTGGCTTCTCAGCTGGCTTGGCAACAGAGCACACTTCACAGCACTTGTCTACAGATCCCACCAGTTCCAGGCCAAGAGTATTGGCTGCATGCTTGATGTAGGGTGCAGATGCATGCCCAAACCGCACATGAGCATCCAGGGCAGAGATAGACTTTCTTGACAGCTTGCTTGTTGGCAGCACAGTGGCAGAAGATGGGATGCTTGCAGCTGAGACCAGCTTTGGGGCTCTGGCCAGTCGATGCTTGTCATAGCAGGTGTCAGGGACTATGTAGTAAAGACCATCTTCAAAGTCTGCTGCCATGATTGCTTCACCATCCTTGTACACAAATGCACGA